AAAAGTTATCTAATAGGTTCAACTTAGTCTTTAAGAACTTAAGTCTAAGAAAAAAAAAATTTTTTTGGGATAGAATATTTACGCCCACTTTAGGACTAACCCATAACTTAGTACCAATTAAAAACTATTAATACACTCAAAACTCACGTTTTCATTACACAATGCCAAATAATTTATAATGAGCTTGTCTTTGAAGTAAGCAATTATCAAACAAACAATAAAGCATTTGTAAATATGTTCAGAGTCAAAAACAAAAAAAAAAAAACAGAGTTCAAATTAATTGATTTGAAAAGCAACTATTTATTTTTGGATCATTTGGCCTATGATTTTTATCAATGGTGACAAGTCAATGTGACCATTTAACAGGCTTATTCAATAGTCTGGTTTACCGACTCTTAGACATGCTACATAGATCCTCATGCTGTATTATTTTTTGATCATCTGCATTTTGAGCTTTTTTTCTTCGGAAAGTAGGATTTAAAGCCACTCATCTTTTCTTTTTTGCTGTTCGTACAAAAAACATTTATTTAATGGCAAGCTTTTGTGTCTATTTCTAAAATTTTGAAACTTTACAATAAAGAAAACTTGTGTTTGAAAGTACTTTTTCCTTTATTAATTAATTGATTTTTTTTCTTAAGTTGAATTAAGATAATAATTTTAAGCTCACAAAATGTGTCGATATTTTAAAGCTCGTGTTGATTTCAAAAATGAATAATGATTTTAAACCTATTTATAAAAGACGTATATCCTTCGTATTTATATAAAAGTTCTAAGTGTATTTTAATCATTATCACTTCCTTTCTTTTTTAACAACGACGAATAGATCTGATACTCAACTGATAAACTGATACTAAAGATTTTTTAAAAAGGGGTCCTTTTAATTTAAGTAAAAAATATAATAATCTCGGAATAGATTTTAGTCATTTCGTATATTATAGATGTACCTTAACTAATCATTATTTTTTATAAATCATTTAAAGTAACTATATTATTTCCATTCAATGATAATTTGGAATGAAACACAATTCTACTTATTATTGATATAAAAGAGACCAAAAAATAGAGGTTTGGGCACTATAATGAATGAATTAATTGTCAAAAATTCACCAAAATGTTATGATCATAAAATTATAATCCTTTTTTATTTGCAAAAATAAAGAAGGTTTATAAGAATTAGATCCATATGTCGATGTTAAAAAAAGAAATGAGGAGATAATAATTAAAATACACTTAGAACTTTCATATAAATACGAAAGATATACGTCTTTTATAAATAGGCTTGAACTCATTACTAAGGTAGAAACAATTAAATAAGCTCATTTCTTCATATGTTAAAATTGAAGATTATGATTCTTTTGATAAAAAAAAAGAGTGTAAGTTAGTAGTTACTTAAATTTTCATGTTTAAAAAAGTATTTCTTTTTCTAGTAAGAAAAGACAAAACGAACCCCTGATATTAAATTTATTATTTGCTTTTGCCTTTGTTTTTTCTTTTTCTTAAATACCTTATTTTTTATTTCTTTTTTTATATTTTATTTCAAATTTAGGACTCTTGATTATTACTTTGTATATCACTTAGATTTCAAACAATGTAAAATTTCTACTCATGATTCCATTCTAGTTAAATTACGACTTCCTTACCAAAAAAAAAAAAAAAAAAAAAAAAAAAAAAAACGGGAACAAAAAGAAACCACCACCAAATGAGAAAAAAAAACAAAGAAGGACTTTAGGAGTTTCTAATTTCTATCAAGTATTAATGTCCATCTAGCATAAATTATGAGTCTGGAAAGTTATCAATGATTAAATGAATTTTTTTTTTGAGAAAAGAGAAACTGTTTAAGAGGTAAAAAGTGGACTCTTTAAGTTGAACAATGTACCATTTATATTTGAACTTTTTAAAACTTACTAATCATCTGAAATATTAATGGTTTCATTTATAAAAATTTCACAAAGATATTTCTAAATTGAAAGAAGCTGTCTGTACATGATACCAGTTACCAGATTACAAAATAATACTGTTTTAATTATTGAAGTTCATAATTATGAAAAAATGAGTTCCCTAAATCTGTTTTCTTTCTCTCAGTATCCTTACTTCAACATTAAAGTCATGCTCAAATCATCAAGGGAAAGTATATATGCCTAGAAATTATTACGTTGACATTATTTTTTTCTCTTCAGTCGTCTAAGGTTTATTGAATGGCCTGAGCTCAGATTCTTAAATTTCCCATCTGTGATTTTTGCAGGGTTTTTACATAGCCTCTTTTTGTTCTTACTTTGACCCTCCTTCATTTTCATTTTCTCCATCACATCTCTTTTTATAGTATCATGTATCAAGTTACTTATGATTATGTTTCCTACTATCCCTGAGTCATATAGTTATTATAATAATAATAACATCTTATAACATCAAGGTTATGGTATGGATAACCAATTAATTATAAGTATGTGGTCCAGATGGTTTTGGCTATGTTAGATCCGAGCATATGTAACCCTATCCACTCTCGTCACTCGGCTCTGCTAGTTTTTTTATTCTGAGAGATAAAATACCATCAGCATCAAAATCATCTTTTTGTTCCTACTATATGACTTTCCGTTTCCACAATAAACTCTTAATTTAACTTCAACATTGCATCTCTAGCAGCTGGATAATAAGTCTTGATACCAATCTACAAGGAACAATATCAAACTCCAATACATACCCAACTTATTTCAACTTCCTTTCATAGAAGCGTTGATTTAATTTCTTAACCATTCAAAACAGAAATAAACCTTACAATTTCTTGCAAGCCAATTAGACTGCATAAGAAAGTCGGCATGTCCTTAACTGAATAAAATTGATTCAATTCTATTCTCCCTTCTTCCAGAAAAAGACACTCAACCAAAACATGTTTAATTGTTCCCAGCTCGCCACACTTATAGTTATTACAATCTTCTAAATACCAAATTGTCGAACCCATGTGCCAAAGTTTCAATGGCTTGTGGGAAACTGAATGATAGTGCTCAAGATCCTTCAACAATATTCTTCATTGTCACATCTATGGTCATTTTAGAAAGCTTGTCAGAAATTTCAATTACACTGTGAGATACAGAACTTCTATGGTGTTCATTTTTCTTTATTTTATTTTATTTTATTTTATTTTTATTCAAGGGTACACAGGAATCGTGGTTTGTTTGTTTGTTTGTTTGTTTGTTTTTATTCAAGGGTTATAGAATTATATAACATCAGCATCTGCGCTTTCCTTCTTGTTCATACTATATATCTTTTCATTTTCATAATAAACTTTTAATTTTGGCTTCAACATTGCATCTCCAACAGCCCGAAAATAAGTCCTGATGCCAGCTTACAAGGAACAGGGGGTTAAAAATAACCAAACCTTCCCAACTTATCTCCACTTGTCTTCATCAACGCTGTAATTGTATTTCTTAATCCCTCCAAGCAGAGATAAAGCTTACAATCTCTTGTAAGCCAGTTAAACTGTTTAAGAGAGTCGACATGTCCATCTCTGGAGATATCCGTTTGAGTCCTTTTTTTTCCTCTTTAACAGGAATCGTGGTGGCAACCTGAGATCCTGAGCTTAATCGTAATATCTGTTAAAAATGGTATTAAAACTCTAAAATTTTAGGGGAGCACTGGAGTTAGCCCAGTGGTCAATGCTCTACTTTATAGCATTGATAGCAACCAAACTCAAGCCGCTAACGTGATTGTGGGTTCGATTCTCTGCAATCACACTAAAAATTGACTCTCCCCTGAACCACCGGCTAGCTGGCCAATACATTACGTTGACCCAAGCCCGACCACAGCAAGTTTTGGCTGGTTTTGTTGAGTGTATAAGTTTTCGCGTTTTCTCTAAACATTCCAGCATAATCGTGCCACTAGGCGCATGTGGACTAGACCAATCCAGATATGAATCCGTCCCGGAAATAACCAGAACACCCAACCGACCTTAATAAGGATAATTGTCGTAATGTGACAAAAAAAAAACGTTTTTTTTATCATTTTTACAAAAGAAAAAATAGCAAGGTTTAAATACTTTTTCACATTATATTGTGATCAGGTCACTATTGAAAAATAATAATTTCAAAAACAATATACAACACAGTCAAAATTTTCACTTGGAGCTGCACTATTGAAAAGGAGGTTTTATAAATAAATATAAATATATACGCCCACATTCAATGCGTCTGTTGGTTTATGATATTAAAATCATCTATCTCCCTTGTTTGTTTAAAATATTTTTTAAATACCCATAGCATTGGAAAAATGAAAAGAACGAAACAACAAAAAAACGGACACTTACCTTTCCACATCAAACTTTGTTTTATTTAACTTCATTTATTTCTTTATTTAGCTTTAAGTGAATTAATATTTATTTATTTCTATTTAATTATTGTGGTCTCACTGAGATGCCGGGGAGACAACCCTCAAACACGATCCTTCCTAATCACAGCCAGAAAAAGACTAAAAGAAACTATAATCTCATCGAAGAGAAAGAATTGGATCACATTCCTAGCCAAAGCTGCCGGCAACGACATCTATAAAGCCCGAAATTACACATTCCGACCACCGAATCGCACAACACTCCCTGCGATGAGGAACCCACTCACAAACAGTATATCACAAAACAGTTGAGGAAAGATTTGACGTGCTCGCTGCTACATTTTTCCCTCAAGTCCCCCACTCACTACCCACACAAGACCACTCATCACTGACGAAGACCATATTGAACTCATGTCAGCAGCGGATGTACGCCGCGCTGTACTCGAGTTCAACCCAAACAAGGCCCCAGGCCCGGATGGAATCTTCTCTAAAACAATCCAAGCCCTCTACAAATCTGACAACCCCTTTTCCGTGACCGCCTGAATTCCCTCTTCCAGGCATGCCAGCACAAAGGCTACCACCCAACAGAATGGAAAACAAGCCACACAGTGATCATCCCGAAACCACACAAAAAAGACAAAGCCTCACTCAAATCTTACAGACCAATTGCTCTCTTAAACACCATGGGAAAAATGCTTGAAAGGGTCTTCTGCAATTCCATCACCGCCTTCATCGACAGAAGCAGCATACTAAACGAATACCAATTTGGCTGCCGTAAAGGGTACTCTGCCCCAGACGCATTGCTCAAGCTGATCAACGACATCAAATCCAAGCAAGAAACCAACCCCAAGACCAGAACCTCAGCAATAATGGTAGATATTAAAGGAGCATTTGACAATGTTGACCATAAGCATCTGTTAGAGACCCTTGATAAGAAAAATTTCCCACAAGGCACCATCGAATGGATAAGCAGCTTCATCACTAACCGCAGCACTGCTATCATCACGGATGGCATTGTTGACAAAACCAGACCAACAACCAAAGGAATACCACAGGGATCCCCGCTCTCCCCCATTCTCTTCAACATTTACACAACAGGACTATATCATAGACTCTCTGAAATACCGGGTATCAAATTCGCAGGATTTGTAGATGACGTCACAATTTATTGTCACGACTCCCAAGCCAGAGCCACCAACTCACTAGGGCTAGCCCTCAAAGCCTGCGTTGAATGGGCAACCAAGGCGCACACCGAGATCGACCTAGGGGACAAACTAAACTTCATTCACTTTGGCAACAAGACCGCAAACCCGCCAAGACTCCCTGTACCCTGCCAACAAACGCTTCGTGAACCGCAAGACGAGGCCAAAGTACTAGGAGTCATACTAGACCGCAAGCTCAACTTTAAACCCCACATATCACTCAAAAAAGAACAAGCCATCCAAGCCATTAATTTCATCACCCGTCTGGGAGGTACAACGGATGGCCTCACGGGATTCGCTTTCAAGCTCCTCTACAACTCATGTATAGTACCCATTATCTCCTATGGAGTGGGAGTATGGGGTAACAACCCCAACACCGTCAAAAAAATGGGCAACTCCATCCAACTAACCCAAAACATCGCACTACGGAGAATGCTTGGTGCATACCGCACCACCCCAATCTACATACTTCACAGAGAAGCAGGTGTCCTCCCTCTGCACATTAAACTCGAAGATCTGGCGAGAAGGGCGGCACACCGCCTCTCGGACCCCACAAGAACACACAGGGACAACCCCACCAAAGCTCAACTCCTAAGCGGAAGCGTAGCTGCTGAAGCCAACAGCAGACTAAACAGCATCAACCGCATCATCAGCGTCAACCGACCTAGAATCAGCCCAGCCCAGGCATCCAAGCGCAGGGCCCTCATCCAGTGGCAACATGAACACGCCATTGCAACTACCAAGGCATCTAATAGCCCCCACCAACCATGGTACAAGGGAACTTACCCGAACAACAAAGTAGAAACTAACAACAACAAACTACAACTCAGAAGAGCCATGGAAGGCCCCAGACACATTCTGTCAGGAGCCATCCAACTCAAGACAGGACATGGTAGATTCGCCAAGTACATTGCAGAACGCACCAAGAACGAAGAAAACATACAAAACAAGTGCCCGCTCTGTGAAGCGGAACCGGAAACCCCCAAACACATACTCACAGCATGCCCATGCTATGACTTCATCCCAACTTCCCTTCGCATCGGGAACCCCTTTCACCTTTTCACGAACGACCTTTATGACATAATCTCACAAGTCGTCCAGACTGCAAAACTTGACACCCAAGACAGATTTTATTAAACGCCGAGTTGCCGTTGGGATTTCCTCCACGTTTAATAACTCTATCTTGGCCAAAGTTCTGGCAGACCAAAAACCAACTCCAAAACCACTCGCAAGCAACCACGCGCCTTCACAGCTGGCATAATAAATTAGGGAAAATTAAAGATATTAAATTTTTTTGTAATATATTTTGTAGTACAGTAGAAACAAGGCAGAAATAAATAGATTATGTAAAAAAAAAAAAAAAAAATATTGTGGTCTCATATTCAAGATAATGAAAACTGCATGATTAGAATATTGTTCTTTAAGCTAATTATAATAAGAAGTGAGAAGAAAAAAATTTATATGAACAGTGAGCTTTTCTAGAATGCGTATTTTTCGTTGATATTTCGTGTTTTAACATTTAACCATGGTGCATCCATTTGTTTTCTCTTAAAATGAAAAAGAATCTCGAAAAAAAGACATTCGTGAATATTTACAAAGGATTACGGGTCAGACTAGAAATTATTATTCTTTATATTGATAAGTCCAAATAACGAAAAAAATAAATAAATAAAACACTAGATCTAAAGGAAAATACCAATTTTTTTTGCTATGTAAACTTAAACTATCCCCAACATTATTTCCAAATTGAAAATATTTGTTTTTCCTCTTTCCATTTTTAACTGGTTATAATAATTGTTCGTATACCAGTCACTTAAACAGAGAAAGTCTATGACTGGTTGTGATTATACACTCGTTACGCCTATGTTTATAGTAACAATGTCTTTTTTTTTTCTGTACGCCCTTTGCTTAAAAACAAGGACAATAAGTGGAAGCATCTAACAATTAAGGATAATATATGTATTTGTTGTATACAAGAGCTAGCCGCCTCTGTTTGACATTGTAATGCATTATCACTTATATGAATAATGCAAAGATGTCTTGCTTTTCAAGCAATTAACTGACAAAAAAAAACTAATAATAATTAGCTAGCTACTTTGAATATTCCGCCTGCATGATGATTTACTGCTGATTTAACCAGTTATATATCAGATCATTAACAAATTTAAATTTAACCTAGTTTGGATAGTACTATAGCGAAAAAGAAATGAGTGGGAAATTGGAAAGGATTTTGGTCGAGCTTTGTCGCTATTTTTTAAAAAAACTTCGGATTTACTTATTCGGAAAAATTTAATGCTTGCATATTGTGAGTCCAGGTTTCGTTGACAAGGTAACAAGGCTTTTATTTTTGCGAATAATTTTTTTTGGACTCAATTTGAAGCCTAAAATTTTTATTTAAAATATTTTAAATTAACTATTTAACTATTTAACTAGCTTAATTATTTTAATTAGTTTATTATTTTAATTATTTAACTATAAAAGCAACAATATTTAATTGTAGTTTAAATGTTCCAGATGTAAATTTGGCATTGAAAATCAAATACTTCTCTATTAGACAGTGATAAGCGAGCAGCAGCAATTGAAAGAAATTCTGGTAAAAAGGGTTTGAAGAAACCAAAGAAATGGAACGTCGGACATGTTCAACTCCATGGGGAAACGGATTTTAATTAAATGAAAGATTGCAGGCCGTCAAAATAGAAAAACTTTAAAATTAAATATCAGTAAAGTTTTACATAATATATTTTTTTAAAACTGAGAATTTACCTTCACCAGATTAAAATTATTGAACGAAAACGACACTTCTAAAGGTATAATTTGAGGTAGGACCATAATATTAAAATCATCAAATTATTTGCAAAAAAATGCAGTAAAAGTATCAAACACCATCCTATCCATTGCGATATTTTTGGTCCTAGTTTGAATCCACAAATTAAAGTTACTCAGGGAATAGGTGTAAGTCTTTCTAAGAAAGTCAAGGACACGGTAGTCATTTTGGTGTATTACAAGTGGCGTTGCGTTTCACCCGGAAACATAGTTGCATGATGGATTCCGTCTTGAACCATTTCTATAATTTGCAACAGCCCAAGTTTATGTTTTATCCATTTTTTTTTCAAGGAAACTTAAGTTCTTTCATTTTTTTTTTTTGTGATTTTGAACTTCCTTTAAGAAGAGCTATCTTAAAGAAAAAAAAAAAAAAAGAAATTCAAAAGCGGGAATTTTGCTTAAAAGGTGTGCGATACAATATCTGACGATTATTAGCATAGCATGAAAAAGAAATTTGAGCATCTAATGAAGAAAAAATAACAACTTTCTTTTTACTGCTCAAAAGAAATTTTGAATTGCTCATGATATGTAGTTTGAGGTTAATGCTGATGAGTTGAGGGGATATAGCTATGAGCATTGGCAGCTTTCATGCTTTTTAAAGCTACTACATTAAAATGTTTGGTCAAAAAGAAATTTTAATTGTGTAAGTACAAAAGTACAAGACGTTGAAAAAAATATTCCTATGTATCGCGGTTTTAGAGGTTGAAAAAAAGAGAAGAGAATATTCTCTATTTTTTTTTTACTTATTAATAAGTTTATGAATTGGCAAAAACTGGATTTCACTCAATCGGGGCTTTTTTGCACATAGACGAAGGTATGAAGATTTGAAATGCGACTTAGGCTTCGTCTGGAAGCCAGGATTGCGTAGAATACAGTTTGTCAAAAAATGGCCTGTAATGCATTTAGTTTTTGATATGATATAAATTTCTGTTAATTCAATGTTAAAAAAAAAACGATTTGTGGAAATGGTGGTGATGATGTGTCATTTATCATTTATTTTTTATTTTTTATTTTTTTTTGAAACTAGCATTCATTTGTTCGAAAGATAGTGCACTCAACAAAGTTTTAACCTGAAATAAGAAAAAACCATGGAGATGGGGATATATTTATTTTATTTTATTTTTTTTTTAATAATAGTGTTAAGCACAATATTTCACAGAATAATAATAAAGAAGAATAGCTACGATTAAAAAACAAAAATCCAATATGGAATTATCATCAGTTGAATAACTAGGGTTTAATAAATTCAATAGAAAACCTTTTACCAGAAAAAACTTAATATCTTAGAAACCAATAAACAACTGAAAACGTAGCCGAGCTTCAGTCCACAGTTTTGGGAATATTCATATTTCTTAATCTCCCCCCACGTTTTTATTTTTTCTACATTCCTAACATATATGTCATATAAGACTTTTCATAAGAAGAAGTTGTCTAGAAAGATGTGTAGATACCGGTAGTTTTCATCTTTTTCTCTTATTTCATAGGTATGCTTGTTTTCTTCATCCAAACAACCGGATTGGGAAAGATGGATGATTCAATGCACGAGTCTCTTATCAGCATCAACCAACCAAACTATCAGTTACAACGGTACCCACTCCCACACCCGTATCGTATCATACTTTTCAAGCCGAAGAGAGAAAAAAAAAAGAGTATGAGCTCAAAGCCTTATATCGGAGAAGTTTTACTTGTTTTGTTGAATGACAGAGGTCCTTTTGGAGTGATGCAGCATGCTTAGACAAAACCTCTAAGCAACAACAAACACGAAGCAGCCATGCAGCCTTAAGGATTTTCGGGTGTCTTTAAGATTAACATTGTTCTTATCTTGAATTTTTTTTTTTTTTTGAATTATTGGAGACTGCTTTTTTTTTTTCTTATCTTAAGATAACGAAATATAAAAAAAAAAAAAAAACAAAAATATTAAAAAAAATAAAGTGGGTTGTTCTTGCGATATCACGAAATTTCTCTTTGAAGAAAGAGAAAACATCGTCTAGTCAAATTGGTTCATAGTGTAAACACAAGTCATAAATATGATAAGCCACGAAAAAAAAACCTTCAATTCATCTAAGTTTGAAATATAAACAGTCATACTGCAAACATCAAAAGAAACTACAGCAACAATAACAACAAACTTTTTTTTTTTTTTTTTTTTTACTTCGTTCGGTTCCATTCTTTTATTTAGTTAATTTTTTTTTGGAAAGAATCCACCTCCTTCCCGTTTCACTAAGTCAAGTAGAAAGTCAAATAGTTTAAAAAAAACCTTAAACAAGTCTCATCGAAATGGTTGTGTGTAGTTGACTTTGTTTGAGTAAAGACATATTTTTCTTCATTCTCTCTAAAGTACAAAAAAAGTTATATAAAAAATACAAATAAAAAAAAAATCAAATCAAACAGTTTTTAAAAAAAAAGAAACTCCTCTTTTATATAAAAAAAATAAATCTAAAAGCATTTCTCATCTAATCGTAATTTTTTTTAAAAGAAAAATCACGAACGACTACTGAGCGTATGTTTAAATGGGCTTCGGGGCGAAGACCTGGATGTAGTATTATGCCTTGACACACCATTAGCAGCTGCAACAGCCTCGACGCTTGGTGGGGGGCCTCCATGGCTCATTTGGGCCAGCAAACTATCTGGCTGGAACATGACTGGGCCCTGTTGATCCTGGCGATTTAAAGATTGGGTAGTTTCTGGGATATATGGATTATTCTGGGGGCCAATGGAATCAATAAGGGTAGGGTGGTTATGGTGAGAAACATAGAGGGGGGCAGCAGCTAGCGCGGCTTGAGTTAGCTTGCGTTGCTGGTCCAAAAGAGTTTCATGACCATGGGGATGTTTACGGTCAAAGGAAGCAGACGAGGAAGAAGAAGATGAAGAAATGGTGGATGACGGGGAAAGAGAGTTTTGGGGAGAATTTGTATCTCTAAAGGGGTTGTGGTCTGAATTTGTTGTTGTTACCGTTATTGGAGTTCGAGAGTCTATTCTTGCAGGCGTCGAAGTTCCGGATGAAGACCCCTTAGATTCTTTAAGCTGCGCCTTGGCAGCTTTGTCGCAAGCTTGAGCTCGTAGAGTAAAGACAATGTTACGGAAGACGGCATAGTCCTGAGCGTTATCTGTTGCAAAGATATGAAGGGAATCCTTTTTATCAACAAAAATGTCACCACGTTGTTGGGACCGAATGGCCATGGTATAACGGGCTGGGGCTTTAGCGCCTGCGCTTACCTCGTAAACGTCAAATTCACAAAGGTGGGAAATAACACGCTTATCTTTAGCAGCAACATGGTCAATAGGACCTGATTTACGTGAGATGATGAGTCCGTAGTTAGTGACTGAGAGATAGCATTTTTTCCAAGACTTGGGGCCAACATTATATTGCATTTTTGCGTAGAAGGAGGGTCCTGAAGGGCCAGCTTGGAGGACGTCTCTTCGTGGAGTCAAAAATGCAAGAGAGCTCATATCGAGACGAGCATCGGAGGAATCTAGTTGAAGAAAGTTTGATGTAACACTTGGCCATGATTCGTAGACAAATCGAAGAAGTTCAGCAGAGCGAAGAGGTCTGCGGAGGCCAAGAGATGGACAGACTTCCCAGAGCATGTAATCATCAGGGTCTGAGGAGGGCAAAGAGAGGGATGGGACCAAGGATTTGAGTACTGAGGAAAAAGTTTGATCTAGTAATAGGGTTTCCACAAAGTTGGTAGTAGATAATAGCGAGCAATGAAACTTGATTGTTGCTTTGGGAGAGTTTGATTTTTGTGCGTGGGATGCGTGGATTTCGTCTAGAGTTGGGGCTGTGGTTGGCTTAGCAATGTGTAACGAGCGAGATACGGCCTCAAGGTGTTTTTTGGAGATTGCAATTTTTTCTTCAAGGTTTGAAGAAGAAGAAGAAGAAGAAGAAGGATGAGGGGAGGATAAGTGAAGTTTTTCTTGAGACTCTTCATTTTGAAGGCTTGCAAGAAAGGGGTTGAGTGGGTTAAAGACTGTGGATGGGGCATGTTTAGGACGTGATTTTGGTGGAGATGAAGGGGTGGTTTCACGGGAGATAGTGGTGCCATAGACTGCTTCTTGGGAGGCTACAGAGTCTTTATGATAAACCTTGCGATAACCAAGAGAGATAGGTTCTACATGGGCAGGAATAGGTGGAGTATCTTGATCAGGTTGAGAGGGATGGTGAAGTTGTTCTGAATGGTTGTTGTTGTTGTTGTTGTTGTTGTTGTTGTTGTTGTTGTTGTTGTTGTTGTTGTTGTTGTTGTTGTTGTTGTTGTTGTTGTTGTTGTTGTTGTTGTTGTTGTTGTTGTTGTTGTTGTTGTTGTTGTTGTTGTTGTTGTAGTTGTTGTTATCTTGTTGTTGATCTTGTGAAGCAGCAGTAGTAGAAGTAGAAGTAGAAGCTGAAGCAACAGCAGATGGTCTACGCTTTCCTCTGTAACGAGAAGGAGCACGACCAAGTTTTGAAAGAGCCGAGATGGCAGCTTGAGGGGAATCTTCTGGAGGAGGTGGAGGGTTTAATAACATGGTTTGGTATTTAGTTAAATATGAAAATATTGAAAAGTATTTTTTTTTTCTTAGAATTTTGAATGATAGTATAGAAGAAGAAAAAAAATAAAAAAATAAAAATTTTTTGAGATTTTCCATGGATTTTCAGGGATTTTTATTTATTTAGAGGGGCTGCTGCTGCTGCTGGTTACGTATTTTTTTTTTTTTTTTATGGAGGCAACGAAATAACGCGTAGACAAAAAAAAAAAAAAACGCGTGTTGTACAAATAAAGAATAAAAAAAGAAATGTTTCATAAAAAAAAAAAAAAAAAATTATTGCACAGCCGTGAATATGAATTATTTTTTGTAACAACAGTTGTTACAGAATATATGTAATACAAAATGTAACAGAAATTTGTCACATGCACTGACCTACCCCTGCATTCCTCAACTTTTCCAAAAAAAAAAAAAAAAAATTAAAACCTCCAAAATTATATTAAAAAAATAAAAATAAAATAAAAAAATAATTAAAAGTTAAAAGATTTTTTTTTTCTTTTATATATTCAATTCATTTTGAAAGAAAAAAAAAATCATTTAAAAATTTTCTAACTGCAAGTCATTCCTTAAAAATCCCCATCCACTCCTTTTCAAACTTTTTCCTTCATTTCTTTCATTTCCCAAGCTGTGCTTGCCATTTTTTTTTCTTTCTTTTCTAACTTTTGTTTGATTCAATATCTATATATACTAGAGCTGGCTCTAATATTTCATTTAAATTCATTCATTTATTCAATTTTAAATTTTAAATTTTTTTTAATATATACTCCAAAAATATATCCATTCATTATGTCCGTCCAACCTGAACTCGCTGCAATTAATTGGAATAACCTATTTGCTATAGAACAAACTCTCCTCGTCCAACAATCAACAGATTGCTCTCTCTTCTCTGACATCTTTTCTCATAACGCTGCAGATGCTGACCATGATAATGTCCCACCATCAACTCAATCCTATTCTCCAGCACAACTTAAACACATCATTGATTCTTCAGGGAACCTCCCATTTAATGATATCCCAGACCTCCCAAAATCATCACTCGATCCTCCTCAACTAAACCTTTGGGCTGCTCTTCTCTCAAATTATCGCAATGCTGCTCAGCGAATCCCACATTACGCAGTCTCAGCCATCCATAGTGGTATCCCCCCAGCCCTCCGTGGTGCAGCTTGGCAGGTAATGGCCGAATCTTCTTCCAATGCTGCTCTCGACTCTCTCTACGATAGCTTGGCCGAAGAATGGACCCCCTTTGTCAAAATCATTGGTCGAGACCTTAACAGAACTTTCCCAGAAATAAAAATGTTTCAAGAACGTGGAGGCCCAGGCCAAGTCAAGTTGGGTCGTGTTCTTCGTGCATATGCTGCTTACGATATCCAAGTGGGTTATTGTCAGGGGTTAACTTTCCTTACTGGCCCACTACTCCTTCACATGGATGACAGAGCTGCATTTTGCACTTTGATCCAACTCATGGAGGATTACAACCTTCGCTCAATGTTCACAGCTGATATGGCTGGCCTTCAACTCCGCCTCTACCAGTTTGAACGACTTTTTGAATCGGAACTTCCAGAACTCCATGCCCATTTCCTTGCTCTTGGGGTTTCCAACATCTACGCTTCACAGTGGTTCCTCTCCTTCTTTGCAGTCACATGTCCGCTCGCCATGCTGGTCCGCCTCTTTGACTTGGTTTTTGCCGAGGGGGCAATCCCGACCCTCATGCGCACAGCCTTGGCTCTTCTTTCGCGAAACTCGCCGATCCTTATGGCTTTTGATGCAGACGAGCAAATTCTCCAGCATGTTCTTGGGAGATCCGTCTGGGACGTCTTCCAAAACAATCCAGATACTCTGATTGCCGATGTTGTGACTTTCCCGACCTGCTCTATGAACCATCTCAAAACTCTTGAAACTGAGTTCAACTCAAATGGGAAACCTAGAATGACCAACGGCGAAAAGCCTTCTAAACAGACATCTTCTTCCACTACAAACCATAATGTTCCCCTTAACAAATTTTCGATGTTTTTTACTCAACAAGTACCAATGGCCTTCAAGTGGACTACTCCAGACTCAGCCTCGCCCACGAATGTAGAAGATCCTCAGGCAACTTCCTCAACAACAACAACTCCATCAACTTCAACCACGTCGTTACCATCCACAAACACTGCAACAACAACAACAACTTCGTCAATTGCTACGCATTCTAACGCAACACCAACGTCCTCCAGGGTTCCTTCTTCGTCATTGACTCCATTTTATCAAGCCAATAGACTCTCTGTAGCTTCCTTGGATTCTACAGATTCATCCTCATCAACATCCTCATCCAGCCGTATATACTCTGGTTCTAATACAGCTTCTTCAGTAAGTTCATTTACTATCTACGATGGTCCACCATCTCGGCCATCACTAATTGGACCCTCCAAGTCCGATGAAACCCTTGTTCTTCGTGAAAAAGTTGCTGCTTTATCCGCGGAGGTTGAAAAGCTGCGGTTTGAACTTACCCAACGTGAACGTATCAGCCAACCTTTGGAAGAAAAGTCTCAAGAAGTTAACAACGATGATGATGATAATGATGACGAAAAACATCCTTGTGAGACGTGTGAAAAATTACGAATGGAGCTTGCGCTGGCCAAAACAAACGAGGCTTTGGCTAACGCAGAAATTGAAGAATTGCGGCACGCATTACTGGCACGTAAACGTTCAGGAGCCCACGCCCCTTCTGCGTCGGTATCTGTGTGCAGTTCGTCTATAAACAACCCTAATGCTGCTACTAATATCAAAGATCCAAGTGAAAAACCTTTAGGTCCTGCAACTCGTGGATGGACTATTTGGTAAAAAGGAGTTTAATGGGGGGTTATATCAATATAGTGACTCTTTTTCTTTTTCATGACTAAATTTTTTTTTTTTCTTTTGTAAATTTATTTTTAAAACAATTATATTCTGGAGTATTTAAACATCAATGATACAATAACAATGACTAACAGATGCATGAACTATCTCAATTGCCGCCAGATGGTGATGAAAAAAACATAGAAATGGCCCGGGTGACTCACAAAGACCCGCCGATAGCCATGTTTTGAACTCGGGTATAAAGACCCACCAGTGTCCTCGTAAAATAAAAAAATTACTTTTGAACAACATCATTCCTCCTCCATTATATTAAACTTCTATTCAAAAAAAAAAAGAAAAAAAAAAAATAAATAAAATAATAAAATCTCTCCAATATGACTGCAGATTCAACTCCCTTTGGTAAACACTTTCGTCTCAAATACTTTGGCTTTGACCCGAATTATGTCCCGCTCAACCACGGGTCTTTTGGCGCTGCTCCCAACCCTGTAGCCCAGCGTCGGGCTACAGAAATAGTTGAACTAACACGCAATCCTGACAAATACTTACGCTTCACCATTGCAGACCGTTTAGACTCAGCCCTGGATTCCGTGGCTCCATACGTGGGACTAACAGAGAAAAACAAAAACGGGTTGGTGTTTGTATCCAACGCAACTGTGGGAGTCAACACTGTGTTACGCTCATTCCCATTTGCCTCAAGAGATGCCATCATCTACGCGTCCTCCACGTATGGCGCGTGTGCTAAAACCGTCCAGTTTGTGCAGTCCCGCGTTGGCCTTAAATCTTACAAAGTCAACATTGAGTATCCCTTTACAAACAAAGCCGTTGTAGACGCATACGCCGACGCAATCGATAAAGCAAAAAAAGAATCACCTGAAGGTACCGTCGTGGTTTTGTTTGATGCTGTCTCGTCCCAGCCTGGTTGTAAATTACCTTGGAAAGAGCTCACAGCCTTATGCAAAACCAAGTCTGCTCTTTCTCTAGTCGACGCTGCTCATGGTGTGGGGTTACTCACAGACATTGACCTTGATACTGTCCAGCCTGACTTTTTCGTCTCAAACCTTCACAAATGGTTTTTCTGTCCAGGTCCTAGTGCTCTTCTTTATGTCGCCAAACAACACCATCCTGTGATTCAAACTTTCCCAATCTCTCACTCATATGTACCAGAAACAAGCATTTCAGAGTACCCAGAAGAAACCCTTCTCCGTGATAAGTTCCGTTTCGTCGGTACCAGTGACTACACTACCTACATTTCCACTCTTGCAGCCATTGATTTCCGTGAAAACGTTTGTGGTGGTGAGAACAAAATCCAAGAATATACCTTTAAACTTGCACGCGAGGCTGCTGCCCTTTTCCAACGAGAATTTGCTACAGAATCTGTAACAGCTCTTGACGATTCTGACACAACAGCTACTGCCATGGTCAATGTGTATTTGCCTTCTCCCTCGGGTCCTCTCGACTCTGATGGGAAAATTGACCTTGGGTTTGCTGCTGACAATATCCAATATTCACTGCTCCACAAGAGTAACGTTTATTTCCCCATTGGTGTGCTTAATGGCAAATTATACACTCGTTTGAGTGCTCAAGTGTATCTCGAACTTGCGGATTTTGAAGCCGGTATCCAAGCTTTTAAGAAGCAATTTGCTGAACATGAATCTAAGTATTCTGGGAAATAAATCTGAAAGTTTTTTTTTTTAAAAAAAACTTACTTTAGAACGTTTTTTTTATAATCTCTTATTTTTTTTTGTCTCATTATAAACAAATAATTTATGCTTCATTATATACATTGATATTCCTCTTCCCAAAACTCATTTCTGACCCAAAAGCTCTTTAAACACAACTTCAATGGCCTGTGGATCCACACGGCCTTGAGTCTCACGCATCACCTGTCCAATAAGGAACTGAATCGATTTGGGCTTCTTACCACTCGTAATCTGCTCCACAATCTTGGGGAATTTAACCATAGTCTCTGTGCACACCTCACGCACCGCTGCTGCAACATCATCCTCAGTGCCAGCTCCAGCTTCAGCAGATCCATTAGTTGGAGCCCGTGCAAGTTCAAACTCCTCCACAATCTCGTCAATGCTACGAGTGGACGTTTCCCGCGGGTTCTGTAGCAAATGTTTGAGCACCAGCTTCCCGGACGCTGCCGTTAGTTCCTTGGACGACACTGCTGTAAGCAAATCGCCAAACTGTGCTGCCAGAGGAACTGTCTCACCTTCAACAACCGCTGAGCGGCCCAGCGTTTTGAGCTCTCCAAGAAGTGTATGCACAATCCAGTTAGCTGCAAGACGAGTCTCTGCACCACTTGCTACTAACCGAGCAAATACTGCCTCGTAGTACTCCACAACAGGCAATGTCCCAGCCTGACCAAGAACCCGCTGAGAAACTTCTCCAGGAACTTCTTCTTCTTCACCACCAGCCATCAATGTGCGCGCATCTCGTAGTGGCACGTTATACGGTGCAGCCAGCAACCGCTGCAAAATGGCATCCGGCAGCTCAGGCAGCCCTGCAGTAACGCGCTCCACTACATCGGGTTCCAGTTCCACTGGCAGAACCTCCGGATCTGGCATGTATCTATAATCCACACCATCCTCTTTGGATCTCAGTTTCCATGTACGTCGACCGTCCCATCCTCTAGTTTCACGTTCGATTTCTCGGCCTGCCTCCACATCTGCAACCTGTCGCGCAAACTCAGCCCGGATAGCATGCACGACTGCGGAAGTTGTCGACAAGTTTTTGATTTCACATCGCTCTCCAGAGTCCCAGGTATCCTTGTCTGCGCGTCGACTTACCGAAACATTGACATCCACACGCATTGCACCAGACTCAAGCTCACCTGTGCACACACCCAAGTGGGCAAGCAGCTGCTGCAATTTCCGAACAAATGCACCGGCAGCCTCAGGGGTTGGAATATCTGGCTCTGTCACCATTTCAATTAGACAGTGATTTGTTCGGTTTAAATCAATGTTGGATGTATCGTCAATATAAGTCGACTTGCCTGTATCTTGTTCGATTTGAATCTGCTTGATGCGCACCCGCACATCCTCTATAGAGTCTGCAGACCCTCGCTTCTTTCCATCTGAAAGATCTCGTTCATACAGCGTTAGAAGCCCGTCTGTCGCATACGGCTCAAAGTGTTGAGTGATTTGGTATCCGGCAGGTTGGTCGCCGTAAAAGTAGTGTTTACGGTCAAACGAGAATCTCGGCGCTACAGAGCACCCAAGTGCAACAGCAGCACGCAACGCAAGAAAAACATTATTGGGATTCAGCAAAGGTTGAGTACCTGGAAGAGCTGCATCGTAAAAGCTCACTTGCGAGTTGGGAGGTGCATGTAAAGACCCTGTGTTTTGCGCAGAAAAAAGCTTTTGCGGAGTCATGAGCTGAGCATGGATCTCCAGACCACACGTAAGCTTGTACTTTGACGGGTCGATCCTCGGGCTCTTTGAAGCAGCGCTTGCAAATTGCCGGATTTGTTGATATCGTAGCATGGTGGTGGTTGTATATGGTATGTTGAGAGTTGGTGGTGTATTAATGGGAAACAATTAGACCTATGGGGGAGGTTTATTTTTTGTGCTTTTATTTTTGGGTGAAAAAAAAAAAAAATTACAACTTTACAAACTTCTTCATCACCTTAAGAAAACTTCCATCTCTTGCCGCAGTTCTCGCAAGTACAAAACGTCGTCAGCGGTTCATCTGCTGAACGGGTCTGCATCTGGAAGTATGAAACCTTCTTTTGCTTGCACCGGCTACACGTAAACCGGTCAGTGATGGCTCTCTTTTGGACAGCGGCCTGCGCGTTAAACAGATTCTCTTTCTTAAACTGTTCAATGTCCTTCTTAATTTCGTCACTTGCCATCTCCTGCGGCGACATGCTGTATAGACGCTTGCCGCTAATCTCGCCTGTAACAACCCGCCGGCGCAGATTCGGGTTATTAACGTCTTTGAGATTTGACACAAGGGATCGGAACTTAGACCGGTATCCTGGCGTGGTTCCCCGCTCGCCAACAAATACGGCATCCTCGACTTCCTTGGCTACAGTAAGAATCTGTGAAGCAGGCTCTGTAGCGCCAATAACAAGCGCATTGTACGTAAGCTCCAGACACGAATTGCGCACCCGGTCGTCATAAACTGAAGTCTTAACACCGTCTGATGATGCAGTGCGAGCCTTGCTCGACGCAGAGGGGGCGGGCGAAGATGTAGGAGTATTTGCAGCAGGAGAGGTCGATGACGATCCCGAGGCCTGCGCGGTCCCGTTGGAAGCACCAGATCCGCTATGACCAGCCGAACCCGAGCTTGAACCCAAGTGAGAGTGTGTATGGGGGTGTTTGTGCTTAGCTGAGTTCTTTTGAGCGGTGACCTGGTCTTTCCATTTCTTGATTATGCGTTTCACCTGGTCCGCAATTTCTTTATCCGAGTGGGTCCGGTACTTGTTAACGGCAATACCAAGTTTGGTTTCCTATAAAGCCTTATTGTTAGTATAACTAAGTGATTTGAAGGTGGTTTAGGGGATGAAGATTTAGTCACTCACGCGCAAGAGCTTTTCGGTGGGCTTGACGCGCTCCTCAAACTGAGAAAGCAGCATTTTGATTTTGTCGGTAGATCCGCCCGCCTTTTCCAGATCATGCATCATGGATCGGATCTCCTGAATCTCCAGCGGTGCGCTTGACGATGAAGCCGTCATTATATTTGTAATACTTTTTTTTTTTTTTGAATAAATTTACAATTTTTTTTTTGTTGCTCTGGCGCGCGCGCAATAAAGAGAGGTGTTTTATTTACTATACGCGAAAAAAAACTATTAAAAAAAACCTCAGAGACAATTTTACGCTGTGCGATACTTTGATCTCTGGAGTTTATAAAAGCAAACGTCTGGATTCCAGAGATAGCAAAGGAGCTGATGAAACCACTGAGAGTGTTGAAGAAACGGTCAGGAACTGGACTGAAAGAACAATATGAGAGATATAAAAAGCGATGGTGGTGGTAAGGAATTTAATTTTCTTTAAAAAAAAAAAATTTCAAAAAAAATGTAATTATTACTAATCATTAAGTAATTTACGCGTACTTTTTTTTTCTTCTTCTTCTTCAAAATCTATCCTAACCAATTCGCTCTATATATATATATATATATATATATCAACTCAACAATCCCCATTCACTCATCAACCATGGTGTCAGAACCAATCCCTAGTCGTGTCATCTATGTAGGCTCTATTCCCTACGATCAGACTGAGGAACAAATTCTTGATATTTTTAAATCAGTTGGTCCTGTGGCCAGCTTCCGCTTAGTTTTTGATAAGGACAGCGGCAAATCCAAAGGCTTTGGCTTTGTTGAGTACCATGACACAGAAACAGCAGCATCCGCTGTCCGCAACCTCAACAATTACCAGATTGGCTCACGCAACCTCAAAGTCGACTTTAGCCATGAAACCTCTATTACAGCGCCCACGCTTGTTTCATACCCAGAAGTCAGCCTGCCACAGCTGCCACATGGCACTATGCCTGCCCCCGGTGTCACAGCTCATGATAGCGTCAATAAAACTCTCATGAAGCTAACACGAGACCAAATGCTGGATGTCATTCTTGATCTTAAAACTATGTCTCAAAAGAATCCTTTGCTCGCCTGTGAACTTTTCAGGGTGTCGCCACAGCTATCTTATATGGTTGTTCAGTCCATGCTCATGTTAGGTATCATTGACAACAATGCAATCTTGTCTCTGGTGGACCAAAATTTCCAGCAACAACAGCAACAAATACCACCATCGCTGCCATCACAGCCAGCAGCCTTTCAAAATATTTTACAAGGCATGCGGCCGTATGGTAGTACTCCGCCTCCCACTCAGCCTAGACTTCACACCCCACCACCAGCAACTCTCCCCGCACAGCCCAAACCACACACTCCGGAGCCCTCGCAACCAGCAGCAAGTCAGGCTCCAGAAATGCCATCGCAACAGATTGAACTGATCCGTAAAGTCATGCAATTAACAGATGATCAGGTTGCACAACTCTCCGAAGATCAACGCGACGCGCTTCTTGTTCTGCGTGAACAAGTGCGGAGCGGCAAGTTTCAAATATGATGACGTAATTTCTTATTAATAAATGCTATGTACTGGTCTTTATTTTTTATTTTTATTTTTTTAATTTTTTAATTTTTTTTTGATCTTTTCGCTTTTTAAAATTTTACCTTCATTACTCTCAATTTTTAAAGATGCAAAATATGTCTGACAAGGCACCTTCGCGTGTATTATTTGTAGGAAACATTCCATATGAATTGACCGATGAACAGGTTTACGATATTATGAAGTCTATGGGCCCGGTGTCTAAGTTCCGTTTAGTACACGACCAGAAGAACAATAACCGTTCCAAGGGCTACTGTTTTGTCGAGTTTGCCACGCTCGACGTGGCGGTTGCTGCATGCCAGGCCTTTAAGACGCTCCAAATTGGAACACGAACGCTGCGCGCAGATTTTACAAAAGAATTCACAGGTGTTTCAGTCATCCCTGGCGCGCCACCAGTGCCTTCAGGATATCAACAACAGCATCACCAACATCAACATCAACATCAACATCAACATCAACAGTTCCAACAGTATCAACAGCATCAACATCAACAGCAGCAGCAACAACAACAAGGATTTGGACAGAAGAAAGAACGATGGCTGAAAAAACCAATGGGATTTAATGACCATCAACAGTCTCCACCGCCAACACGAATAAACTTAGACGCTGACGACTCTATTTCCAAGATTTTAAGTCAGGTTAACCCACAACAACTTACTGAGTTTTTTCAAACTATCCCAGGACTTGTGAAATCGAATCCAGAACAGGTCGCCATGATTTTACAGTCCCAGCAGGCGTTAGCTTATGCTTCTTTACAAGCTCTATTACTTATGGGTCTCACAGACGAATCTGTTCTGAGTGCAGTCGCACCTGATCTCAATATGTCTCTTCAGGAAATTATTGCGCGTGTACGCAAAAATGGACAACCAAGTGAGGGGCAAGCCAATGGTGGACCAAATGAACGAAATGATCGCTCAGATAGATCTACCGACAGAGGACGTTCTACGCAAGATCCACGCCAGAACAGACGTAATGGGAACTCAAATACCATTAACAATATGAATAATAGACGGGACCCTCGAAAACAAGGACAACAACAGCAACAGATGAACAAACCACAAATACAGCAACAGGCGCTTGCTGCACCGCCTATGCAACAAGCTCCTAGGGGCGGGCCCCCGGGGTTAGATGCGAATAATGCGGCTCTCTTGTCGCAGGTAATGCAACTGACTGATGAACAGATCCGGTCGTTGCCAGAAGACCAGCGAAATATGATTCGTATGTTGAAGGCCAACTACCAGGGATGAATAGGTGAAAAAAAAGTTTTATATATTTGTGTATTTGTGTAGATATTATATGACCATATAAATCATGAATTAAAAGTTTAAGATTGAATCTGCTGGACCCACGTTTTTTGTAGTTGTTTCTGTAATAATTAACTCATTGCACAACCACCAAAACTTTTTTTTTTACTTCCTTTACATCAAAACACTTTCCCTGAAAAAAAAATTATACAATAGGAGCACAAAAAAAATGTTCGCTACCATTAGATCTGCTCGTCTTGCCATCCGCATGGCCTCCCGCGCCACTCTTCGTGTGCCTGTTGCCGCCATTGCCTCTCCTCGTCTGGCCACTCTTTCTACTGCTCGCACTTTCTCTGTCTCTGTTTCTGCGCGCTACTCTTCTCCCAGTGACCGGTCGCCCATTTCTGGCGATGAGATCTTTGGTTCCGATGATCCCAACTCTCCTATGACTAAGATCAAGAACAGCCCTGCAGTTCTTAAGGTCTTGGTTGATATTGGTGAGATGCTTCAAGCTAAGGGTTACGTTGTTCCTGGCGAGTCGGTTGGTATGTGGACTATGCTCAAAATGCTTAAGGACAAGGATTTCCAGGGAAAGCTGCGCGAGCGTAAGTAATCAAAAAAAAAAAAATTATTTAGTTGAATGAATCGTTCTAACACTGATTTAGTTAAGGAAACCATGGATGCTGAGGGAATCCAACTTACTGAAGCCGAGTATGTACCATACACTATTCTTTGATTATTATGTCTATTACTAACACTAACCACCAACACAGTCTCATGAAGTTCGCTCAGACCTTGGGTCTCAACACTAAGAACTAAACAGTGGAAGCTTTTGTATATAGTAGAATGTATTTTTTAAAGGGAATTTAATATTATTTTGACAAAAACAAAAATGAAGCTTAGTTTCAATAAAAATTACTATTGATTCAAAAATATTCTGCTTTTTTTTACAAGAAAAAAAAGCTGCTAAAAAATTATCTTTCGAGCGTGAGTCGAACACGCGGCCTCAGGATTACAATGCGCCATTACAGTCCCGCGCTCTACCAACTGAGCTATCGAAAGTTAGATACTTGTAAAAAGTTTTATTTAAAAAATATTTATCACAGATCAATAACTAAATGATATTTTTAAATATATTTTTGGCATTTAGAAAGATAGCACAGATGCTTATGTTATATAATTTTATAACCCTTGAATAAAACAAACAATTTGGTTTTTTTTTAAAGTATCTTTTTAACTTATTTTTAACGTTAATGTGCAGATCTGATTAATTTTTTTATTAATTTTTTTTTATTTTTTTTTCAATTAAAGTTTTCATTCAAGTAAAACGCGTTCAACTCATAAAGATTCCATCATCATGCCACCCCGCGCTCGCATAATGTCTTTAACAACAGAAATACACACCATCAGTTAGATCAATGGACTCAGATTTTATCATGCAAGCTTTATTGAATTATTATTTTGTTTTTGGAGTAAGAAATTTTGATTCCATATAAACCTGTTGGGGTCTGCTTTGCTTTTCCCACTGAGGTTTTCGTTTTTTTTTCTCCCTGCATTCCATTCCTTTCACCATACACACTAAACAATACACACTAAACAAAAAAAAAAATAGTCATGAACCACCCGGAAGACAACATTCACCCGCAAGCTCCACGCGACCCGGGGACTGACGTCGACTATCAGGCTCTTTACCGACCTTATTCTCAGGTTGTTCAGCTTGATCCGGCTGTTCCTGTCAACCTCGAGACCTTTGTTGAACCTGAAGAAAACGTTCCCTCATCAGTCCTCGAACGCCAGGCCACACACCATAGTACTGAAAACTTTGCTGCTGTCGCAGACAGCATTCAAGTCCCGGAACCGGCACAGACAGAAAAAACTGCCCAGCAGTCGCAAGCCCAAACATTTAGTCACGCACACGAGTACGCGCAAGCTCGTGCAAATCAGCAATTAGGGGCGGAACGCCGGACTTTGGGCCAGCCAGTAGCACCTATTGTGAATGTCGAAAACGAGTCGGGCATCTATACACGTGAACCAGTCACATTTTGGGGATATGTTGGAGTCGTGATTTGCTTTGTCACGTCTTATCTCTTTTGTCTTTTCGGGCTGTCGTTCCTGTTAACCTGTGCCTTTTTCTCGTCGCTTAAAAAGAAACACAAACACAAGAAAAAAAACAAGCGGCTCAACATTGTCCCGCCTCATTTTCCAAAGCTCGACAAAACAAACCGCAAGCTCAAACCCGACCTTGCCTACTATGCTGAGGCTCGTGGGTACAAGATGGAGGAATTGGAAGTCACAACTTCGGATGGGTTCATTGTCAAAGTTCAGCATTTGATCAATCCAAATGATACCCCTGCTGTGCGCGCATCCAGATACCCTGTTGTAATGCTTCACGGTCTATTACAAGCGGCCGCAGCCTATGCCACTTCAGGCGAACACTCGTTGGCCTTTTTCATGCTTGAATCGGGCTACGATGTCTGGCTCGCCAATAATCGCAATGGCTTCAAGCCTAAACATACAAACTATAAGTACCTTGATCTGCGCATGTGGTCCTGGCGCATCAGTGAAATGGGCACCCGCGATCTCCCAGCCATTATCAATTTTATTTGTGAGCAAACTGGCTCAGCCAAAGTTGCTTTAGTGGCTCACTCACAAGGTACAACACAAACCTTTTTAGCTCTTTCGCGTGGATACATGCCCGAGCTTGGTGACAAGATTTCTGCTTTTGTAGCTCTAGCCCCTGCAGTTTATGGCGGCAAGTTGCTCGATCGGTATTTTTTGCGCTGGGTACGCCATCTCAGTCTCAAGTCTTACCGCTTGTTTTTCGGTCACCATGGCTTTTTTTCAATAATGATGCAAATGCGACGCATTATTCCATACAGTTTCTTTGGTTACTGCGGAAAAATCATGTTTAGCTACCTCTTTGAATGGAACGATTATCTCTGGGACAGCCGCTACAATGGCCGCCAGTTTATCTTTTCTCCAGTGTATGTATCGTCAGAACTCATGTACTGGTGGGTCGGTAAAGGGGGGTTTGCCGACCGCGGATGCATATTTACTTCTGAAGATCCCACAATCCCTTGGTATGATGAGCACCTCCCACCAGTCTGCATTGTTGTTCCCGGCCTCGATGATCTTGTCAACCCACACAAGCTTGTCGACCGCTTTCACAATGTCGAGTGCCGCCTGGTGCAGCACGATATTGAAATCGTCAACGTTCCCGAGTATTCTCACGTTGACGTTCTTTGGGCCATTGATACTATTGAAAAAGTGGGTATGCCCATGAGTAGCTTTATTTGGCGAACAAGACACAAGCAGGAAGGTCGTGAGTGGATGACTCCGTCCTATGCCAATGTGCATGTTCCCAGTGAGACTTCTTAATTTTAGATGCTCAGCTGTTTATTACTGTATTTTTAGATTATTTTTTTGTTATATTTAATAGACTCTTCTTAGTTTGCATACAAATGGTTTTCTTGAATATATTGACACACTTCAGGTGAGTCCACAATGTCTAGCACCGTATCCCAATCACCATCGTGTGCAGCAGCGCGGACCCGTGTTGACGACACATCACTAAGACGCACTTTATAACTGCCGTCCTCGTCATCACCTACCGCTGCCGGATCCAGGATATCCACACGCTGTGCCCACCACTCTGGAAATGCAACAGACCCATCCGCCACAGCTGTTAGCCACCGCGCCTTAGTAGCCAAAGGTTCTGTTTCTCCTCGTGGAAGTGCCCAAACTTGAGCCATTTTAAAAAACCCGTTTAATTGTGGCACAATTGATGTGCCCTTGCCGTTTTCGCCAGGGTAGTACTTGGGATCCAAGAGCCGCACAAGTGTGTCAAAGCCCATGAGAAACACAATTCGGTCTGAAGAATCCTTGATTTCTTCATTTTCTTGAGTAAATCCATCGCATTTCCCCAATAGCGTAGACAAGTCCCGACATTTGTCCACAAACTTTGGCGATGCAGCTCGCACAATAGCCACAGCCCACTCGACTTTTGTGCGCGTGGTGGCAGAGTGAACCCTTTGGTCGCCAAAAAACCAGGTGCTAAAATTCTTAATCATGGCTTCACGGCGACGCTGATCGGTGATGCTGGCCGTGCCTTTGTCTGCGTTTAAGGCTGCGTAGCTTAGTACCACGTTAACTTGGACCGGCCCCAATTGCGTTGGCCCCAATTGCGCGTAATGAAGTGCTGCAAGACGGGCTAATGCGTAATGAGCCCTGTGGGGTGGATTAAACGATGCATCAAGAACAAATACAGGAGCCTTGGAAAAGAATGTACGAGTCTGTGTAACAATTTCCATAGTGCAATTGCTATAGGAGTTTTTTGAGTTTTGGTCTGGGTTAAAAAGAAAGTCCAGATGAAATGCTTATCGTGGAACCACTTTTTATTTAATTTTTTTTATAAAACCCCTATTTAGTCCCCGCAAATTTAGTAAGTGGAGAAGTTAATGTGCTTTTATTTTATTTTAAAAAATTATTCATGACATGTACATTTCGTTAACAACGTAATTAAAGATCTTCCTTGACAATGGGCTTCTTGACCTCCTCCTTGACACTTTCAGTCTTGGCTTCAGGCTCAGCCTTAACCTCTTCAGCGACCTTCTCATCAACCTTGATTTCTTCCTTAGCAGACTCCTTGACGTCATCGGTGTCAGCCTCAATTTCATCCTCAAGATCAGGCTCAGCACCATCGGGAGTCTCTTCCTTTTTCTTCTCCTCAAGTTCCTCCTTCTTCTCGGCTTCGGCTTCCTTGTTAATATCCTCAGGCTTGACTTCGACCTCAGCAATCTTGTCAGCAGCAGCAGAAGCGGCCTCTTCAACGTCTTTGTCTGTATTTTCTTTAGCTTCTTCCTCAGAAATCACATCGACGGGATCAATAGGGACAGGCTCTTCTTTAGGTTCTTCCTTAAGGACCACCTTTTCTTCGGCCTTTTCTTCAGCTTTCTCCTCGGTCTTTTCTTCAGCCTTCTTCTCGGCCTTTTCTTCAGCCTTTTCCTCGGCCTTCTTTTCGACCTTCTCTTCGGCCTTCTTTTCGACCTTCTCTTCGGCCTTCTTTTCGACCTTCTCTTCGGCCTTCTCTTCAGCCTCAGCCTCCCTTTTCTCAACCTTAGGCTCTTCCTTAGGAACTTCTTTCTCCTCAACCTTGGTTTCATCCTTGAGAGTTTTCTTCTCCTCGGACTTTGTTTCTTCTTCAGGGGTCTTTTCTTCGGCCTTAGGTTCTTCTTCGGGAATCTTCTCCTCGGTCTTAGGTTCTTCCTTTTTCTCAACCTTAGGTTCCTCTTCTTCCTCCTCATCATCCTCATCCTCATCGTCGTCCTCATCATCGTCTTCGTCTTCAACTTCATCTTTCTTCACAACCTTAGGCTCTTCTTTCTTTTCATCTTCACCAGGAACAAACTCCTTATAACCCTTGATGCCCTTAAGCTCTGTGATAAATGTAAGAGTAGCTTCAGGAGGAATAACACCACCAGCACCACTGCTGCCATAGCCAAGATGTGGTGGAATGACCAGCTTTCTCTTTTCACCAATGCACATGCCCAGAACGCCCTTGTCGAATCCGGGAACAGTCTGACCAAGACCAACTGCAAACTCCAGGGGAGTACGGCCAGGCTTGAGCGAAGAATCAAAAACAGTACCATCAGCAAGCTTGCCAGTGTAATCAACCTGAACAACATCGCCAACAGCAGCTTTGCGTTCACATGTAGTAGCACGTTTCAGGATTCCCACACGCAGCTTGGGGAGGTCTCCTTCACTACCAGCGGCAGCAGTCGAAGTAGCAAAGAATGCGAGAAATGCGGTGATTGCAGCAGAAGTAAACTTCATTGTGAAATATTAAACAAACCGAATTTTAAGAAACAGAGAACTGAAAAAATACCAATTGAGTCTTTTGGTGGCAAAGAGAAACTCGTATTTTTAAGTGGTATGTAAAGAATGGTAAAAGAAAGAAAACAAGAATCCAAATACGCCACGTAAATGCCAAAAATCAGCACTGCCGCCCACTAAATATCAACAATGACACCTATCACGTGCCGAACAAAGCATGACAAGTTATGAAGCTTTTCAGGTCAATTGAATGTCTCTGAAAGATTTCACTTTAAAAGATCGATCATAAATCTTTTAAAGACGGTTAAAAGTCTGATAAGAGAAATTATAATGGGCATGGCCTTTTTTTATGTGAGAAAAGTAAAAAAAAAAAAAAAAAACAAGTTTCTTCTTCTGTCATGCGGCGCTTGTTCTAATTCTTAAAGTATTAATTCAATTATATTTAGATATTTTAATTTTTTACATACACAAACTTGAGAAACGTTAAGTATTTATTATATTTTTATTTTTTCGTCAACGAAAACATCAAATTCTAATCATTAGTTCCCCCAAAAGTTATTGGTTTTTCTCTTAGCCACTAAAGGCTTCAAGTATAAAGCTAGCCCTGTCATGGCTGCCATAGTATAGATTAGTTTGTCGCGGCCAAACGACGGTGTCAGTACATCAAATAGCCCTGAGGGAGCAACCTTGGTGCCAAAAATATCTAAGCCATAGCCAATGACTATTGATGTAGACTCAAGCACCGTAGGTACTGTTAACAGTGTCGATACTCGGACCACTTGCCGTGTGTGCGATAGAACCTGTCGTGCAGGGTCGTATGGCAACAGACTGTCGTACCGCGAAATACCTTCTTCAGAGGCTTCGGCTGAAGTGGGGTCGCGGTCAACAGGTCGCCGCGCAGACAAGTAATTTCCGCGCTTAGGCAAACTCAGAATCTGGTTACGGGAGGTAGCTGCAATCACATCGCGAAGCGTGATACCGTAACGAGTTCTGGTGATTCCAAGTCCAGTAACACGCGCATGCTGCGTGGGAATGTAATAAGCTTGTGATTTGACAAAGGGATCCTCAAAGTTGTCAAAAGATGAATAAGGTGCACTCTCCAGTTTACCCTTTTTGTTTTTCTTTGCCATTGTACGCTGGTTGGAAATTTCAGATTCGTAAAGATCCCATACAACAACAATCTGGCCTAATGTCGGGTTTGTGGACCAATAAGTGTAGACAATCCAATTTTCGCCAACAACCAAATGAGTGTATTCATCAACAGCATATTTGTCAATACCGGTGCCAGTATTGTGATGCTTGGAGTGTAGAATACGACCAGAAGCGCTATCTAACAGATAAACGTAAAGAGAACCAGGTCCTGTAGCGGTGATAGCAAGCAAATTATTATGAAGATACTTGTATAAAACAGATCTATCACTCAATACCTGTCCAATGTTCACAGTGAAATCCAGTTCGTGGCGGGAAGCCACATTCTGTATAACATGATCTGAGGGGACATTAAATCTCCATATTTGAGAAATGGAGGTGCCATTAACAAAAAGTCCAACAAGGGCAGACTTATCTTCGAGGGTTTTAGTGATATAAATGGGAACAGGGCTAGAAAAAACTTGTCCATCAAGACCATAAAGTTTACCAGAAGTGGTAAGCAACACAGACGTTTCAGTCTTTTCTTCAGCAGTAACAGAATCAATGTCCTCTTCTTCAGTAGTTGTCTGGATACCAGGAAGATAAAGAGTCAAAATTCGACTAATAGAATCGTCACTTTCAAGCAAAACAGTTGCTTCTTCCAAAATGTTACCAGTCAGTCCATCAAGAGTAATGACTTTGTTAGTACTAGGGTCTACAACAGTAACCTTTTCCTCCAAGCTGGTCACCAAAAATTTAGGGCTACCATGAGCTCGGGGGGTCAAAAGGTCCTTAACCCAGACAGTTTCACCACTTTTAGTTGAATCCAAAGCCTGAATACGGCCAGTCTGAGAAATAGCAATGAAATACTTTTTAAATCCAAAATAAGCATCATTGGCAGAAGTGCCATCTGTACTAGAAGCACTGCTAAGCCAAGACCAAGAAAACAATGCATTGGGATTTTCGGCAATTTTCTTAATAAGCCAAAGCAAATCTCTGACATGTCTAGAAAGGCGTCGAACATAGGCAACATAAATATTTGAATGCTCTTCTAAAAGAGCCTCCTTAACATCCAAGCTCACTTTTCTGTCATCAGGATAATCAAGGATAAGAGCAGCGTCAAGGTGAGCTAAACTCTCATCTCGAGTCCATTTGAATTGATCAGATAGAGGCTTGACAATTCCGTTGGCATATTGGATAAACGAGGGTGTAATAAGAGTAATGGGCTGGTCAAATGGTTGTTTAGAAACAATATCACCAGTTTTAATATCAATAATTTCAATATTAGAGTCTTTGGTAATGGCGAACTTAGTGGCATCAATTTTTGAAAAAATGCCAACATTGTCAATAGTGTAAATAAGCTCCGAGGTTTCAATAGAGTATGCTTGAATTACGGTATTTGAAACAGTGATAACAACCTTTCCATTGAGGAAGAATACATCAGCTGGAGAAGATGATTTAAGTTCACCCTTAGAGTCAAGATGAACCGTTGGAGGTTTGATATCTTCACCAGAAGTTTTGTTTTCCTCTTCCCAAACAGTATGGCCATCGTCGGAATAAGCAACAACTTTACCAGGTCCCAGAACAAGAGGCGACGATGCAAATGGGTCCTTATGGGGTTTAACTTGGGATGAGTGTTCTTCAGTAAATTTATACTCCAAAAGAGAGCCGGCAGAAGTGTCTTCTAAAATGATGCCTGAAGCAGAAAGAGCCGCAAACTCAATTGGCTCATGCAAGAGTTCGGGAGTAAATTGGCCAAGTACTGCACCAGCAACAGAACCAATCTTGTAAAGAGCAGAGCTGGTAAGAGCATAAACACCATTAAAGTCTTTAACAAATGTGATATCAATGCAATTTCCGTTTACGGTGACTTCCCAAACAACCGAACCAGTCGTAACATCAAAAGAGGTAAGTTTGCATGTCTCTTCGGCTGAAAAGCCAACAACCAAAATACCTTTTTCATTTTCAGGAAGGTAATTTGACAATAACAAAGGCGTAGCAGGACCATTGGCTTCAAATGAAAAGAGTTTTCTCCAAAAAATTGATCCATCAGTAGTGTTGATTCGAGCAATGACATGATCGCTCTTGTGCTGCGAGTAGTAGAGTTCAGGTGCGGGAGAAGCTTTGAGAAGGCCCAGGGATTTTCTGTGCCAGTCTACAACTCCAGCTTCATCAGAAAACACAGCCAAAACCGGCTTAACGCAAAAAAGTGCCAGCAATGACTGCAAAAAGAGTATTAGAGTAACCATATGGTAAGTGGGAGAAATGAATCAGGTTGGGCAATACCTGTTGTTGATGTTGTTATATTTTTTTTCTTTTATTCAGTTGGTGGATGAGATTAATTAAAGGCTACGTGAAGGCGACGAACTTTTGTTACACATATCTGTAATATTTTTGTAATTTTTAAAACACGTGAATGCTGACAAAAAAACTGGGTTCATAATTATAACTTTCGTTGAAAATTATTCTTTGGGTGTAATACATTTTAAGCATCCATGACTATTAGTAAATATCACTTTACCTCTTTATTTATGGTAGGGATTCCTTTTAGCAAATTTAGAAAAAAAATTTTTTTTTCGAATTTACCCAAATATTTTTATTTTAAAATGCAATTAGCTATATTTGAGCTGGACTTACGATTATGTTCATAATGTCTATTGTCAATGCTTTAATCTTTAAAAGCAGACAGGATATGTTTAAAAACAAATTATGACCCGAATTGTGAGGCTTAAGGAAAAATTTCTTAAAACAGGCAAAAACAACTGAAAGTTCACAATAATTACTAATAAAAAAAATAATCCCCACTAAACATCTAACGGCGCTGATTAAAAATAAAATATTACAAAGATCAGCATCACGGTTAAAGACTAACACTAAACAAATTAAATAAAAAATGACTCTTTTACGTTATAAATACCATTTTTGTTTTGTTTAAAATTCTGAGTTGTTTGTTGAACGAAGACTATGAGCTATGTGCATTTATCGTTCCGTCAAACGGCAAAAGTTCGCCAATAGAACTACTATTAGTGGTCCTGTTTTATTTTCAATCGGGCCGTTGGAATTAACTACAACGGCTGCAAAGGTTCATGATTGTTGTATTGACCATTTATGGTCTTAACACCACGGAGTTAAAAAGAAAGAAAAGTTTTGCTTAACTAAAAAAATAAAGAAATATATAAATACCTCGAGTACTTCTTGCTCTTCTAATCTTTTTTTTTATTTATATTTATAAATATAAATATAATTATATTTAAATAAAAATTTATCCTCTATCAAATTATTGCTATTGACACATTGCCCTGGTACCAAATACCTAAAATGGAATTACAAAAAAATGAAGAACACAATTTTTCGGAGTCATTGTTCACAGATAATTCCTCTCAATCTAGCACAATAGAAACTTTACCTCAAGTGCCGCATCAGCCGCCTGAATTGCCATTAGGTCCATTCCAGCAACATGACCTTTTTTCTCCTCACGTCAAAGAGCTTCATATCCAAATATGGTTACATTCTCTACGAAACTTGGTTTTTATGAGTGTTTGTGTTTTGGCAATTCTTTCTGTATTTTGGGGATCAATGTATGGTCGCGGGGACCGAGTGCATAACCTAAATGTCTGGATAATCAACTACGATTCAAATCCAAATTCTTTTGTTGGTCCAATGTTTTTAAATTACATTGAATCTTTGGGCTATCCAAAAAATTATTTAGGATACCAAATAATAGATCCCTCTTCATATGATGGGGACTTAACGACCGTCGCTCATGATACAATTGAAGAAAAGGCGTGGGGATTTATCACGATTGCACCCAATGCATCTTCGTATCTTGTTGAAAACCTTCAATTTCCTCAACATGATTTTAATTCTAGCAATCTGATAACTTTTTGGTATCCAGAAGCTCGAATGGAAACAGTTTACCGAGACATTGTTGTACCCCAAATCAATAATATAAGCACCGCATTCACCTTTACTTTTCGCCAGTACTGGTTGGATCACATTAATTCTACACTTAATTTATCACAACGGACAACTATTGTTGAAACCAATGTCGATATTATAGCAAACCCTATAGATATTACTGTTATTAATCTGATACCATTTACAGGTAATATTTCTTCAGCTATCCTCACAACCGGCTTGATTTTCCTTATTATTGTCTCATTTTTTCAAATACCATTTTTTGCACCTGTTCACCAAATTATGCTAGGTAAAGTTAAGTTTTTGCAATACATGGTTTACCGACCTTTCATAAACTATGTTTCTGTTTTGTTCTTATCCTTAGCATTTTCATTAGTTTCCCTTGCATTCCAAGGGGATTTTACAGTAAAATTTGGCCGTGCTGGATTTGTTGTATATTGGATGATTAACTTTCTTGCCATGAATGCTCTTGGTGGGGCGTCGGAAAATGTGGGCACGATTATATTTAATGTCTACCCTCAAGCCATTGGATTTTGGCTAATATTTTGGGTTTGCTCCAACTCTTCTACTAGTTTTGCACCTCTTGAGCTTCTTCCAGAAGTTTATAAAGTTGGAAAAGCTCTACCTGTACATAATGCTCAAATGGCTATTCGAACAATTCTTTTTGGTACTAAGAATCAACTTGGTCTCAATGTTGGTGTTTTTTTTGGTTGGGTTGGAGTCAATTACTTGATCAGTTTCCCTTGCATGATATTTGTGAAAAAATATAAAACCTTTCAAGCGAAGAAAGTAGCAGCTGTCGCAACTGCAAATGCGATAGAGACTTCAAATTTGGAAAAATTTTAAAAATTAAAAAAGACTAATCATTGGAATTATTCTTAAAGATTGAGTTATTTAATTAAATATTTTATTCCGTTCAATATAGACTAATTTTTTACTTATTTAAAATAAAAAAATCAAATCTCTAAATTATTCTAAAGTAATTTAAAATAAGCAGATCTGCTTATTTTTTTTTTTTGCAATTTGTATTTTTTCAAAGTAAAAAATTTTTAAAACCAGAACAATTAAATTCATTGTGCTCTCCATTGCACTAAACTGCCCTTTTCTTTTGTAGGATCCTTTTTTTTATGAATTATAGAAATATATGAAATATATAACATCAACATCTGCGCTTTCCTTCTTGTCCATACTATATATCTTTTCATTTTCATAATAAACTTTTAATTTTGGCTTCAGCATTGCATCTCCAACAGCCCGAAAATAAGTCCTGATGCCAGCTTACAAGGAACAGGGGGTTAAAAATAACCAAACCTTCCCAAATTATCTCCACTTGTCTTCATCAACGCTGTAATTGTATTTCTTAATCCCTCCAAGCAGAGATAAAGCTTACAATCTCTTGTAAGCCAGTTAAACTGTTGAAGAGAGTCGACATGTCCATCTCTGGAGATATCCGTTTGAGTCCTTTTCTTTCCTCTTCAAGCAAAGGACACTCAACTAAAATGTGATGAACTGTTTCCAGCTCTCCACATTTGCAGTTGTAACTATCCTTTTCAATTCCAAACTTTTTAAACCATGCGCCAAAGTTGCCATAGCCTGTGCGAAACTGAGTAATATTACTCAAGATCCTTCGACTATCTTTCTTCATGATCACTCCCGTAACCATTTTGGAAAGATTATCAGTACATTTCGACTCCACTGTGATATTATGATACCACAGATCCTTACTACTGTTCCAATACATTTCTTGCCATTCTTCCATTGCTTGTTTCTTCAAAATTCCAATCGTCTGATTTTGTTGTTGTTTCAGTGTAAGAGGTTCAACTCTCTTGCATTTTCGTTTTTCACCCTTTTTAATCATGTAGTCTCTATCATCTTTCGCCAACATGTAAAGCGTGGTTAGCTTTGCAATTGGAGATTTCTCAATCAATGTTAACAAATGACCATTAATAGGATTAGTTTTGCTAATATTTAGGTGTAAACAAATAGCTTTTCGTGCCACCATAAATTTTAGCCTAATACTATATGGCATAATACCAGCTTCCTTTTGTAATACCGCAATAGGAGTTGTGCGATAAGCACCAACAATTCTTCTTAAAGCCATGTTCTGCATCACTTCCAACTTGTGGATTTCTCCTTTCAAGACTTTATGATGCCAAATTTCTAAGCCATATTCGACAATTGGTCTCACGCAAGCAATATACAGTGATCTGACTGCAGACCCCCGCATCCCTTTTTTGCACGCCACCAAGATGCCAAATAGCACCAACAGCTTTTCTTGCTTTATTGATTTTGTTCAAAATATGAGATTTAAAATCAAGCAGATTGTTCAAAGTAATTCCAAGCAATTTAACTTCCTTCTGGGGTTCACGAAGTTCTCCATTAAGTAAAGTAAGTTGCACTTTTCATCTTTAGGTTTCACATTTTTGTAAAATGAATGAAACCCAATTTATCACCCAAATCAATTTTGGTCATTCTTGATTTAGCCCAATTACAACATTTTTCTAATATGTTGCTTAAGCTTTGGTATTTTCTTCAATTTTACCTTCAACGGTAATAGTCACATCATCAATAAAGCCAAAAGGAGTTCCACCCCATTCTTTAATGGCATGATACATTGGTGTGGAATATATCAAAAAGTAGTGGTGAAATAGGTGAGCCTTGCGGAATTCCAGTACTAATTTTTGCACTGATCCTTTCTTCGGTCCATGAGCATACTAGTTCTCTTTCACTTACAAATTGGTAGGTCCAGTTTATAAGTGCTTTGGGTAGTTTCATATCCTCCATTGTGTCTGCCAATATATTTCTGTTAACATTATCAAAAGCTCCTTGAATATCAATGAGCATAGCTGAAATTTTTTCTTTACTAGTTTCAATTCTTTGGACAAGTTCCAAAACAGCATCAGTAGCACAATAACCTTGTCTTCCCCCATATTGCTCTGGTGGAAGTAAGTGTGATGTAAGCTTGGTCATTCTTTTGTATAATTTTTCCAGTACTTTAGATGGAATCTTAAGTAAGGAAATTGGTCGGTATGCTCTTGGCTTTGAATAGTCAGGTTTCTTAGGTTTAGGTATAACAACAATAATGCCATGTCTCCAGACTTTTGGGTGGTATCCAAACTTCACACAAGCTTGGAGAAGCTTGAAAAACCTTTCCTTAAAATCTTTATTCAGCCATGCCATCTTTAAAACTTTGCCCGTAATTCCATCGTCTCCTGGAGCTTTATCATTTGGGGTATCAGCCAATGCAGAGTCAACTTCATCAAACTCTAATTTTGGCCATCGAGAATCGTCATCAATTTCAAACTCTCTATCAAGACCATGATCAATTTCAGGTAGAAGTGCCTTCCATATTTCATGTCTTTTTTCGTCAACAGTAGTAGTGAGAGTTCCATCTTCTTTTCTAATCTGTGGTATAATGGTATCATTGCTTTTTGGGTTAATGTATTTCAAAATCTTCCAGATGTCATTTCCTTCTAAACTAGACAAATATTTATTCCATTGCTCAGTACTTGCTTCACGCAAACTGTGGTCAAAAATTTTTCTAGCTTTTTTCGCCTCTTCAATTTTTTGTCGTTTCAAAGCCAAAGAAGGTTGCCTTTGACGGGCTTCCCTTTTAGCTTCTAGCGCTTTTTCTAACTTCTCCCTTAATTCTTGATTCCAATAGCGTTTGGACTTTTTCATCACCTTAACTTCCTTCATCGACTTTGCCATTGCTCTTTTTATAACCTCCTCAAGAACTTTAGCTTGGTCATCAATTTGGTCAGTTGATTTTAGAGTTTTGTTATGCACATTAAAATCTTTAATGGCAGAAGAAAGCTCCTTGTCAAACTTTTCCCAATCTGCATTCTTAATATTCAGTCTCTTCACCGAAGTAAAATCTTCATCCCCGTTTTTACTCTGAGACATAGAGATGTCCCACTCCACAATTGAGTGATCACTTAGTGTATTTTCATCCACTCCACTAAATGAAATTCTATGAAGTAAATTCACTGAACCATAAACCAAATCAATATTGGTTCTATTGTTGTATGTTTTTTGATTTCTTGGAGTAATTAACATCATATCATTTTCATGTAACCACTCAACAACTTCATCTGCTTCTGTATTCGGACCTGCCTTTGATTCCCATTCCTTGTGATGTAAGTTATAATCACCTGCAATGACAATCTTTGAGTATTGTTCCTTGATCTCCCGTTTGAGAAACTCAAAAACCGGTGGCTCAGGGTATTTCTTGGATGGTTTCGGTTGATTATAGACATTGACAATTGTAATGTCTTTAACCAAAATGGTAACCATATCTCGATTTGTAAACTTTTCAATTTTAGTAGTTAATGCTCGTAAGTCAGAGTTAGACCTAATGTAAGTAATTGCTCTGCATTTATTTTTTTCTTTTCCAGTTTCTGTAAAGATTGGGATCCAATCTTTATGTTTAATGGGCCCATAGTTGTTAAAGTAAGGTTCTTGTAATAACAAGATATCAGGTTCTTTTTTATCTAAGATAGTTTCAGTAATAGATTTCGATTTATGACAATTGAGTTGGAATACTTTATAATTCATTGGATGTAATAGAATTGTTTTCGTTTTCTTCCTCATTGGATTCATCTAGTTCTTCAACATTTGTTTCTTTCATCGGTTCATCTTGTGAGTCGTCGGTGGAAACAGGATGGGCCTCATTATCCTTTTTGTCTGATTCATTTTTCAATAATCGTATTTTATTACGCATAGCTTGGAGTTCTTCAGGAGTTTTTTTCCTGTTAATAAAAGGTCTAACTTTAACTTTTGTGTACTGGATAATAAGATTATCAGCACACTTTGCATAGTCCTGGGCATTTCTAAATGAAACCAATGCTGTTTGGGTAAATTGGTTTCTGCTAATGATTTTGGGTTCGGTATTCAAAACAATATGGTAATCATTAAAATTGTAGAGAGTTTCTTTCAAGTCTTCAATCGATGCCGTATTAGGTATTTCCTGAAGTACAGCCTTGTACCAAGAATCTGTGTCAAGCACTGAATAAGTAGGGTCAACTTTGGGGATCCATTCTGCAGCTTTATCAGCAAAATCTTTGTCATTAAGTTGAACATATAAATGCCCTTTGACAGTATAGCCTATCTCCCGAGCCACCGGCTTTTGTGCAACCGCATCAATTTTCTTTCCAATCGCAGGGATATTAACTCTTTTCATGGTATCTGGAATTCTTATGCACACTCTAAAAGTGGGTTTGTCGTCATCAGCTTTAGTTTCACGGTGTTGTTTTTGAGCCTTCATAATGTCTTTCAACTTTGGAGTTGCTCCATTTGGAGTTTTAGGGGTCAAAGCAAAAGGCAAAGTGTCGACTTTTCTTACCGCGCTCTTGATTTCCTTTTTTGCGTAGCTAAGTTCTTTGGTAGTTAAATCAGCCTTAGTTGAAATAGTTCCAACTTTGTATTCCATATTATCAACTCTTTTTTCAAGATTGTTGGTCATTTCTTTGAATTCCTTGATTTCAGTGTCGATAATTCTTTTGTTTCTTGCTTTTTCTTGCGACAAATCTTGAAGAGTCATCTTAGCTATTTCATCAGCTTTATGTTTCACTTTATCGCAATGATCCTTATTATCCTTAACTTCCTTTTTGAGTTTTTCAAACATCACATGTTTAACTTCTGTGTGAACCTGATTATTTCTCAAAACATCGAGTTCTGAGCGAAGAGAATTCACTTGTCCTTCTGAAGCTTTAAGCTTTTCGGTCAAAGCAATGAGTTGTTTAGCTAACTCATTATTTTTAAGTTCAAGATTTTGAAATTTTATTTCCCAATCTTCAATTGTAATACTCAAGTCTTCTTTAACAATAGATAATTCAACCAGAAATACATCCTTAAGTTTTAAGATGTATTCCCAGGCTTCAGAATTATCACCAAATGGATTTGCATCCGGCATGAAAACATCCATGTCACGTGATGGTGTTGCGTCAATTTCAACATCACCACCATCTGGTGAAGAGTCAAAGGTAGGGTTCAAGGTTGGACCAACATTCACAATAGGGGTTTCAATGGGGGTTTCGTGGTTTGAAGAAGCTTTATGCTTATCGTTCGATTCAAGCTTTTTGTGGATAGTTTCAATTTTTTTATGGGAGTCTGGTTTTTCATTATTTTTTTGGATTTTTGTCGAGGCTTTGATGTGATGAGCTTCATGAGAGTGAGATCCTCTGGAATGAGAACTTTCTTTCTCCTTCAGTTCAACAGCAATAATTTTTTGCATATCATTAATATTAGTCTGTTCATTATTATTGTCGGTATAATTATTGTCGGCAGGAGGGTCGCCGCCACTAAACGTGGTTTGGTTGTTGTTGGGGGGGTCTGACATGTTTTAACTTGTACTCTGACTATTATGTTAAACCCAACAAGGTTTTTCCATTTTAAATATTAGCATTAAATTGTATTTTTGACAAGTGTCGTTATAACGTTAAATAGGCACTATGGCCGAGCGGTTAAGGCGAAAGATTAGAAATCTTTTGGGATTTCCCGCGCAGGTTCGAGTCCTGCTGGTGTCGTTTTTAATATTTTGTTTTTTTTGCTAAAGATTTTTCGAATATGATGTTTATTAGACTATTTTTTCTCATTAGCAAAAAAAATGATAACTTTTTTAATTTTTTTATGATAAAAATAATAGCTTTTTTTATTTGCATCTAGACTAAGTATATTAGAAATAAACACACTAATAAATACTCGTGATCTTGCCCGTATTCAGCAAATTAATAGATTTCTTAAATCTAAGACAAAGCGTTTATATCTTAGAATGGGTTCTCTTTATCTTTATGTTTTTCGCTCTTTTGTTAATCATGCCTCGAGCGGTATTTCTTTTCAAACCGTTTTGTTTTAGTTTTGTGGGGTGAGCGGTTTTTCCCCCAAAGGGAAATGTTGGCGATCCGGGATGACGGACGTGCGGCTTAATTCACTTAAAAGTCTGTTCCATAGTGTGACGACTATACCTTTGTGGTAAACATTAAACCTTTTTTCTTCCCCTGTTCACAAAAATGATTTTTATTTTACTTTTTCACCTAATACTCTTAAAAAAACATATAAATATACTGGCCATTTCTTAGAGATTTTTTTTTTGCTATTCTTTCTCTTTTTTTAAGGCTTTCTAATTTTCATAAACTTCAGTTATTGTCACATTGCTTTTTTTTTGATAAAAAATAAACACCCGAAATTATTTTGCTGGTTCATTATAATTCCAGTATTTTTTTTCTTCTTCATCATCATTATAATTACTACTATTACTATGAACTGTTCAGTAGATCGTTATCACTATACGCGTGATTTGCCAGATTTTCAAACTTTCATAACTACAGTTACTACTACAGATCTCAGCTTAAACTATAATTTTTCGGCATCATTAAAACCTACTGATAAAGAAAAAAGAGTAGCACATTTAATTTCTGCTGCAAAAATAACCATATCACATGCAAGAGAACTTACAGAATCATTAAGAAAAAATATATCGAAGCGAGGAGTTTCTTCCAGGCGAAGAAGAGACTTGCAGATGCACTTGCACTCAGTCAGTATTCAGCTTCTTTTGAGCGATTATATTGCAATATATTCAGGTTCAATTGATATACGTCTTATTCATGTTGAAGCTCAGCGCTATGAGGATGCTCAAAATGAAGGTTACACTCCAATTTTTTCGGCTCATGCAGCTCAAAACATTTGCAAAAGAACCAGGTTGGAGGCTTCTCAGATTTTAGAGTTCATGGACGGTTTATTTAGCTATACACATGCTTTTTCACATTACCAAATACCTGTTTTTGTCCTTCGCCAGCAAGATTTCCTATCGTTGCCAATGATAGTGGAAAATCAAGAATTTGAGGAATACCAGCAAGAATTAAATCAAAGAAACCGAATTTCAGCGTTGGGATCTGTTAGTATTACTGAGATTGAACTTGATGGTCTTGAAAATTACAATGATGAAGCTTATTTGGACCAAGGAACTATAACGTTTAACTCTTACGATGATGCAACAGCTGATGGCCAAAACGCCGATCTCCCCCCGGATTACCAAAATTCAACTAGATTACAAGCTCAAATTTCCGGATACGTTGAAATAAATGATGATGATGATGATGATGATGATGATGATGATGAGGAGGAGGAGGAGGAGGAGGATAAAGAGGAGGATAAAGAGGAGGATGGTTCTTCGTTCCAAAGTGTCAATATCTTGGAAGAAGAAGAATCAACGGAAAATGTTCAAAATATTAATGAGTCAGAAAGAAGGCCTATATTTCGCACCCAGAAGAGAGTTTATCAGCCAGGCAGTCCTGTGGGAAATGTATATTATTACAACAAGCCACTGTCTCCCTCATATAGTGTTAATGGTTATGATGATGATGATGACGACGTACTTTTGTTGATTTCATCCTCAACAAATATCTCGAGAAAACATAGCTTTACCGATATCAATATCAATACCAACTCCAACTCCAACGACCAATTTAATACCTCTCATTCTTTATCAGAGGAAGACAAAGAGGAAGAAAAGGAAGAAATAGGTTTTGAAGACGAAGTACCAATTGAAGGTACCACAATGACTGGTGACTTATTAAAGGGAGAATGTGCAGGCAAGGAATCCACACCTCCGGATTACACCGAACAAATGATAAAACTAAAAAACTCAAAGAGTCTAGCACAAACAGAGTATCCATTTCACAAAAAATACCAGTTTAAAAAGGGTGAATCAGAGGATCCTATTACTGGTGAAAATGTTTTAGAAATTGCTAGTAAAAATATTGATAGTGACGACATTAAACACACTATCATTCAAACAGTTAGAGAAATCCCGGAAAATAAACCTAGAGAGGGCTCAGATTTGCAAGAATCAGATTTGCATCAGCAATCGCCACAGTCAGCGTCATACGCCAGATCTTTGTCTCCTACTCCAAGCATATGGAAACGGTTTTTCAGAAAAAGGTGAAACTCTTAATGCTGAAAATAACGGGGCATTATTAAACGGTTGCATGAATTCCAACATCATATAGATAAGGAGCTGTAAAAAAATACTGTATGCAATTTAAAAAAATATAATTAACACCCACGGTGGGACTCGAACCCACAATCTTCAGATTAGAAGTCTAACGCCTTAACCATTGGGCTACGCGGGCCAATTGTTAAAAATTTATTAATTTATAAGTATAAATACCTATCAAAGTAAAATAGTTGCATTTTTATAAAAAGGGGAATTCCACTTAGGAGAAAGGGCTAGATGGTGTAAAGGATAACACGTTTGCTCGAAAGAGGAAGATACTGGGTTTGATTCCCAGAATACCCCCTTTTCCTGAGGATGTGTACGGGAGTATACACCTAGACTGAAAAACCATAGGCTACCCTGGTTACAGGAATGCCGACTCTTCCGTACAGTCTAAATAGCCTGCAGGTGATTGCGGGCCGTATCTCTGACGGAAGAGATTAAGAAATACACAGGCGTCCGTGAAGATAAGTGGAAATGGGTTGGGAAGGTTTTGGGACCGACAGACTGGTTCTCCCTGTTCCTCGTAAGCTGGCATCAGGGCCCATCTTCCGGGCTACCGGAGACGCACAGAACAGAAACCACCCGTACTAAAAAGGTACAAATGAAAACCGGCAAGTCACATAGTCAGACAATAAAAGGATAGCGCAGATGCTGATGTTATATAATTCTATAACCCTTGAATAAAAACAAACAAAAGGAATTCCACTTTTATTCCTTGTAATCAGACCTTTAAACTTATTTTCATGCTGATGAAAATGCAATTTTAAAGTCAAATAAAAAGTTTATTATGAAATGAAAAGATATATAGTATGAACAAGAAGGATATCGTAGATGCTGATGATATATAATTCTATAACCCTTGAAAAAAATAAACCAACAAACAAGAAAAATTCTATAAATGAGCTAGTTGAAGTATATTTAAACACACCATTTTTAACATTCAAATATTTATTTTTTTCTCAGAATTAGATTAGACAGGTGATTTCAAGCTGTGTTTTAAAAAAAAAATTAAAGAATTCAAAGAAATATGTAAGAAGTGAAATGGGTTGATCAGGTTTGGGATCTATGAGGATAAATTTTAGGGATGTTGAGAATGAAAATTAAAATTTTGTGAATATATATATATATAAAAAAATATGTTCAGATATATGTAAATTATATATATATATTTATATATTTATTTATTTTTAAATAGGTACAAAAACATATTTTATTTTCTGTTTTTTGGCTGTAAAAAGGTTGATTAAAAAATATTAAAAAACATTAAAATAATAATAAAAAAATTGTGGTATTAAATTTAATAAGATTATAAAGTTTTAAAGTTATTATGCTAAATAAAACATTAATTTTTATTCCATTAATATTTTTTATTTGTTTTTTTAAAGTAAGTTTTCTTTTTGACTTGAAAGTTTTAAAGTTTTGGAAAAGTTGGTCTTAGATTTTTTTGACGACTCTTTACCCATAAAACTGTCAGTATCCAACTTTTCACAAGAAACTAATGAACTGCTAATGATACCAGAAGATTCATTTTTTGAAGCGACAGAAGCCATATAGTTTGATTCAGAATCCGATTTGGAAGTTGAATCAACCGATGAAATATTGCAGTAACTTTTTTGGGAACTAATTTCATCATAATCTATATCGGCCTCTAAGGTCTCTTCAAAGTCAGCTTCAGTTTCATCGTTTGAGTAAATACTATCGCCTGAGTAAAAATGATCTAATATATTGCTGCTTTCAGAATCTGAAGCGAATATGTTGCTCAACCCATCTGAAACGATTGTTTCTTCATAAGAAGATGTGTAATATTGGTCATCATATTTTGAATATCCTCTCTCCTTGTTTAAATTATCTCTTGGAGTACGGGAGTATTTTTGCATAATTTCAAAACCTTTATTTTGTTCTCTCTTATTTGCATCATCCAACACTTTTGTTAGAGATTTGAAATTTGAAGTAAGTTTGCTTTCTTGAAAAAGACAGCAATGGAGTGTATCTTGCTTTATATCCAATGAAAAGATTGGATTTTTGTTAGAGTGCTTTAAATCTTCCTCTGTAAGCAAGACTAGAAAGTTGCTAGTAGAATAAGATACTTTGGAAATTTTATGTTCTTTGATTTGCTTAATAATAACATCAATAAGCAAATAGAGGGAAGAAGTATTAAATATAGTAAAATAATCTTTAGTGTTGGGGCCAACCAAAATGGTCTTTAATTCATGACTAGTCCAAGAGTAGTTTGCACGAATTCCAGTAGTGGAAAGATGTTTCTTGTTTTTTTTGCTTGTTTTTAAGGGTTGAGAAACAACTGGAACTAGATAGTAATCCCCAGAAAAAGACTGTTCCAAAGACTTAGCTGTGAGTTGTGGGACAAATTGTTTTTCTTCATTTGCAACAGATGTTTTTAAACTCTTTTTGGTTTCATTTTTAGAAGTTTTGATGGTATTTCCATTTTTGTTAAGCTTTTGGGAACGCTTTTGAAGAATTTTCCCACGGATCTTTCTAATTCCGTGATTGACAGAAATAACGGTGACTAAGGCAGCAGAAAGGAAAAGCATTATGTTAAGTTTTTTTAAAGTACTAATAGAAATTTAAAGTATCAAATAATATCGAGCTTATAGCTTGGTTATTTTAAGGCTATCGATAATTTTTTATTGTTGTTATTAAACAGCTTTTTTTTGATTTTGTAAAATGAAAAAGAAGAAAAAAAAGGAAATAGCTCTCAATTTATACCCCAAGGTTTTGTTACTGAAAAAGGTGAGCATAAATTTGAAATAATTGAAAAGACTTAAAGAATCAAATAGTATCTAAACCAAAATATTTTGAAATAAAATACTCAGAAATTTGAAGTTAGCATAAATTAAATATGGTCTACCAATCGTTTATGAATTATAAAATTTGAGGCTTCATTCTATTTTACTTAAAAGGATTTTAAGGTAAAATAAACGACTGTTTAAAAATAACTTTAGTAAAGTAGAATATTTTAATCAAAAATCATATTGATTGATTGCCTATAGCTTCATTTATGAAAAAATACCCCTATTTCGTTAGCATTAAAACAGAAACAGTGTATTTATGCTTAAAAACCATTTTAATGCATTAAATATATAAATCTTGTAAAATTAACATAAATTTATATTTCAATATATCAAAAGATAAAGTAATCACTTTATAATAATGCATTTTTCAATTAATTTAATATGTATCCACAGAGGCTTAGCTTAATAAATGTTAAATTATGCCATTTTTATCTGAATTTTTAATTTATAGAATAAAACAAGCGTAATCATAGCCAGTAGCATTGAAGTAGAAGTGTTAAATTTATGCACCTGAAGTTGATCAATTTTGAAGAAGAAAGTTTTTGTCAAAAATAAATGTTAGGAGTGTGTTAAACTAAATATGAATTCATTAAAATGTCAAATTTCAAATTTTTTATAAAATCACTGGTACCGTTAAATTCTCTTTCACTTTTTTTTTTCTTTTTTCTCTTTTGCGTTTTAAAAATTTTTAGTTACTTTTCAGATTAAAATACTCTATTCGGTTTACTAAGCACTTCCTTACTTATGAAATCTCCTCTTTTATAAAAACATTCTTTTTTTTATATTCCAATGTAATTATACATTTTATTACAAGTGCACTCTTAAAAATGAAGACCTAAAAACATATAATTCCCTTTTAGCTCTCATAAATACTTAATAATTGAGCATATAATTACTACTATAGTAGTACATATACAGTACATATTAGTACTAAGAAATTTCTGGCTATTTGAGTTTAGTAAGTCAGTAATGTTGAAAAAATGTCAACATCAATATTGGCATTAATGCCAGCACCAGTATAGGATATAAATATGAATATAGCATAGAATTGAAATGGAAAGGCATACAAATTAATCATAGGATTCCTGAAATTTAATCCTGCCAAAATATTCCATTAAACACTTCCCCACAAATTCTTAAAATTTCTGAATTATTTATTAAATACCATGATACTATGAAGTTTTTACAGATGTCTTTGCTTATTCCTTTCCTTACCTTACCTTAACTTTATATAATTATGTAATTTTTTTGTATCACTATTGTGATAAACATTTTTTGTATTTTTTGTATTTCTTGTATTTTGCAAGCCCCTTTGACCAACTTTAGTAGTTACAGCACGAGGTCTTTGCTTGTTAACTGCAAGTCCTTTATTCAAAATTTAATTTTAAAAGAATTTTAAATACCAAATACTCTTACCCCAGTAAAATCTTTAAAATATTATGTTTTGGCATTTTTTTATAGTTTAAAACTTCATTTTAATACCGTTAATGGTACTACTAAGAGTCAATTGACGGATTAATACTCATTATTTATATATATATATATATTTTTACTTATTATACCCTGAAAAATCAGTAATTTTATGCATCCTTTTTATTTTTTTTTAATTTTTGGCAGAAAGGTTTTGGATCGTGCTGCTTTACAATTTCAGACCATTATTATAAGTATGAGCAAATACTCCTTAGTGTAATCATTATAATTATAACATGAATATAAAGAGATATATTTTTCTTAATTTTTTATAACAAAATTTACAACAACAAACTAAACCGAACTAAACAAAATATCATCAATAATAAGAATACACAATAAAACAAATCATTATCAATCAAAAAATTTCACCAGCTATTTAATTCCAGGTGCAAGTAGCAACTTTGGGTGGAGGCGTAGGCAAAACAATGCTGAAAGGAATTTCGCTCGACACAGTTGTCATAGAAGAGTTCACAGATTTGACATAGATATTTTCAGCGTTTTTTTTCCCTTTGACCTGAGGGTTAAAAAACTCTTGTTTCACGAGGGAAATAGCATTATTTAGACTATCAACGTCTTCCTCAGAATTGTATTCCAAAATAATAGTGGAAGACTGAGAAACCCTCTTGTTAGAAAAGATAGAAATGGGCTGAGATTTGGAAATCAGATCATAATCATTGTAAGAATTAGGATTGTCTGAAATGTTTTGCTCAAGTTGAGGAGTTCTGGAAAAGTCTTGCATCATGCCTTTTCCACATTTCTTTACCTTGTATATGGAATTCACCACAATCTTCCCAAGGGACTGGAAACGACCCTTGCAAAAATCACTAGTGACAAGGCATCCATAAACAACCTCAGATTCATGAGAAATAGTGAAACTGGCCTTTTCAAACTTGAATAGCTTGAAATCTTTTCCATTAACCAAGAGAACACATTTAGGAGGAGAAGAGGTGACCTTGTTTACACACTTTTTTACAGTTGAAACAAGCTGGCAAAGATGCTCTAGAGAAGTGTTGCCCCACATTCGGGAAAGGGCTTTAGAAGCATAGACGTTGTTGACTAAAGGAGCTTCTTCCAACAGCTTAACATCCAACTTAAAATCGAAGCTGACCCTTTTACCTTTAGGATCAACAGCAGGAGTGGTTGGAACAAGGTAAAGATCAGAAGTAAACATAGTTCGAAGAGACTTTGCACTAAACTGAGGAATAGAAAGTTGCTCAGTTCCAAAGTCTTCCGCTTCTTTAAGCTTCTTGGATGACTTCTTTAGGGCTTTCTTGTTTGAAAGACTAAATGAGCAAGTGATTAAAAGCATTTGGAAGTTTAAGAAAAAAAATTATATTGCTTGAAGAAGAAGGAAAGTGAATGAATCTTATTGTTAATATAGCTTTCAAAGGTCACAATAATGATTGCAGAAAAAAATATTTTGTGTGTAGAGATAACAAAATAAAAATAAAAAAAGAGAAGAAATAAAAAAACAAACTAAACATCAAGGAAAAACAATTCTTTTATAGTCCATTTTTTAAATATTGTCTATGAGCAACAGATCCAGTTCATTTGTGTTCTGTAAAAAATAATATCATTAATTTAGGATATTCAATTTTATGTATCTATATTAAAAGCTATATATATTAATGCTTCCTAGTTCATATTTATGGATTAATGAAAAAAAGACTGATTATTAAAAGCATGAATTAAAGATGTCGTTTTAAGGCTATAGTATTTAAAAAATGAAATGGGAAACAGATATCAGATATTTTACATGGGTAGACAATGAATCTCAAGTTGGCATTAGCTTTACATTCTTTAAATTAGAAATACATTATTATAGATATTTTAAAAGAAGTAATAGCGATTTAAAATTCAAACCCACCCTTGTTCAGATAAGCTAGTTTTTCTGCATTCGAAAAATGATTCGGGAAGCCTGGTAATCCTCTTTGATACAATGCGGATATCTTTTCTTTCTGACAATTTGTCATGAGATGCTTCGGAGAAAAACATTAGCGGATATTTTTCTCTTAGTAAGGAACAAGGAATGAGATTATTATTTTTCACTTCCATATCGAAAATAAATAAGCATGGATTGCCTTTTATTGCTTCCCCTAAAGCAAAGTACTTTTTTGGAAACCCATGAAACAAAATAGGGAGTTCAGAAAGATATCCGCCAACCATTTTGAATTCCTTGTCAGTGAATTCAGTAGCATAAACATCAGTTCCAGTGAACTTGATTTGCTTAAGATTCTTTGGAATCATTTCCGGGTATTCGTTTCTAAGAAAATATGAATGAAATCTTGGCGAGGTGTTAAAAAAAGCAAAACCGTCTATTTCAAGGTATTCTAGCTCTTTAAATCTTGTCAAAGCCAAAACAAAAATCTCAATAAAAGAGAAAAATTGAATAGAAGAAAGTTCTTTTTCTAAAATTTTGTTTCCAAAAGAATCTTTAAAAGAGTCCACCAAGTTCTTGCTAGGCTGAACAAGAATGTCACAAATAGCCTGGAAGTAGTGACTGTAAATATTTTTTTGCAAGATATCAAACATCTTCAACAGCATGAACTCTGGTGTGAATACTTTTTTTTCTAACCAGTCATTGACAAGTTTCAACAAATCGTGGCTTTGTGACATTTTCTGTAAAACAACACCCAAACTTCTTACAAATGAAACATTTTCTTCAGTGCTTCGGATATCAAAATTCCGGTAATAGCTGGTGGTAACCAGACGAACTGATTTTATATGGGGTAAGTGGGTTTTAAGTAACTGACTGTAACCATTTAAAGCAGTACTTGGTGATATTTTTAGAGACAGTTTTGTGATTGAGTCAGGCAGTCTTGGGTATCCAACAGAACAACCATTAAGATCTAAAGACAAAATCTTTTTACTAAATCGCAATCTATCAATAATGGGAGATGATGGAGAGTCATTGATTGCTGAAGAAAAATGCGTAACATTAAACAAATCTATAACCGAATTGGAAAAGTCATGAGCGTCAATATTTCCAACAGATTCAAGATATACCATAAAAACAAATAATTTCTGCTTAATTAAATTAAAATTATCCACCATTTTTAAAAGTGCTGAAGTTTGGGACTCCTTCGTATACTTCACACGTTCTGACTCTTGACCCCTAGGGCTAATTATTTCATTTATTGGTCTCAGTCGCTTTTTTTCAAAATTAACCACAAGGCAAGTACTAAAAACATTTAATTTTTTCATTTTTCCTATATCCATCATAAACTCGCGGTGCTGGTTGTAGGAAATTTGGGTGTTGGGTCTAAAAAATAGTTCTTCAAGATTATAAAAATCTGACAGCTTAAAGTGGGTTGAGCAAGCAGGAGCAAACTTATACAAGAACGACTTTCTATCTAGGCCTAAAGAAAGAGACCTGAGTTTCTCCTTTGTTGGAAGATTTAGTAGCAAATTATTATTTTTGAGATGCTGAGTTTTGAATGATATGTTCATCGCTATATCAATAGATGTAAAGTCATCCAGTGCCTCTAGCAAAACTTTCAAATCATCGATTTGCCAGTTATCATCATCAGTGTATGAGAAATGGCTAATCTGGAGCGATGGATAAGCATGAGAAATAGACGAAAGTGCATGAGGTACAAGAGGTTCCAAAAGACAGAGAGGCATTTTAAAAAATATTTCCGAAACGCTGATATTCTGAAACCATCGATATTTATGAGGGCTACAGAAAACACGGAATGGAATGACTCGCTTATTGCCTTGGTCAACCTTGTATGGAACCAAACCATTAATGACAATACATGATTTCCAGGACTCGGCACCATAAATACACTTGAGATGGGGAAATGCCTGTGCAATATTTTTTAAATCGAAAACTGAACCAAAATACTTGACAAATTTTTGATGAAATGAAATAGAAAGCTTCTCAAATAAAAGAGGGCCAGAATTTGGGTCGTAAATGACAAAGGAACCAGTATTGCTCTGGTAAGATTTTGTTTGTTTTCCGTTCACCCAGAGTTCAATACTATCTTGACTTTCAACTAAACTAATAGCTTTATTATTGATTTCGCCCTCTTTTTGTTCCAAAGAACCTGTGGCAAATTCAAATATTTCATTGCTGCTCGAAGGCACGCGATAATTTGATGATTCAAATCGTTTACTATAAATTGCATCTTTTCCAAAAAACGCATCTGATGCCGTGCTAGAAGTTGCGGATGTTGATGAAATATTGGAAGAAGGTCTTTCTTGGATACTTGCTGGTTGTGGGGCAAAAAACTCATTGAGGGTGAGGATGTTAGGGTTTTGCAATGACCCAGAGAGCGCAGCGCTAACTGAACGAGAACGAGCATCATTAGAACCAGGTCTAGAAGAGAAAAGACCAGGAGGGATGAGAAAGGAATCTGAAGAAAAGGCAGGTGAGTTTGAATTTACAGAGCTAGGGGAACTTTCAGAAGAGGGGTGTCTTTTTGTGGCGTCACTATCTTCATGTTGCTGCTGTTTTCGAGAAAAAGCCTTGCGGATATTAGACTTTCCCATATTGATATTTAAAAGATTGATTCAAGGTATAATAATAAAATAACAAAATAAATTAAGAGAAACTGGTGCTGAAATTTACCAATTTATATCTAAATTCTTTTTCCAGGTGTTCAAAAAAGAATCTATTAGAAGGAAATGTGCAGTTAATAAGACAACGGGGTAAAGATTTACAGAATGGACAAAAAAAGAAAAAATTCCAAAATAGGAATTTTTAAAAAAAAAAAATTACATATAATGTGTTTATCGAATATTATGAATAAAAAAATTAAAAAAATTAAAATATTTAAAATATTTAAAAAAAATATCAATCTAATAAATCAAACTTTCAACGTCCATGGTATCAATTTCGTCATCATCATCATCTTCATCATCATTAAAACTGTAATATTCATTGGGATCCCCATCACTAAATACAGAGCTTCGAAATATTGTTGACGCATCATCAGTATCATCAGCCCTATCCAAATAAAGTAAAAACTCAGGATCTTCAAAAAGAAAAAAGGAGTCAACCGAAAAATCTTTCCGACGTGCTTCAATGTCCAATACAATGGCGATATCCTTAGGGGGAGAAGTACAAACAACCGTTGTATAATTTGCAGGAAGAGTTTGGGCAACTTCGTGAGCAAATTCATAGTTTCGATCCAAAATACAAGAGCAACAGTTTTGTGAGCCAAGAGGAACAGATTGATTGATAAACAATTGTTTGAGAGCATGATAGTCAAGCTCAACCTTCTCTCTATCCAGTTCAGAAGAATATGGAGCTTTTAAATAAGAGCCAAAATGTTCTTGAAAACGCAAAGAATTGGTAACATACTTCCAAATTGGTCGCTCCATATGCTTAGAAATACCATTTATACGTAGATACTCAAGAGAAAACATAGTGTGGACAATAGAATCAAAAATGCACTCAAACAAAGACGCCATGTACAAATGGTATTCACAAGGGCCAACAGGTTGTGACAAAAATTCCCTGTTCCACATATAAATATTAACCATCGGGTTAATGCACAATGAACTAATCATTTGATTATAATTGTCAATTTCCCTTTCAACCATCATGGGGCCATAAACTGAGTAAAACTTTTCGCGAATCATATCAATTCTTTGGCCATCCTCATAGCAACTTTCAACCAAAGGAATAAGATTTTCAGTCGACAAAAACTCCAAAAAGTTACAAATTCGTGCTAAAGTTGATTTGGTATCATAAATATTGTCAGGAGTATGATTCAGGTTAAGGCCAGAAAGAGGGCAACTTTCTTTGTGAAGACAAGGTTGAGTCCCAGGGCCGTCTCGAGAAGAATAATAAGGGGAGAATGTAGAAAACACATCATATTGAAAGTCAATGTTTAAAGTTAGTGTCTTAATATTTTGCACAAGAGGGGAGCTTAATAAAGGAATAAGCCCTGTAATAGAACGTGTACCTTCAAGACAGTGCAAACAAAGAGAAGTTAAATTTTCCGAAATGTTAGAAGCTAATTCAGAAAAGAAAACAAGGGAAGAATAGTCATTAGGAAGACTAAAATTGTCTAAAATCTTTAAAGACTTTAGCTTGGGTCCAAATTTTGCGTAATTGAAAATGTCAACAGAATCCGTAACAACTTCAGTAACACGAGGGAAAAATAGTTTTCCAGGGACAGTGGTAATTTCTGTCTCTTTTATAGGTTCAAAAGAACCAGAAATGGAAATATCATCAAGAGCAGAAGGACCTCTAAAAAAGAGACGGTCATTTGTTTCAGGACAAATTAAAGACAAGTTTCGCAGCAAATTGACCCAATTATTAACACTGTAAAGACGGTCATTTCCTAAAGATTTGGATAAGGGGTTAATGGATGTGACTAGGCGACGAAGATGTGGAAGTTCCAAAATTTGTGCCATGAATATCCAATGGGCCTTGTAGGTGATGCTTTTAAAAATAAGCCTCAAGGTTTCCAAATTTTTAAATTCCGAAATATCATAACCAGCAGACATGCTGTTGGAATCAATGTCAAAGAAAAATTCAACATCAAGAGTGCGTAAAACCAATTTTCCAGGAAGGTTGATAAGGTAGTAAGGCGATTCCAAAACAAGTTGAACTTCAAAACTTGGAATTAAAGTGGTAAATCCTTGAACCTCTGCGTCATCTAAAAGAGAGTAAACTAAAGCAGCGCCACTTTTCCCATGTGCAAAATCCGACAAATCAGAAGAAATAGAAAACACAGATTCAGCATATCCCGGTCTTTCTTCATCATTGCCCTCGATTGCTCTAGATGTTTCGAGCTGAGCAGGCTGAGGAGGATTAGACAACGCATTGTAGCCAACCTTGACGTACAGAAGTTTAGGATAGTAAATGTATAAATCTGAAAAATGTCGAATTTTATTCCATTCCTTGCCTTCAGAAACAGATGCAAACATGCATTCAAATTTAATGGCAATGACATGTTTACTGAAAAACCAAGAGTATCGGTCAGGGTTTAAAAAAACTCGAAAGGGAATGTAGCGAGCATTTCTTGCATTGACAAATTCAGGATTGGCAAATTGAGATGTGAAAAAGTTGCCATAGCGTTTAAAATAGTAATAACGGCGATAATAGCACGATACTTCAATCAAACTCTCAAGAGTTCTTCCAGGTCCGCAATATCTTCCTTGTGTGTTCCCGGAAACAACAATACAATTAGTCCAAGAGAACCGGCTATAAATTGGCCTCAGAGCATTGCAAGTTTGTGCCATATTGATGAGATCATGTCCTATCAAGTATTTGGAAATTTGGTGATGAATATCAGACGACAAGTCCCAAATGTTGAAAATGTCTAACATCCTTCTTTTTCCAAGCTTTTTACTAGAAAAAAAAGCAAGAGATGAAAAAGAAGATTGAGCAGAAAAGTACTCATCTTCAGATAAAATCATAGAAGAACTTGCATCCAGGTTATCATTGCTGTATGTATTGTCATCATTTTCAAAAATATTATTGTCTTGAAACTCCCCTAAAAAATTAACGCAAGGAATAATATCTTCCTCAAAACTAGAGCTTTCATAGTCTTCAAAACTGCTAGAAGTATCACTATTATAGCCATCATCGTCTGGATTGCAGATTGCAACATTACTAACAGCTGACAATCTTTCTCTTTCCTCCCTTTCCTCGTCATCATTATCATTATCATTATCATAATCAAAATCTTCTTCCACGTCACCGTCATAAACTTTCGAGTCATCAGTAAAACCGCTTGCAGAAGAAATCACTCGTGAAAGCTTGCTCCTGGGACGTGCCTCAACAACATGTCTGGTTCTATTGGCTTCACCTTCCTCAACATCCGAAATGCTACTAACCCCATCTGGTAAAATAATTTCAGCTCGAGACCCCTTGGTGGATGTTGGTCGCTTGGCTTGCTCAAGACGAACAAACCCACCGTTGTCTTCTGTATCACCCAAATCTGAAGCACCCGACACCTCCCACATATCATCGCATAACTGGTATTGTTGACAAGCAGCTGCTGGATTCTCTCTGTAGGATTGTAAATCTTCGGAGTGGCTAGGGGGTTGATGCATCTTACTAGGTAAAAAGTTTAATGGTTCTTCTTTATTGCTACCTTGTTCCAAAGAATCAGACTTCTTGTCATAATCTGTTTGCACTTTAACCACGCTTTCAATAGACTTTAAAATATCTTCATCAGTGCAAGGTTCAAGAATTAAAGAATCCACTATGTTGGGCCTTAATAAAAATGGCGAATTACTATTTTGTTTTTGTGGTATACTTTGTGTTGATTCCAAAGCAGCTGGAGAAATTCCATCGCAAAGCATCTTTTGTGGACCTACTGTGATTTCTCGTAAACGCGCGGCATATTTTTGTTGCTCTTCTTTAGATGGCATAATAATTTCTCGACGTTGATACTCCAACATAGGAACTGGGCTGTTAGGTATTAAAGAAGGAGGATCAGTAGCTGATGAGTTGATTCCATCATCAGAATCCTGAGAAGTGTTTAAAGCAAGACTTTCAATATCTGAAGAAAAGGAAAAAATACTGACACGTTTATTACGTTTATTGGAATTGTTATTGTTATTGGTATTAAGATTGGTATTGATAACACTGTTGCGTTTTAAATTTTTTTTACTGTTAAACGAAAACACACGACACAGCGAAAGACTTCTTTTGTGGTGGTGTGTGTTTCCTACAAGGGAAGAATCAACATGAGCGATAATGTTTTCTGCTCCAACTGTGGCAGGTGTGATGGGAATAAGTAAATCTGAAACCCCTTGATTATTGTATTTTGAGCGTTTACGGGACAGTATCCTCGACAAAATAGATTTTCGGCGAGAAATATTAGTTTCATTTGAAGAAGAACTAGCTCGATGTCTTTTTCTAGCAAAATCTAATTCTGATTTATTTAAACAGTGACTTGGCTGAGATAAAGGTGAAGAAAGAGGTATTTCTTCGACACTAACGATAATTTTTGGCGGATGACTAAAAACATCATGGTAATCATTCTCATGTTGGGGTTGAGGAACAAAAATTACATGACTGGCAGAATCAGATTCCGAAATGTCAGACGAAGATGAGTTTAAAGGAGGTGATGTGGAGTTAGATAAAAATGAGCTTCGTGATTTAAAAAGTTTTGAAAATGACTTCATAGCGTCTTTGTTAAAGATGGAAAACCCCCGTTAAAAAACTAAATTGGTAATTAAAGGTAACAATTATTGACAAACAAAAATGTGAAAAAAAAGAGAAGATTATTATCTTCTTTCTCAAAGTATTTATATAAGATCGGAAATCTCATATCTAAGTTACAGCATAAAAATATCTTATTAAATAAAACGTAGCACGAGGAATCAACATGATAGGGTTAAGATAACAAACCCGTTCAGATCCTCATTTTTACTTTCTGAAGCAGATAAAAGTCAATGGGGTATGTTTATTTTGGTAGACATTTTAATCCCGGTTTCTTTTTTTAGTTCTTTTAAGTAAATATCATTTAATAGATACTCGATCGGGATTTATGGATAACGAGATCGTTAACAATGATGGTGAGAAAATGTGAGAGAGATGTACTGAGATTGCGCGCATAAATGGTACATGGAACAAATAGTTGAAGTTTTTTTGTATTTCAATGCGTAGCTTGGTGGTAGTGATAGATAGTGATGTAAATAGGGCAAGGATAATTTTTTTAGATGTTTTTGGTGCTGTGTTTTCTGATGTGGCAAAAATAGTGAGTTTGAACAGATAACACAGACCTCCTAATATCCAGATTTGATTTTACCATTACGATCCATCCCCCCCTTATTAAAACTTCCCAAATCTTTTGAAAACCTTTCAAAAAAATATAAAAATTTACTCTTTTTTTATTTTTAGGCTTAGCTTATACATTACACATAACAATTTCAATTTTTTTTTTCTTTTCTTAGACAAATGTTGCTAAATTAGAGCTTATTGCCAGGCTTGGAGGCAAGCTCAATGGCAGCAGCAGAAATGGCAATAGTGTTACGATCAACAACACGAGTCTGGAAAATGACCTTGCTACCCTCCTTCCAGGCCTCAACCTTGACAGTCTCACCGGGGAAAACGTGGCCAGAAAAGCGGACTTTGACGTTCTTGAAAGGACCAAACTTGTCGTAAAGAATCTTTCCAGAAATGCCAAAGGTGGCCAGACCGTGGAGAATAGGCTGGGGGAAGTTACCAACAGCAGCAAAAGCAGGGTCAATGTGGAGAGGGTTATAGTCACCGCAAAGTCTGTAGTAAGCAGCCTTGTCAGCATCAATCTTGTAAGACTGGGTAAAGTCAGGGTTGCGAGCAGGAGGCTTGTTGGCAGCGGTGATAGCACCTCTGTCAGCACCTCTAGTAGGACCGCCCCAGCCACCAGAGCCACGGATAAAGGTGGTAGAAACATTGTAAAAGATATCCTCACCAGTGACCTTGTTCTTGGTGATGACCTCCGAGATGACAACAGCAGCCTTGCCCTTGTCAACAATCTCAAGAGGACGAGCAACATTAACGAGAGTGCCCTCAGTGGGAAGAGGCCACTTGCGAATCTCGAGATACTGCTCACCGTGAAGAAGCTTCATGGGGTTAAAGTTGGGGACAAGACGGTTAAAGTCGATATCAGTAGAGAAGGGAGGAATGACACCAAAGGTGGGGATGACTTGGAAGTTATCGGAACCCTCAAACGAGTACTTGAGATCAGTAGCATGAGCACCAACGCACAGGTTGTAAAGAATAACGTCTCTGTGGGTATATTTGAAGTCAGCGACATCCTCGTACTTGGTGTAATCCTTGGGGTCGACAGGGGTAAAATCACCCTTCTTGGGCTTAGCAGCAGCAAGAACTGGGCCCAAGATGGACTCTGAAGTTTCCTTAAAGGAAGAGACAGTAATGGCACGGCCATCATCAAAGTTGGAAATGTTCTTCCAATCCTTGGCAAGAGTCTCAATAGAGGGAGGAGGACCCTGGTAGAATTTGCCGCCAGAACGTTGCCATCTGGTGGCACCGACCCAGCCGGAGCCAGCCTCGTAAAGACCGCCAGAAACAGGAGCCTTTTCAGAGGCAAGGAGGGTAACGAGGGGAGCAATGTAGTCAGGCTTGAAAGATTCAAGCATTTCCTCGGTGAAAACACTCTTGGTCATGGCAGTGCCAGCATTGGGTGCAATAGTGTTGACAAAAATGTTGTACTTGGCACCCTCAAGAGCGAGAGCGCGACCAAAGCCGAGAATACCAGCCTTAGCAGAAGCATAGTTGGCTTGGCCAAAGTTACCGTAAATACCAGAGGTGGAGGTAGTGTTGACAATGCGGCCGTACTTTTGCTTGAGCAAAACGGGCCAAGCAGCCTTGGTGACGGCATAGGTACCGCGAAGATGGACCTGGTAAACAGCGTCCCATTGGTCATCAGTCATGTTGGCAAAAGACTTGTCTCTGAGAATACCAGCATTGTTGATAATAGCGTGGATAGTTCCAAAGGCCTTGAGGGCAGTCTCGACAACCTTGTGGCCTTCAACGACGTTAGACTTGTCACCGACAGCAATGCCACCAGCCTTCTTAATTTCATTGACGACAGGTTCAGGGTCGACAAAGTCGTTAACAACGACCTTAGCGCCGAGCTTTCCGAGAAGAAGAGCATAAGCACGGCCAATACCAGCACCAGCACCAGTAACAATGACAACTTGGCCATTGTAGTTAACAGGCTCTCCTTGGGGAGCAGGGCCAGTCTTGGTGGATTCCTCAGCAAGAGTGATGAAATCAGCAGGGCCGGTAGGATATGAGGGGTTTGAAAAGTCATTGATCTTATTCCAGGCCTTAAGAATGGCCGAGGGGGTGAAAGTCTCATCAGTCTTGAAAACATGGCCAGCAGAGCGCTCCCATCTGACCTTAGCATAAAAGCCAGCACCAAGCTCAAAGATGCCACCAGTTTCCTTAGAGGATTCGTGTGTCAGGTAGCCAACAAGAGGGACAATGTAATCGGGGGAAAGACGTTCAAGCATTTCCTTGGTCATGATGGTCTCGGTGAGACGGGAAGCAGCGAGAGGGGCAATGGCGTTAGCAAAGATATTGTACTTAAAGCCCTCCTTGGCAAGAGTTTCGGTGAAGCCGACGAGACCGAGCTTAGCGGCAGAGTAATTGGTTTGGCCAAAGTTTCCGTAAAGGCCAGCAGCAGAAGATGTGTTAATAATTCTGCCATACTTTTGCTTTCTGAAGTAAGGCCAGGCAGCACGAGCAACCTTGTAAGAACCGTAGGTGTGAACCTTGTAAATAAGGTCCCAATCTGAGTCCTTGAGGTTCTTGAAGGAAACGTCACGAAGAATACCGGCATTGTTGATGATAATGTGAACGGTGCCAAAGGCCTTGACAGCAGTCTCAATGATCTTGTCACCAAACTCGACAGAATCGTAATTGGCCACGGCCTTGCCACCAGCCTTGACAATTTCTTCAACGACAAGATCAGCAGCCTAATTTTATTTTTAAATAATAATAGTTAGAAAAAAATTGAAAGATTGAAAAATTGAAAAAAAAAAGGGCATTTTTGGTGAGTGGTATAAGTAAAAAAAAAAAAGCAATATTTCCGAAGAAACTTACCTTGGTGCTGTTACCTTCACCCTTGAAGGAACCACCGAGATCATTGACGACAACGGAGGCACCCTTAGAGGCAAAGAAGAGAGCATAAGCCTTGCCGAGGCCACCACCGGCACCGGTGACGACGACGACCTTTCCATCATATCGGAGTTCAGTCATTGTTGTGATTGATGTGTGTGTATGTATAAGTAAAATGTGGGGAAAATGGATGGAAAAAAAAAAATTAAAAACCAGTTGCAAGAATAAAGAAAATTTAGAAGAGATTAATAAAAAAAAAAGTATAAAACTGGAGAAGGGAGGGGGGGATATTGGGTTATTTAAATAGTGGTGGAAGATTTAGAATACTTTGAAGTTTTTTTTTTTTTTTTTTTAGCGGGACGCAATTAAAAGGGAAGAACAAGCATATGGGAGAGACCGAAACAAACTGTGGGGTGGGTGTTTAATATTGGTGGTGGTGGTGGTGGTGGTGAAAGGCTACTATTACTACTATTACTACTATTACTATTTACTACTATACAATATGTATGGACAACAATTATAGTATACTGCGTATATATTAATTAATTAAGCTGTGTGCTTATTCAAAATACTCAGTAACAGCCAAGTTATTAGCCTTGAAATCTTGGATTTCTACTATGTGACCGCTCTAAGTGCCGAGGTATCAATGCCTTCATAGTCAGGTGCTCGGCAAATCCAATATGCCCGGGCCGAGAAGTCTATATTATACGCAATCAGACTGTTATTTACACCGCCGCCCCCACATTTCATAAAGAGCCGAGAAACAAGTCTGGACCTAAAATGAAGTACAAATAAAAAATAAAAATAAAAATAAAAAGATGGGGTCTTTTTTTGATATTAATGTTATTAAATTATTAAAAGTTAGAGAATCTATTTATTCATTTAATTGTTTTTTTTTCAAATAATGTTAACTTTGATTTGATTGAAAAATTGTTTGAACCATCAATTGCTTTTCCATTGTGGCTTTGGTTTGCGGGCAGTCGGCAATGGAGAAACAACGGTAGAAGAGCAGAAGACTTTTGATATTTTTATTTATTTTTATTTATTTTTATTTATTTTTATTTATTTTAGATAGGATGAGCTCAATAATCGGCAACACCATCCCTGAGAGGTCCTCATAGAACTCTAAAGATTTTTAATGGGCTTCAGAATAACTTAAACAACCCCCACAATACATTGTTTTTTTATTTTTTTTTTTTTACAAATACTAGACCATATAGCTGACTAAAATATGTTTGGTTTAAAAGAAAAAAAATCAACATCAATATATAATACTAAGTTCTAGATTATATAGAAATGTTTTTTACAATATTCATCTTTTTTTTTCTGCTGTGTACTCTTCGAAAAGCCCCACTATTGAAATATCTGTTTTTATTTTATTTTAATTTTGGTTTTTTTTTTTTTTCAATATCGGTCTCCTTCCACCACTAAAGTTTGCCAAAAAAATGATGGAAAAAAAAAAAATATGCCATTTCATGTGATTATTGTGTAATAATACTCTTACCCTTTGTTACATTGAAATTTTTTTATGACAACTATTTTTAATTAATTAAATCTATTGCAATATTTGCTACAATACTGGTTTGTAATATAATAATAATAAAGTTGTCAAAACTTAAAGCCAAATACTTAATACCTAAACAACTTACTCATACCCATTATACTGTTTTCAACCCTTTAAAGTCATTCAACAGCTCCTTTCAGATCGAAAGCAAATCAACTTTCCTTGAATATTATATCGAAAATTATTGTCAAGATATTTAAAGCAAATTTTCTAAATAAATAAAACTATTTTAAAGTAATTTTGAAAATCTTTCATTAAAAAACTTCTGTTAGCTTGAAAACTTCACTTGATACCTTGGTTTAGAAGAAATCTGTAGATATTTATATATATACTTGCAATTTCAATTCATTCTAGAGACCCTGATTATTTACTATAGTAACATTTATAGCTATAAATGTTTTAATTCTTTTTATATCAATCAAACGTATGTGAGAAATATTTTGTTGTATTTTTAAGTTTAAACTGATACCCAATGACGTTAATCGTAGTCATTTTGCTTTTTTTTTTTTTTTTTTCCTTTGACAAGGCTTTATTTAGCTCTATTTTTGTTCAAGCCTTAGTTAACTAGGTAACGATCTAGAAATTACCTTGATGTTTATTTTGAAAAGTATAAAAATACACTATTTTTAATTGTTAAACAAAAAAGAAAAAAAAATATTCAATAATAAAAAGATTTGCCTCAGAAAAAGGTGGCAAATATTTTTCTTATATAATATTTTAAAAGTTACTATATCAATAATTTTTATTTTTAGATTTATTTTCTTAAAGTTATTATCAATATTAAAAAATAATGTAACTATTCTTGTGAATTCTTTCTAAATGCTAAATATAAATACCACATTTTTGAAATAGAACAAGTGTCTAAAATACCATACACTAAATACTAATCCTGAAGATTCCTTTTTATTTTCTTTTTAACTTTCAATATTAATCAATTTTCACCAACCCCTTAGACAACTTATGTGTAACTATGAATGTATATATATATATATATTCTTGCTATTAAAAAAACATGCCGTTTCGCTTAATGAAACTTATTTATTTAGTTTCCCCTTTAAAACATACAAATAATACTTCTACCATCACTATCATGACAGCCTCAAGTATCTAACAAATTTCATACATGGAATCTGAAAAATTTTACCAACTTTGTTTACTGGAATAATCACTTATTCAATTGGATAGTATAGCCAGCCTATTTGAATTATTTTATAAACATGACATCTTAGTAAAAAAAAAACTCTATTTACACAGTCAATGCTGTTATTAAAATGAAAAAAAAGGAATTTAATAAACTATTTTTAAATTTTAAATTTTATTCCATTTCATAACTTTATTTTTTTTTTATTTTTGTCCCTGACTTTTAATACCTGTCGAATATTTGCACTGCAGAGAGCTCTGTTATGCATGATAAGCTTATTCCAAACTCTTCACTTTTCACTCTTCACTCTAGATCTTTGTCACACTTTTTTTCTTTCCAATAACAAGTACTAAAATAGTTGTACAAGGTTGGTGTCCCCGGATGTTTTAATAAAATTAATTGTTAAAATATCATGCTTGTTGTGCATATTCCCCCGTTTTTTTTATTTTTTATTTTTTTTAATAATACACGTGAATTTTATTGTTAAAAAAACCATGGTTCCCGCGCCAGAAAAAATAGAAAAAAAACATATTCAAACACTTCCAGATTCATTTTTCACTGATTTTCATTTTAATTTTTTTGAAATTTTTTTTTAAATTTTTTGAAAAATGTAACATTTTAAAAAGTGACTAGAAATAATGGTGCATGTTTGTAGGACAAATAGATCAATTCGTTTTCATTAATTTTGCAATGCTTGATGTTAAAAAGAAATACTTTAACCTTTCATTTAAAGAACCAAATTCTAAAACTTTAAACCCATTTGAAAAAAAAAAATAGAAATCTATAATATTTATAAATAATATCCCGATTAATTATCATGTGTTTTAATAAAATTCTTTGACCTTATGACAATGGCCATTCAAGTCTTAGGTTTTATGGCGTTTAAACGGTTTACTTGACCGCCTTTAATTTTAAGATCCGATCTTATTAATTCTAAATAACAACTAGTTAAATAATTTAAATTCAAATTCAAACTTGCCTTAGTTTTATTCTTACATTTTATTAATTTTATTAATTTTTGAATATTTAAAAATTCTTTTTCCACTTGACTAAAGACTTAGTTTCTTTTCAACCGCCAAATATATTATAGAGCCGAAACCACATTTTTTGTCTGTGGATTCATAATCTGTGAATCAATATATATCAAACTTAAATTGTAAGGCTTGTAAATAAACAGGAACTAGATATATTATCATATAAAATTAATGGAGATAGGAAAGGTGCAAGTGTAATAAGGAAGGTCAATAATTAAGACGCATCTTTAAATGAAATAAGCATTCTTTCTCTATAAACAATTTCCACTATTTGATATGATAGTTCTTGTCCCTTAACTTCAAAGTGCACAGCGTTATTAAGGTACCAGCCCTCACGAGAAGTGATACTGGAACATTCGGGTGCTAGGCCACTATGTGCTATGCAACAGCATCAGGTCACAACTATAACACCTAGTTATGAGGACATTTTTCTGGTCAAGGCACCCCACTTCTCAATATCTTCCATTGATTGATTGTGACCCATTCGGCATTATCCACTATTTTTTATTCTTCCCTTTTTTGCCAATATTTCAATGATAAAAACAAGTGTACCAGAGTATTTTATCCCAAAAATCAAATTATATTTTTATTCTCATTCTATTTTAGCGGTAACAAATCTATACATTAGAAACAAAAATTTCAGCTATTTCTATATAAAGGTATTTAATTCTTTTAATTCTCTACGGAAATCTCACCTTTGATTTTTTTTAGGAATCACTTAAAACACCTTAAATATGAGAAAAAAAACCTGAAAAACTCCCTTGTCTCACGGTTCTTTTAAAACCTTTCAAGATATTGCGGTATAAACACTATTGAAAATCTTAAACTTAAACATTTGTTTGAACTTCCCCCCTTTTTTTTATTTTATTTTGAAAAAGCAAATTCAAAAAAAAAAAAAAAATTGTTGTCACCTTTAAAAATTTAATCTTGTAGACCTCTACGTTCAACTAGAATATATATATTTTATTTGATAGAACAATCCAGATAATTGTGGGCTAGTTTGTATTTCTGCAAGTTATAACAAAATAGTATCTTTTAGTTCTATTCTCAACTAATACTAACAAGTATTAAAAAATTAGTAACCATGTTTCCTGCATTGTTAATATTGAAAATAATCAATTCAATTGCAATTAGCACTGGGTGCATTTTTACAAATGCCGATTATCACACATTTTTTAAAAAAATTTTAAGATTGACTTTTCTTTTCAGCTAAATGGGCCGTCATATCAAATATCAATTTCTTCCATTTTAATCTTTAGCTCATTAAACAACCTTTTTAACGTACCCACTGAGCCGCCTCCGAGTCTATTCTTAAAAACAAACTATATGCACTGTTCATGTTTGTCTACAAATCTTCCTACCTGCCTACCACTTTGGTCATTTTGTTTTCACCACCATTAGTTAACTTAGGCGTCGCACTCATTAAATTCTCCTGTTTTGTTTTCTTGTCACAATGAATAACAAGATAATCTTACTATTAATAGAAGCCAGTGAAAATTAAAAAAAAAAATTCATCATCGTAAACTTAATTGACTATTTGTTAGCATCTTGTTGACTGCAAGTGTTCACTGAATATATTTTCCTTTTTTATATACGTTTTTTGGATAAAAAAATCTTTTCTCTTTTTTTTCGCCTATTTATTTATTTTCTCTCTTTTTTACCAAAAAAAAGCTTCCAAAAAATATTAATCAATTAGCAATTAGCACAATATCAATAATACTCACCACCAGTTTTTTGGTATAAGCTAGCTTTAACTTAATAAAATAACAGTACGATATAACGGTTAATAAGATTTTAATATAATAATAGTTAAAACATATTACTACTAAATGGCATCTTGTAAGTATCTATATACTGCTTTTTCTCTTTTTTTTTTTTTTTTTTTCTTCACTTCTTGTTCTCATTTTTCTTCTTTTCTGCTTTTTTTTTAATTTATTTACTTTTTCACATTAGTTTATGTTTTATATTATGATTATCTTTATTGTCACATTTTAAATACCTTTATTAAATAAAGATATAATGAGTTCTAACCATTCAGTCCCAATCACTTCCATTACTACGGAACCAGGGTCTGAGATCACAAACTCGGAACTGGCACCGTCAACCTTTATCACAACAACCCCAATATTTAGTACGACAGACGAGACTACATCTGAAAATAATACAGAGTCTACTCCTACAACACAACAGCCATCTTCTCAAACACCAACAACCTCCAATAGTGAACAGCAATCGTCTTCCCAGTCACAGCAGCAAATATCATCAAGCTCTCCAGAAGGAAGCGGAACGACTTCCAATGAGTCTACCAATTTATCGATTCAAACGACGATCGAACAAGAATCATCAACTAACTCTGAAAGCCAAAGTTCTCAGACAAACACATTAACTTCATCGCAAGATTCTTCATTAAGCACTGAGCAGAAATCGTCTGAAAATAGCGGTAGTACGTCACTTCAGTCAACTCAGAGTGAAGGATCCACGACTTTGGCCTCCATCACTAGTATATCATCCGAACCGTCGTCTTCTCAGCAACAATCAACATCATCACCTAGTTCTTCTCAAGAACAAAGCTCTGCATCAGGCTCTTCTCAGCAACAAGCTTCCATTTCATCTTTACCGGTATCTTCACAACAAGATTCGACCTCTGCATCATCAACTGAAACATCATCGAGTGGCGAACAATCGTCCTCTGTTCCGCAAACATCATCCCAATCTCAGGAAATATCCTCATCCTCTTCCTCAGTGCTTCCTTCATCAGGATCCTCAATCATAGAGTCATCTTCTTTTTCTTCTTCTCCATTATCTATCTCCTCTGCTACAGAACCTTCTTCTGCTTCTTCTTTTTCTCGTTCTGATACTTCTAATTCAGTAATCTCGGCCTTGCAGTCTTCGCAGCAGGGAAGTAGTAGTGCATCAGAAACAACTACAAGCAACATCTCTGATGCGTCATCTTCTACCAGTGATGGCGCCTCCCATTCTTCAGATTCTGGCACAGTATCATCGACGTCTCCCTCTCAAACACAATCTTCAAACTCTAATTCAGTACCCACCAATACAAGTTCAAACTCAAATCAGTCGGAATTATCGGCGTCTCCCTCTGCAATCTCCTTGTCAGAAGTAGTGGCCTCCTCAACCCAAACAAGCAGTAGCCCCGCCTCGTCAAATTCTAATAGTGCTTCCCAAACTAATAATAGCAACACAAGCAATAGATCAGCATCAGCGTCAAATTCTAATCAGTCAACCAACACTAATGCCAGCAATACACTATCATCGTCAGTCACAGACAGTGCAAGTGAAAGTAGTAGCTCCAATACCAGTTCTGGTGCTGTTTCAAGTTCTAGTATTGCTGAAAGTGCGAGCAGAAGTGAAAATATAAGTTCCGAAGGTAGCAGTAGCTCAAGTGCCAGTGATCGTCGGAGTAGTACTGAAAGTACTTCCGAAAGTGTTACCGAAAGTGTTACCGAAAGTGGAAGCTCTACTGACACTACATCAACACAAACACAAAATGAAAGTTCCTCTTCCAGCTCTGAAAGCTATACAGGGTCCACACCTGGCTCGTCATCTGGCTCGTCAAACAGAAATTCAAATTCAAATTCAGATTCCAGTAGTGAGTCAAATACATCTGAGTCTAATGCTAATGGGTCTTCTACGGTTTCCTCTGTAAGTGCTTTTACAACCTCTGAAACACCAAGTAGCGCAACAGACTCTTCGTCCTTTATAGATCCTTTGTCCACAGAACCAGAGTCAACATCTAACTCCGAAAGCAGTAGTGCAAGCAATTCTGATTTGTCTGTAATCACAGAAAGTACTACTCTTCGCACATCGAGACGCTCTTCGACTTCAGATGACAGCAGTGACTTAGACACAGCCATGGTTACAGAGAGTGACTCGTCAAGCTCAAGTTCACTAACGACATATCCCCCTGTGGTCTTGACCACCACATCAACCTCAATTGTTCTTGTGACTCGAAATGGAATTACAGCCACTTCAACATCTGTCACTCTTATCAAGTATACTGTTACACCAACTTTTGATATTTCAACTGTATCTGCTGAAGTTTGGGCCACAAACTCCATGATTCGTTCTGCTGCAAGTGCTGCTGCAAGTGCTGCTACAACTCACACTGATAATGGTGGGCCTTCTACGGGCACTATTGTTGGCTCTGTTGTTGGTTCTGTCGCCGGTGTAGCTTTGCTGGGTCTTGTACTTTTAGTTTTATTCAGCCGACACAAAAAGCGCAAACGTGACAGTATTAGCTCAAGCTCTACTCCGGAGGAATATGCTGGGTATGGTGGCATAGTTGGTGGCGGAGGTTCTGAAGGTCCCAATAATTCGGGACGTCTTGGTCGGCATCGAGGTCCTGGAAGAGCACCAGGCCAAAAGCCTTGGTGGAGCGCCCTTAACCCCTTTTCAAGTTCACTTCCTTCTCGACGAAGAAGCCTTGAGCCGTTGCAATCTGCTACAATACCTCAAATGACTGAACGTGCTCCGACTTTGGCAGAAATTAATGCAGCAGCCGCAGCAGCTGCCGGTGGTGTAGTGGGATCAAGTGCTGATGGAAGCACAATTCATGGTGGTGGTTTAGGAGGAACCTTTGGTGGGTCTGTTTCTGGTTCTTCCGCAGCTGATGACCGAAGTGCAGCTCTTTCGAGTGTTGCCGGCAGTAGTGGTACAGGAATGGGTGCAGGAGGCGCTTTGCTTGTTGCTCGTAACAATTCATCAAGTACCAAGCACCAGTCGCGATCTAGTGGTGGTGCTTCTTCACCATTGACTAAAACAACATACAGCGATGAAACCGACGAGTTATCGAGTGGAAACAATCGATCTTATTACAGAACTCCAAGACGGTTAAATGGAAACAGTATAACAAATAATGTTAGGTCTGAGCCAACTACCAGATACGACAGTTCAAGTAATAGTGTTATTGCTGCGGCCACAGCAGCCAGTGGTGCTGGTGTAGCTGGTGTGGCAGCAGTTCACAACATTCATGGCAACTCTCATATTGCTGATTTGGCCGTTCCCCCTGTCATCGGGTCGAGCACTTCGATCGGTAGCGGCACTGAGTATGGATCATACCCACACTTTGGAGACGATCCATTTGACACTCCGGTCTTGGATAACGAATCAGGTAACGGTGGTCAAGGATTGGCCGGTTTCTATGATGCTAATGAGAGTCCTTCTGATGCTTTACCTTTGGGCGCAAATTTTGACCGATGTTCTGCATCTCCAAGACTTACTACACCTGGTAATCCTAGTTCAGGTGAAGACATGATTTCTGGAGGGTATGGGAGCTCGGGCACCACTAGCCGAGAAATCCAACCCAATGGAACTAAGTCACAATATGGATCCGTTGCACTTGGTGCTTCTGTTGTCGGTGCCGCTCCCAATTCAAAGTCTTCACTACCATCTGCGGAACCAAAATTAACAAGAGCTCCTGAAATCCCTTATGGTTCAGACCTTCGATCAAACTCGCCGTCATCTTTTGAAAGCGGATCTGGGTTTCATACTGCACAGCAGCAACAGCAGCAGCAACAAAAGCTGCCCCTCAAATCTATGACTCATCAATACGAGCGCATGTATGGTACCGATAATTTAGATGGATTTCAACAGCAGGTTCAGCTTCCTCTAGGCTATTATCATACAGTCCCTGAAGAAGATGGTGAGCCTAATCCATCGCGTTCTATGCTACCAAGTTCCGAGGCCATTGATGCCATGGTTGTTGATCCGAAAAGTAGTAGCGGAAGCCTGAATCCTAATATTGGTGCCCGGCTGCATGTGGTTAATAGCAACAATAGTACAAGTCTGCAGGGCGGCATGGGTGGGGCCGGCGCCGTTTCTGTTGCGGGAACCGCTGTGGCGACGGCTGCAGTAATTTCCCCGGCAGCAGTTAAATGGTACAAAAAGTCGTCGTCTACTTTGCATAATGTGCAGCAACCACAAGTACTTCAATCACAACATTTTGATTCTACTTTGGAACCACCAGCACCGTATAAAGACTCGAGCAGCAAAGCCATCGCGGCACCCATCCCGCGATCTGACTCTGCAGGTTCTGCTGTCTCAAGCTTAGACTCGTACCCAGAGTACGCTAACTATACTAGTTACACTAACTATTTGGACACTCAGGTTCAAAGCCGGAATCATCAAGTGCAGCCTCCCAGAAGTGTGACTGTAAGTACAACTTCAATTTCAGCCTTCAATGCCCCTTCAAATGCTTCTCTTGTTTCGCGGGCCGCTCCAGATGTGTCTGCCATAGCCCCTCCTCCACCAGTTCCGTATTCTATTGGAACGGCCCATACAATGGAATCTACTATTCGACCCATTGTTTACTCTAAGCATGCCAATTCACCTTCTACTGGCTCTTCTGAAGTCGATTTTCCGCCGTCTATTCAGCCTCGAAGCCCGCGGAGACCGATTTATAACTTGCGCGATTCTACCAACAGCTCTTCATCATCTTCGTTTGGGGAAATGCCACCAACTGTTGCGCTTCTTGGAAGCAGCCCTACTGACGAATCTTCTCACAGTCATCAAAAAATTAGCAATGACGGGTCAGATTACGATGTTACTGATTCTCTCAGTGTGAGTAGCAAGCGCAGCAGCAGATGCAGCTTCCATGACCGCTTTATTACTGGTCGAAGCGGCAAATACGTTTATGACGACAGCTTGGGGGCTCTTGAGGCACCACCTGCAATCGTGCCTGGTGCACGCGGCTTTGGTACTCACCAACGCCAGGGCTCTGGTGGAAGTGTGTCAAGTGGAGGTACAGACAATACAGCGACTACCGGAACCGATACATGGGCTTTGGACACAACCCCTGAACAACGACAATATGATGAGTTTAGAACGCCGCCAATGTACTATTCTCGTGGTTCTGTGCACAACCGCTCACCATCGTCTCATATTTTACCATCTGGCGGATATCACAGTCCTTCAGATGCATCATCAGTTGCATCAGGTATTCAACTTTCTCAGCCCATGGTCACGGTTTCACCCGCTTCAAGCATGCACAGGTTGAATCACAGTACAGTGGATATTGCCGTTTCTGATAATAAGCGGTCCAGTTTTTACGACACCAGTGATCCTGACGATACTTTTACCGGACGGCGACCTTTCGGCGCTGGAGGAATTGTTATGGTCCCAGGGACTTCAAATACATCAGCAGGCTCATTTTACAGCAATCATGGCAGCGTTGTATCGTCAAGCCGGCCAGGTTCTGACGGCTTTGGTACCATGGTTTCATCTTCTCTGTCACCTTCAGCTCGTGCCAGCGAAACCGGCTCTCCATTTTTAGAAGTTGGGGCTAAACACCAACCTCAACGCCAGCCAGTGCCTGAGAGTGTGTCGCCAATGCCATTGCAAGCAACACATCACCATGTTGATGCTGACGACGAGTATATGAGCTATGGAAATATTACTACTATGACAGAACCTTCTTGGCTTGATTCTGTTTCAGGGTCCGATAATGATGTGGAGTCTGCGGCTGCTACTTCTGGACCAGAAGTAGCACCGTTGTTTCTTCAGCGAAAGAGCTCACAAGGATCATCAAAGTCTAATGACCAACTGCAAAAGGAGCCCAAAAACATCAGTCCTGGAAGATTTTCGTCATCTTTAGCCCAGTCTGTTTCTTCTGGAACTAATCCGCAACCTCATCATTACTATCCCTCTCACCGTACATATCAGCAACATCGCAGCACTGGTAGCAGTGAATCAAGCAGCTCGGGTACTAAGAAACATTCTCACACTGGAAATGTAAAAGACCTGAGTGATGGATCAAACGGTTTGAAAGCTTCTTATAGTTCTTATGAGTCTATGAATTCTCAGTGATTATGGGTTTTTTATAGGTATAGAATTTTAATATTTTTAATATTTTTAACATTTTTAAATTTATTGTTATTTTGGGGTTTTTTGGATTTTTTAAAAATTTACATAAATGTATATAGATCCATCTATCTACAATTAAAAATTATGATAATTAATTAACTTATAAGTTAAAGATAAAAAACTGTCACTGACATAAAATATAAACTTTAATATGTATATTCCTATTCAATAGTTTCACATATCTCAATATCTCAATAAAAAATTTAATAAAATGCAACATGGAAAAAAGTGGAGACTAATACTAAAAAAAAGAATAGAAAGAAAGAAATTAAAAGAGAAGGAAAAAGGAAAAGAAAAAAATAAAATAAAATGAAATAAAATAAAATGAAATAAAATAAAATAAAATAAAATAAAATATCATAGCTTTAATAGCACAGCTACTAAGCTTAAAAAAACAAATATCCTTAAAAATCGTGAAAATGTCGTAAAATCGTAAAATTGAAGGGGAACGTAAAGGTAAAGACCGTGAATGACAAACAGAAGAAGAAAACGGAGTGAAACGGAGACAAAATCAAATGCTTTGGAATTGTCGGTAATCAAAAACAAAACAAAAGACCAAAGTAGTCCTCCATTTCTTTCAGCCTCTGATGGTATCAATGGCACGGGTTTCCAAAATGTATTTACCGACTTTGTACTTTTCTGAGCTTTTGAATGATTCGACGTATATCCAGCCAACGTTCTTGCTACAGAAGCGGCAAGCAACATCACGAACTTGAAATTCACCGGTCATCATCGGCCTCGTTTCGAGAGGTCCAAAAGTTACATTGACACTAAAAAAACAATGAAGAAAAAAATAAGAAAAAAAAAGTATTGTCCACAGTCAATACTGAAATAAAGAAAAAAACTAGGTATGAAAATAAAAGTTGTTGTTTCTTACTGATAAGATACATTAAGAAACAAGTTAGATAAGAGACCAAATACTTACAGATATGTAATGAGGTAAGCTTTCCCTAATACTCCAGTAAAATCCTATTTTAATAAAGAAAAGAAAGAAAATTAATAGAAAGAAAACGGGGTATTAAGACCAAAGCTTTTGTTGTTAAAAAAAAAAAGAGAAAGCGTTTATATCTGCCCAGTGTATAGATTTTAGAGCTTGTAGCCCATTTTTGTTTCCTTTATTATCGAAAGCTAAAGTCATGGTGTTTTAACAAGATCAAATACTTACTCTAGATTCAACATCATGATCAAAAGCTAGGTGAGTGCGGCAATTTTTGCAGCAATAGATTTGAGATCCGCTGAGATATTTGTTAAACTGAACGCCCATAATGAATATGAATAATTATTAAAAAAAAAAAAAAGGGTAAATTAGAGAGTGTAGAGCTGGTTGGTGAGTCCCCAAAATTAAACTAGAAGAAAAAAATGAAAAAATGCAAAGTGATTAAAGAAAAAAAAAACAGAGGAAATACAAATAAACAATTAATGAAAAGTATAGAATATTAAGAGCTGAGTTTAGAAAAGAGAGGATTGAGAAGGTCGGAAAGGAGGACAAAGAAGCTGGATGAGTAAATATTAGTTGAGAAGGTGGAAAGCCGGATGGCGAACTCTCACATAATTTTTTGTAATACAAGGTTTTTTAGTTGTGATCTGATATTATGACAATATTTTGTAACTATTTTATTTTTGTAACATTTTATACTTTAGGATACTGTAATAGTCATAAGTCTTAACTTACATCTACGTGTTACACAAGGGCGTCTTTGTTTTAAAGCTAAAGAACCTAACCTCGCATCATAGCGATTTTACATTACAGCGCGCAGTCTACTTTTCCAAATCAACCAGTTTAAAATCCGATCAAAAGCCGAAATCGATTGGGGCAGCTGAAATTTATAAAATATAGTAAGCAAGTAAGCCGGCCACATAAATAAAAAAATGGGGAAGCATGCGCCCTGAGAAAAGTTTACCTAATCATGAAAGCGCAACTTGATGTTTTAGGCATTAAATCCACTATTATGTTTTGAAAAAAAAAAATGGATAGATTTTTATAAAATTTCAATATTCTTTTTTTTTTTTTTTTTGAAAAATCTACTAACTAAACATAGTTCCGCCATTCGAATTTAACAAATATCGGCTCATTTTAAACTTTAGGAGAAATTTTCACCATTGATTGTTTTCCTTGCTATGTAGGCATATTAAAATAGTCCAAAGACTCCTTACGTAGTTCTTCTTAAGTTCTAATAAAAAAAATACAAAATGGCCAAAGTATTTTGCCATCACATTTAATAATATTTAATGATTAATAAATAATCTCATACATGAGTTTACTTCAGATATTTATTTTAATAGCAACATTTAATTTGTGTTTTTATTCCTTTTTTTTTTTTTTTTGAAAATGTAAAGACTAATAACATGTTAATCTTGTGACTATATTTTGTTAAATTTTGAACGATAACAAATTTGTTTATTTGTAAAAAATGATAAAGTTAAATATTCAATTTTTTTAGTAGTTTATTGGGCTCAAAATATTTTGTTTCAACATTTAATGATTATTTTAATAAGCATTTATTATCAGTTTAGTGTGGAACTATTCACGGAAAATCGATAAGTTATTTCTGTTAAACAAATTTTATGAAATAAAAAACAATGTTCTTTAAAATCCTTGTCAGTAATAAATAAATATTTGCAAGATTTTCGTTAATATTGAATAATTTAAAATCTAGCCCTTTAAATATTAAAAATCATAAAGTAATACTGATTAACTATATGGGAATATCATTGTGAAAAATCTATTATATATAATATGAAAATATAACAAATATCTTTTTGCAATTAGGAAAGCGATTAACATTTTTAAACAAGAAAAAATATGTAAAAACAATTGATAAAATAAATCAGTCAATGAGAGAATTATACATATTTGATATATTAAAAGTTTTCTATATTGAAAGATTAATATAACTTACAATATTAAAATTTAAATCTGAAATACTTTTTTTATACACATCAAGATCTTATGTCATGGATCGTCTTAAAATTAAGTATAGTTCTAAGCCACTTCTGTAATATTTGAAATAAACCAAAAAGATGTTTGCTTTTTAATGTTTTTACCAAATTAATCAACTATTTTTCTCTATAAAACTATCAATATACATGATCAATGAGTTGGAATGATTTAATTTATTTGATATTAAAAGTATTAAACTAAAAAAAGATTCAATTAAGCCTTAACTTCATAATGTGTATTTAAAAATGCTTCTAAATACTAATAACAAGTTTTTCTCATAGTCCATTCCGGTTTTGAATATATTAATACAGAATTTTAAAAATTTTAAATTGATAGGTTCACTCATCTTTTTTTTAAGATAGAAAATTCTCTCCGGTCATCTTTGACCCGCGAACTTCTATCTGCTATTTCTTTAAAAATTTGAAGATTGAAATAAGCTAACTTTAAATTAAAATTTTTATTTAAAAGAATAAAATAAAAAAGGATTTGTTAAAAATTTTGAGCGTATTTATTTTCACCATTTTGAAAATTTACTCTATTTTTTTAATTGGTCAATCAGTTCTGTTAGGTTACAAAAAGCCATACTTGAAAGCGGTGGAAATTTTGTTGAAATACATGTGAAAAAAATTAAAATTTGAGACAATTACTTATTATTATTATCTTTGATTTATCAGCTGGTAAAATATGTTTTGGCAATTTTAGAATAGAGACAAAGATAAATATCAAAGCTCAAAAAGTACCTTCTCACATATTTTATGTATTTCCAAACCAAACAAACTTACTTTATTTAGGCAATTTTCATTTTTTTTTTTTGATTAGTCTATCATTATCCCTACCTTCCTGAAATATACCGATGAAACATAATTCTAAGGTTTGCATTTTGAATTTGAAAAAATAAGAATAGTGGAAGAAACGAAAAGTTAAAATAAATATATATGCAATAAGAAGACTAACAAATATTTTGATATAATAGAGATAACCATTTAAATCTGAATACCAGATTATCTGCACTAATTTTCATAATAAAATAATTAATGGAAATCATTCAACTTTATGGGTATTCCAGTTTTTTTATAAAATAATTTACCATGGTCAGATAAATTCACAGGTAAAAATTGTGTGAAGTTAATAGAATTTTTGACATATTTAACAACAGGTTTAATTTCAATGTTTGGTAAATATAGACTAATTCAATATTTTACGTATATGTAAACAGTTTGGGCAATTATGAAAAAATTTTTGACAATAGTTAATCTGGGGGTTTTTACGTCTTAATCAAAGCTAAGTGGTTATTTTAACAAGTTCTTTAAAAAATTGAACGAGCATAGTTATTAGCTTAGTTATCTCACAAAGAACTTTGGCTAACTAATAATGCTAAGATAAAGTCTCAAAGTAATTAATTAATCAGCATATAAGCTGATTGCATCCTTTCTGTTTCTTAAAAAAATAGTTTTTAATTTAAAATATATATATGGTCATCATCCCACAATTTCAGTTCCAGATGTTAATGGCAATTTACAATTATTAATACTTTTAATTTCAATAATATAATATAAAGAAGTCAACTTCGACTTCGGCATGGGAATTTATTGGATTAGTACTACGGGGGTCATTTTCTTTGTGAACAGAAAACATTAATTAATCGTCATGCAATGCAAGTATATAATTATAATTATATCTGGATACTTATTCCACTTATAAATATAATTATGTTGGCAGATTCAGAGGTTTGGGAATGAATACATAGGAGTTATAGATATAAATATAGGTTATAGTGCAAAGTGAGTGTTACGCTTATGGAAGGATGAAAAGTTTAGTAAGACCTAACAGTATCGCTATACCTATGAATATGTGTCTTCTCCAATATAGCTATTTCACTAACAACGTACGATATGAAATGTAAAATATGAAATTAATTATGATTGAACACGTAGGAGAAAGTAATAGATATTGTTTTTCCATAGACAAGTTTCACTGATTGCTAAGCGTATCTTTGAAACCCTAACCATTAAATACAGAAAGGTTAGGGTTTTGTTTATGTGAGAAGGCCCAAGAACATTGGGAAAATGCAAACGGTCTGAGCTATGCAACGTTGTGAACAGAACAGGTAGTCGCACCTATAAAATCAACTTATAGTGATGTACTCTCGTCGAGATGCACTACTTTTCAACATATCATACAAATTTATTTTAAAATCTTCTTTCTTGGTTTATGATTAATACAATTTAATACACTTAATAGAAAATATACTAAATGGGCACTCCAGCAATAGTAATTCTCATATTATGGCAGATGGCTTATTTTATTTTTTTGTCTTTAGTATAATTTATCTACAAAAATCTAAATTTTTTAACAGTTAATAGTAATAAAAAAAATAAGGAAGCTTTTAAAGCTTTAAGTATACACAACTGTGAATAATTTTAAAAAAAAAATTTCCATGAGAAAGTTTATAGATATATCTTAATTATTCACTTGGAAAATAAAAGGACGTGAAATAAGTATTATTTTTCTATAGCTTAAATAACTGAGGATAAATATACATGTTGCGGATGAGTCAGTTTGGTTACTTGCTTCTTAAGAAACGCATAAATAGACTAAAAGCACATGTCAATAAATACTTGAATAAATAAGCATTTGACGTTTTTCTTTAAATACAAAAGTTTTTTTTATGTTTTGTGATGATTTCTAATTTCGAGATAAAGATAACAGTCTAATATCATTACAGATATAGATATTAACTGAGATTCTAGTTATGGCAAAAATAACATACTTGAACATATCTTTAAAAAGGAAAACTGATAGCTTATTTTTATCTGTTTGTTTCTTTTCTTTTTCACTTCATTTTCATTTTCATTTTTAATTTAATTTATTTTTTTTTATTTTTTTTTATTTTTTTTATTTTTTTAATTTCTTTTTTTGTATACTTTGTTTTTCTTTAAACCAAATGATTGTTTTTTTAAAATATTTCTTTTTCATATCAATAACATTGGCGTATGCAGTGAAAAAAATGTACCTTTTTTGGTATGCTGAGTGTGAATTAGGAAGTTATCTTTAACTTCATTCCAATACAAAGAACTTTGAAACTGAACACATTTGAAAAGTTTTCCCTTGAATATAAAAATTGTAAAATTAAAAAATATGAATAAAGGGTTGTTCATCTTTCTTAGTTTTAAATTTTTGTTTTTCAGGTTTTGTTAAATCGCTAATAACTAGCATTGAAATTTAAATCTAGAGTTCTTTTAAAATAATTAGCGGGTGATTATATGTTTGTAAAAACTTGTTTTTTTGGAAACAGTTAAGTAACGCTTAAATATAAATTTAATAATAACATAATTTGAAATTTAGACTTTCTATTTTTAATTAATGTTAAAATAATAAAAACTTTAGAAAAAGATGAATCAAACCACTCTTTATTATTATTTTTTTTGTGATAAGTTAAATATTAAATATGAAAGAATTCAAACTCCCATTTTTTTAATTTAAAAATCCTCATGCCAGAAATAACAATTTGATTTAGCATACTAAAGTCACTATATAAAATAGTACATCAAATAGAACTTGCCTACATGGTTCCGTTTTTTTCATTTGGGCATAGGCTTACATTAGTTTAATTATTTAAACAATGGTCATCTCAATACATTCATATTACGTGATGTTGCACATTTACATAAAAAGCATTGCGAACTACTTGCTATTGAAAAAGCCAGATTCTTTCCTTCGTGTATGAGCATGTACGAGAGTGGATTACCCGGTTCTTGCAATTGACTGGTTGGTTAATAGGAAAGTGTTTAATTATTTTAAAACTAGTTTGCCGCACCCCAGAATCTTAACTTTGTAAGTTCTGAAGTTCTGAAGAAGAAATTTAGTCATTGAGAGTGATATCATGATAGAGTTTATGTTAAAAAAGTCTCTGTATGAATCTCTTCAATAGGGATGATGTGAATAAAGCCTATTGGCAAAATAAAGTATTGTATTGTACACTTTTCTTTGGCAACCCAAAATAAACTTTAATTCAAATACTTTCCTAATTTTTTTCTTTATCTTTCTTTTTTCCTTTCTTTTTTTTCAGTGATTTAATTCTCATTAGACCATAAATGCCTTTTTTTGCCAATAAATTTTACTGGTCATAATCTTTATATAAGAAGATCACGTCAGCACATACTTTTCATGACACCTCTCCAATTTTGTTTTGTATTAGTAAAGTCAGGACCAACGGCTTTTGTGATAACATTCAAAATTAATAGGAAATGCTGTCATATTGCAAAGGTGATAGCTTTGTCCCTGTCATGTTGAAATCAACAATTTTATTTTGCTAAACTGTTTTTTTTTTCAAACCAAGGTTATTGTTTAGCCGTACTGTATATCCGCTTAATTTAAATTAAAAATTCATGAGAATTTTGTTTCTTGTTTTTATTTTCAGTTTATTTAACATAAGCCAATATTTCAAAACTTCACATGAAAGATATCATTAGATACTGTACCCAAATTTATTTACGACCACCAGGGACTAGCGGCTTCACCTGCTCTTTTCTGGGCACAAAGATCATGACTTATGTGATACAATTCTAACAAGTTCCGACTTTTGCTCTTTATGGTTGGAGCTTATTTTCTGGTTACTCAAATTTATCATTCAAGTGAGTGGTAATTTAAACCTATCAAGGAAAAAAGATGGTCCGTGCATCAATTTTCGTTTAGCAACACCAGTAACCATCCAGTTTTGAATACATACCTGTGACCTTTTGTTTAATTTGAATTTATTTTTATAAAGAATATATGCAATTTCTGGCCAATCAGTTGGTAAAGAAAAAGAAAAATAGAAAAAAAGATCCTTAATAAAAGACAAACCAAAAAATTTTTGTTAGTGACTTCAAATTTTTTGGGCTGGCTGCAGCAATCTTGCGCCGATACCAACGCCAAAAAAGCGCCCTTTAGTCAATATCTAACAGAACTAATATTTACTTTTTTTTTGTTTTCTTTAGCGGGAAATAAATATTGAGAGGGGACTCTTCGGGAATGATAGTAAATATGTAGCATATAAATGCAAACTATCGGCCAGCCTTGGCTAGATTTAGGTTTTTAACTGTATTTTCCATCGATCTGATGTTAAATTTTTTTTTTTTCTACTAAAAAACCTTTTCTTTCCCCTCTCCTCTTTAACATCAATATATACACCCCTTTTTTTTTGATAACCTTTTTATTTTCTTTTCTTTCTAATTCTTTTTTTTTTAAAAAGTGCTTTTCATTCTTCGAAATACTTATAAAAAAAAAAAAAAAAGAGATAGTCAATGTGTGCTTGGTGACTGTTACTAGCACCATACTGTTGGTCTTTTTTTTTTAAAAAAAAAATAAAAAAATTAAAAAATATGCAGCAAACCTCCAAAACGCGGTCCTTTGACGGTAAGGTTTACTCACAAAAAAATAACCTTTTTCCCACCCCTCTTTTCTAACAACCATGACTTAGGATGTAACAACTGTAAAGATGGTAGGATCAAATGTGACCGGCAAAAACCTATCTGTAACGTTTGTCGAAGAAGAGGGCTTAATTGTGACTATTCGCTTCGTCTCAAGTGGGTTGACAATGAGGTCTTGGGGTCGACTTATAACCCCAACGAAGAATATAAACCACCAAGATTGAAACGTACAAAACGCAAACTAGATGGATCAAAAGACAACAAGGTAAAATCCAGCGGAGATTTACCTACAACAAGCGACTCTAATCAGTTTGAATTTTTCGAACACGCTTCAGAATCTGGTAGCAGTTCTTCAGCTTCAAAACACGCGAATGATGATAAAATTGGAAATAATGCCTTGGGTCTGAAGCCTCAAGGCTCGCATCGTGTCACTAAGAAATCGGCTTCTTATATCAAAAATACGCCTGCAATACCACAAGAGTCTTCTTCTATGATTCTTCAATTTCAACAAAAGCAACTTTTCAACTCAGTCACGGCTGATCGTAGCTCTATTGTTTCTAGCCATGGTATGAGTGGTAGCAGCAGCACTAGTAGCTCATCTAGTATTTCCAACAGCACAATTCCTGGTTCATATCCAATTACTAGTAAAAGTATTTCGGATAGTATCTCAAGTGCCAAATCGACCAAATCTTCGTCACTTTTTAACGTCATTGACTTTCAATCTAGCACAGCTACAATTCCGGTCTCAGCTGCAGTTGCTACCTCCATTGCCCGACCAATACGTTCATCAACAGCTGGCCCTCCAGCTATTAGCAACCAGCAGCAAAATCAGCAACAACCTATTAGTCAACCATTATCCTCGAGTTCACAGATATCTTCTCAAGTGCTGCAACCAATTTCTCAAGAACAGCAAGTTGTTCAACAATTTGGTACGGATGCACAGTCACAATCGATACCAATACCTCCTCAACATTATCATCAACCTCACTATCAACAGCAATTTCAACATCAACATCAACTTCAATATCAATCCCATCAGCATCAGCATCAGCATCAGCATCATTCTCAACATCAAAATCAAAATCAAAATCAAAATAAAAATAAAAATCAAAATCAAAATCAAAATCAAAATCAACATCATTACCAGCATTACAATCACCATAATATTCATAACCATCATCAATCACAATATCCTTCCTATTCTCAGTACTCTGAACCGGCTTCTTTATCGGACCCGGTTGCTTTCCCTGTGAGTACAACACCAAGTGTACCAGTAAGTGTGTTCCCCACAAACAACAATACTTTCTTATCTACAGGACCTCCACAAAACCCCCTGATGCCATCACTATTACCACCAGTTACTCGACCGCAACAACAACAACAACAACAACAAGCAACCATGCCAGGTTTTTCTGTGTCTCCAACACTTCCTCCTCCATTGCCGGGACCTTCTTCCTCTACCGAAATGCCGCCACCTTTACCTTTGCAAATGTTTCAAAATCCATCAAACGTTTCCAATCTTAGCCCTACAATGTCTAGTAACATCAGCCCCACTACCTCGGTCTCATCTGTCAATAGTCCAACCTATTTTCCTAATCCTGTTGGAATGATTAGTTCTGTGGGTCCAACAAGTCCTATGAATCGTGACAGCAACACTGAGACGCCTTTAGATAATCCAATAGGCACTCCTGCAACTAATCCTGCCACAAATTCTACCAGTGACATGTCGCATCCCAACAAAGCATATGCCCATTCTCGACAAGTTTACCAGACTGGATACCCAGAAGTATTACCGCCTTTGTTTTCGACTCCCTCAGGGCATGGACACCAAACACCAATTTCTGTTCAAACTAGACCTTTATTCACCTCAATTGCGGATAACGGACCCACCCAAAATACTACTACTAATAATAATAATAATAATAATAATAATAATGAAAATCCCGGCAACAATAGTAGCCACAACAATACTCTTTCTTCATTGACCAAAAATCTATATGGTATTGAGATTGTTGACGAAAATGCAACTTCTTCATCGGAATCACGATATGTGACTACCTCTCAAGCTGCAAGCAAAGCTTTTGATCCGAATTATCATTACATTCGATCTACTTCCCTAGTGCGGTACCCTCAGGTTAAGGCAGCATTGGGAATTACATCTGAAATCTCTAGTCAGCTGGCTGATCCTTCAGTTAATAACATATTTTATCATTATCTTGAGTTTACATGTCCCTCGTTAGATCCCTCACATCCGAATATAGACAACAATCTTTCAATCAAGTACTACTTGCCTATCGCTATAAATTCTCCGTCAGCGTTTCACGGATTGCTTGCCTTATCCTGCCTTCAACTCTGTGAAGTGAATTCGCACTATACACAGCTTGCCTTACAACATCGCACTCTTGCAATCCGTCATTTGTCACATATGATTCAACAAAACCAGGCCATCAACTCGCCCCATGTTTTGGCTGCAATTTTGTGTCAAATCACCTTGGATGTTATGGAAGTCAAGTCTACTGAATGGAGAAATCACTTGAACATCTCGCGACAAGCGGTTCACAATCTGATTTTCTCTGCAGTGTCTCAGATTGGCTTGCCGTTATGGTTTTTGGCAATGCGCATTGCAAAATATGATACTTTTGCATGCTTTATTGACTTCCATGAGCCCATTATCCCATGCCGTTCTTTAGACCAGATTTATGAATTTGAGGATCAATTGGATGCTATTTGGAGTGTTCCTTCTCGGTGGTCTCTCTTGTGTGCTCATCTTGCCTTTTGGGGAAATGTTCTGGCAACTGACGCTAAGTTTGTTAATGGAATATCAACGCTTTTAAATTCTCAAACCAGAAATAAAACGCCTACAGAAATCATTGTTATGGCACGCCAGGAAATGACGTATGTTTATCAAATGATTACACGAGAACGCCCATTTGTTGCAGTTACAACACATAACTCTCGAAAGGATATTGTTAACATTTGGAAGGTAGCTACCAGTCTGTTTTACGACATGTGTTTCTCATGGTCTATGGGACACTTTAGTCCAACGGTTTCTGAGTATAGCAATAATAATTACTGTACTAATGATACCCTTAATGACAGCACTAATGAAAATAATTATAATAACAATAATAATAATAATAATAATAATAATAATAATAACCAAAACAATGCCAACTATGCCAACATAAAGCGACCTGATCAGTTACCATATTTGCAGAGAGATCTCCAGGTTCTTGTGAATTTGCTCAGCACGTTTCCAGTTGACGATTTTCAAGGAACTGCATTATCATGGCCTCTTTTTGTGGGTGTTGTTTGTGCATTTGACAAGAGGGACCAAGATGTTCTTAAACATGTCACAGAGCAATTATGGAAAAATTTGCGCATCACAACCTTTCGTTATATTCTTGAAACTTCGCAGCATCTTTGGGAAGGTCATCATAAGGTCAAAGTGACAAACTATGAAACTGGAGAGGTTCGAGAAGTTGAAATGTTGGTTTCGGAGCTTAATGCAGCAGACTATTACAATTTTGTTAAAAGATATACAAACATTTTGTTTGCTTGAGAATTTAGATAATTTTAGATAGATTTTTTTTTTTTGGTTAGATTTTTTCTTTTAGATAAAAAAAAATAAATAAACGGAATTTTTGGGAATTGCCCTTGTATTTCATAGATTCATTATGAAAAAAAATTACAATAAAATTACTATAAAATAAAATAAAAGCATTTAAAGTAAATTTTAGTAGATGATGATAAAAAGGTTTTTTCGAGGATAACGTTTTATTGTCAAGGTTAGTAAGTACATCCAATCCTTTTTTGTTTTTTAATTAAAACAATAAGTAGGGTCTAATTTCCAGACTACTTTTAATATGGAGAAGAATTAAAATAAGTATACGATGGCTTACAAATTGATTTTTTTTAAAAAAAAAAAGTAATACACTGCTGTTCCGATACTCAATATAGCCGAATTTACATCCGAAATATCTCTAACAGGCATTTCTTTGGTTTAATTTGTTAATCTAGTATTGAATAAACAATCAGCCATAGTAATTTTTAAACTATTAAACTGTAAAGAAAAAAAAAAGAAGATAAATCAAAATAACATATTTGCATGAATTTCATTAAAGGTTTCTTGGGCAATATTGCAATATTGTGAGATATTTTTTGATGTATTTTAAAGTTAAGCGTGATTCGTAGAATCCATGCAAAAGTCTTTAAAATATTGGTGGCAATGAAGATTTAGATTGATAATCAAAAAAAAAAAAAAAAAAGTAAAAATAAAATAAAATAAAGGAATCCAATGTTACTTGTTCCGGACCCCTCCCAAAAATCTTTTTTTTCAAGTTTCGTTATGAAATATCAAAGTCTTACTTATTTGTCAAAGACATATATATATCAAAATACACCTGTCGCTTACAATATGTTTAATTAAATATAAACGAGAAAACAAAATTCAGGTGATTTTTCTGTTGATGAGATAGATTTAATAAGATAATGTCAGTCTGTTCGCTTATTCTAAATGATTAAGTGGTTTTTTTTAGAACAAAGTTTTTTTTTATTTTTCTTTATTTTTCTTTATATATTTTTTTTGCCACGCTTACTGTTTATATTTCTCTTCTAGTTTGGATTGTAGTATTTATTTAAAATAAAGCAAAGCAAGTATTAAATGCTGCAATTATCTCAAGTTATTAATTCTTTTCAAATTATTTCAATTCACCTTTTTGACACACCCCTGAAAAGAGATTTATTCGAAAAAAAAAATGAGACAGCCTGGTTTAATTAAAAACTGTCTAGGGCGGGGATCATATCTTTTGAAATGAATATTATTTCTAAAAAGAAGTTTTTTAAAGCCGTTCCAACTATTATCATTTAAAAAAAATTACAAACAAATATGTTCAAATTAAAGAGCTTTTTTTTTATTTTTTTTTTAGAAATATATAAGTAGATTGAGATATCATCAAAATGAAGTTTTTTTTTTCAATTTCTTTTCATTGTTATCCTTTTTGGATTACACTTATTACCTTGTTATCATTTATCATGGGCGCAGATTTTAGTAAATTGAAACTCATTGGTTGGATTCATTTTGCACTGTTAGTGCTCTCAATTCTTGCTGAAGCAGAAGCAAAGTCTCCCACTGGTGGATATAGCCCTGGTTATGTTAGTTGTCCTTCTGAAAACATTGTTCGACCTGCTGATGTATGTTTTTATTATTTAGTCCTTTTTGTTTTTTTTTTCTTTTTGTACTAATTTTTTGTTATTCTTATTTTTAAAGGACATTTCAGAAAGTGAACGAGCATATATTGAGGGCCGCATGGAAACTGCCCAAAAGGCTCTTAAAGACTTTGTTGCTCGTCAGAACCTCAAAGACATCAACGTTGATGACTTTTTCAGCTTGTCAGGTGGTCCTAATGAACGTCCCAACACCGCTGTTGGTGTTGGCTTGGCCGTATCTGGAGGTGGATACCGGTCCCTGATGATTGGCGGAGGTGTGATTTCAGCTCTTGACAACCGCGACCAACCGGGGATGCGCAGAGGTGTTCTTGCTGGGTTGTTACAAGGTATGACACATTTTTCGGCCTTGTCAAGTGGCAGTTGGTTGTTAGGATCCATGTATCTGAACGACTTTAAGACGATTGCTCAATTGCGCCAGTCAAACAGAATCTGGCATTTTGAAAATAACATGTTGTTACCCAATAATGGTAACAACTTCTTCTTGTCAGATGGACTTTTTTACAGCACTGCAGGAGCACAAATGGGGACCAAAGTGGCATCCGGGTACGGTGTGACAATGACTGATTTGTACGGACGTCTCATTTCTCGCATGTTTATTGATCGAGATGGAAACAACAACAACAACAACAATAATAATAATAATGGTGGTGGCTCGGCAGCCTTGACTTGGTCTGATATCACAACCATGGACTACTTTTACAATCATATTGCACCGTATCCCATCATGTCAGCAATTAGCCGAGTTAACGGTAGCAATGATGATGTTGGACCTAACTCGACACTTATAGAGATTACACCTCACGAGATTGGATCCTTTGACTCGTCTCTTCATTCTTTTGCTAAGCTCAAGTACTTGGGCACCAATTTGGAAAACAATAAGGTCAAACAGAATAATAACAACAATAATAACAATGGGGATCGCCGGTGTGTGGGTGGTTACGATAATGCCGGGTTAATGGTTGGAGCTTCTTCAAACATCTTCAACAAGGTATTACAACGTCTTTCTCAGTCTAATAATTTTTTTATTGCGGCAATGGGCACGTTTGCATCGATGGTATTTGATCCTACTAACTTGGATGTTGCTTTGTTTCAACCCAACCCGTTCTACAAGTACCAGAATCCGACATACAGGCCGACATCTGATTCTATATTCAAGCAGCAGTACTTGGGTCTTACCGATGGTGCCTTTGGTGGAGAGAACGTTCCTCTTTATCCGCTATTGTACAAGCCTCGTGGACTAGACTTGATTGTTACAGTTGATGTTTCTGGTGATACACCAATCCACTGGCCTGCAGGAGTCTCGCTTATTAACACATATGCACGAGTATCTGGAAACATCAAGAATTCGGAAGAGGGTACAGGAATCAATCCAGCGACAGGAGCGCACTATCAGCAGAAGCATTTTATGCCTCGCGTTCCTGATGAAAACTCGTTTGTGAATTTGGGTCTTTCTACTCGGCCGACCTTTTTTGGATGTTATGCCATGGACTATATGAGTGATGATGAGATGAAGCACCGAGACTTTAGTAAGGTTCCTCCTATTTTGCTATACATGCCCAACACACCCATGTCGTATATGAGCAATAAGGACACATTCCAGTTTACTTATGAGAAGGAGGAGACTGATAAGATGTTCCAGAATGGGTTTGATATGGCGGATCAGTCATTTTCAGGAGGAGATCCTAATTGGGGCAAGTGTGTTGCGTGTGCGACAATCCAGCGTGAACGTGAACGTCAGGGCAAGTTTGAGCCTACAGATGAGTGTGGGGCATGTTTTGACAAGTATTGCTGGAATGGGAACCTTGATCCACGCGACTACCAAAGCACCAAGTTGCACAACAATCCCACAGTGAATCATCGTTAAAGAAGAGGAAAAAATGAATAAAAGAAATTATTTTGGTTTAAAATTCAGTGTAACATTAATTTTATTTAATTAGGTATAGCATTTAGTGTATTATTAATATTATTTTTTTGGGGGGGTATTTTTAATTTAAATAAAAAAAAAAAAAAAACTTTAAAAATCCTTATTTACTACAATCATATCTTGCTGTTCATCACGAATACGTTCTTGTATCCAATTGGGAAGGGCCCGAATAAGAGCCGAGAAGCCGAGCGAAGAGGGGATACAAATTTGGGCCGATTTCCCCAAAAGGACTTGTTTGATGACTGCGTTTGCCACGTCTTCTGGTTCGAGCTGGTTAGCAAGAATATGATTAAGAGAATTGAAAACCTGGGTTAATGGAGTTTTTACCCACATTGGATGGACCACTGAGTTTCGGATACCTGGAGCACCGTACCTATGTTTGAGTTCCTGGGAAAGGCCTTCAGAAAAGACCAGGGCTGCGGCTTTTGATGCACAGTAATCAACCATTTGTGCTGGAGTTGTAAAAGAAGCAAGGGATGCAATGGTGAGGACATGGCCGTGATTAGTTTTAATCATATGTGGGAGAAAGGCCTTTGTGACTAGAAATGGAGCGACAGCATTTACATTGAAGGTAAGTTTTACAGTGCGTTCTGTAGAACCAAGAATAGTTTTCCCAATTCCTGTTCCTGCATTGTTGATGACAATAGTTACATGACCAATTTCTGAGCGGACGCGTTCAGCAGCAGCGTCAATTTCTGAGCCCGAGGTGAGGTCAACCTTATAGAAGACAACGTTTGGAGGAGGGGTATAAGTGAGTTCTTGAATATCCCAAACAATGACTTTTTTGAGACCTGCACGTGCAAGACCTTGAACAGTGAGAGCACCAATACCACTGGCACCTCCAGTGACGAGGGCAGTTTCTTTGCTTGGGATGAATTGCTCGGTGAGGTTTGTGTAGTTGTTTAGGGCAAAGTAGTTGAGCCAAGAGTTGAAGTATTTGACAACACCAAAGAGGGCTAACCAGTAGAGGGTAGAGCCAGTATGTTCATTTGTCAAGATATTGGATAAGAAAGAAGAGGATGTTTTATTGTGGTCAAGAAGGTAATTGCGAAGTAGGTAGAGAATGCCTGTGACAATTGGGTTGAATGCCGTTTTGTTGACAAAGGCTGCGGCATTGGCTACGGTAAGAACAGACATTTTTTTATTTATTTTTTTTTGTCAAGAATTGTGGGGGAAAGTACGGGTAAAGGAAAGAATATTTGGGGTAAAATAAAATAAAATAAAGAAATAAAGAAAGAAGTAAAGAAAAGAAATGAAAAGAAAAGAAAAGAAAAGGAAAATCCTGGGCAGAAAGAAATCTGGGCCTTTTTATACTTGTTTTACATCATTTGATAAATGGAATGATTTTAGAAATAAATGTGGGGGAAACCCGAGGAAAGGCATTGTATAATTGTTTGAAATAGGTGTGGGGTGAAAAAGAAAAGGGGGAAGAATAAATAGGAATATGATATATCATTATTATTATTATTATATTTATATAAAAAATGGAGGAAAGAAAAAAAAAAAAAGAAAAATTATAAAATAACTAATTAGTTACTTTAACTTTAAATTTAAATTAAAATTTTTAATTAATTTATTAATTAATTTTTTAATTTTTTAATTTTTTTTTTGATTTTAAAAAAATTAAATCTTTATATCACGTTATTATCATGTGATATTCATGTAATTATTAATTGCCCCAACAATTTTTTTTTTTTTTTTTTTAAAGGAACTTTTCCCTGTGTGCCACTTCCCCCATACATAGAAAAGCATTCTAGTATCAACTCAACAAAAAAAAAAAAAATCAGTTTAGTTTATTTGATCAAATAGCAATAAACAACAACATTGGACGGAATTTTTTTTTTTTTTCATGGGCTGATGATGTCGGATCTTAAAGATGCCTTGCATTGATTAATTAATTGATTGATTAAAAAAAAAATATATATATATATATATAAACCCCAGCTTTTGTTCCCTTTTTTTTTATTTTTTTTCTTCTTCTACCTAACTTTCTTCTTCTTTTTTAATACAAACACACCCAACAATGATTATGAACTTTTTTTTAAATACAAATTAAACTCCTCCCCTTTAATACAACTATACTTGTTTATGGATGTCACAAAAACTCAATCCGGCCTTATTATTCACTCTTTCAATGCTTTTCTAACTCTGGAAAGTCCATCCCCATTAACTTGCATCGGCCCGTAAGAGAGTCAAGTGGGGTGCTTTTTTTTTTTTTTTGGTTCTATTTTTTTTTTCTACAATTGAAAATCCTCTCTTTTTATATATATTCCTTTCCATCTTTGATTTTCTTGATTTTCATGAAAAAAAATTGACTCTCTTTTGATTTTACACATTTCAATCCAACAAAGAAAAAAAACCTTTTAATATTATACTTCATAAAATGCATTACCCTCCAAGCTACAATGCTCTTTCCCCAGCTGCTAACGGAGTTACCTTTTTGCTTGGTCATCCTAATCATGAACTCATGGATACTCTATTGCTTCAATATAATCGTCAACGGGGTTGGACATCGCCTAATACATTACCCACAAATAACACTTCTCAGCTTTCACAAGCTATTCAATCACCCAAACCAGCAATGATATCCCTTTGTAGTGCTGCCGTATACCATCCAGGTCAAGTCAACACCCCTCCAGCAAAAGTCCCTTTAGATTCAAGGACAATTACAAAACTGCCTTCACCAAAAACTCTCCAGCAACCACAAACTAATCTCTATGTCCATCTTGTTGAAATTGCAGCACGTGACGTCTACATGCTGGGACCGAGTAACTCGCCTGCCTTGGCCAACCTGCTATTCCATAAGCTATGCACTGCGTTTGAGGTGCCCGAGTATTACGGCTATCACTTTGACACACTTTACCATTTTCTCTCGGACCTATCATGGCTGTCTCCGGGACCCCATGGCCACGTTTTAATATTCAGCATCATTTCGGCCGATAACAGCTACGGTCGCGGGGGGCTTGATTCTGGAGTCAACTCTCAGGTGTCGACGCAGATTGCTATGCTGGACTTTGTTTGGCGCATGCTTGATACGGTGGCCCGAGAATGGGCTACCAGAGGTGTTACATTTCACACATTTGTCACGGACCGGAGCCCCTATGCTGCAGCCACCCGGGTGCGTTTGTGATTATTATTATTATGACGATGCGCGTATATTTGAGTACGGGGCGTTTGTTGGAAATTTGCATAATGTCTGGGCAAAATTGCGCGACAAGATTAGAAAAAAAAAATTTTTTTTGACGACGACAAACGATCATAATGGAAAGCTGCTCAGTTGAGTTTATAGAAGATCACGAAGACGACGACGACGACGACGGCGACAATACCAATGACAATAACAAAATAACAAAATAACAAAATGGATTCAAGTGAAAAATATTAAAAAAAAAAAAAAGACTTTAGTCAGTCGTATTTTTCAACCATCAATTGGGTCTCGGGTCTTGTATGGAAACACACGTGCATAAGTGAAAGAAATTTTTTTTTTATTTTATTTTTTTTTTTTTTGCATGTGAAAAATATAATTAGTTTTCCAGAGAGGTGGATGTTTTTGTTGTTGTTGTTGTTATGCTGCAGCTACTATTTCTCTCCAAATATAAAAAAAAAAAAAAAAAAAGATTTCCACAAAAGTCTGGCCATTTTTTGATTTTTTTTTTAAAAATAAAACTCCTTTTAAAACCATCCAGCACTTTTATCTTTCTCATTAATTTCACAATATTTCCTCCTCCCCTTTTTTTTTTTTTTCTTGAGCATACCAAAACCCCCCTTTTATATTAATATAAATAATATTATCTCTTTTTTTCTTTTAAAATAAAAAGATACTCTTGTAATTTTTTTCTTTTTTTTTTCTGGTTCAAAACAAAGAAATCACATATGACGATATCTACCATATTCATAGTACGGCATGCGCTCAGACTAGACTCAATCGATAAGTCATGGATCCAGACTTCTCCAACACCTTACGATAGCCCCCTAGCATCACCTCAAGGATTTGAGCAAGCTCGTAAAACAGGCGACGCCATTGCAGCCCTTGTTTTGGGCTCACACTTACAAGAAAAGGCTCTGGGATCTGTGGCTATCCATTCGTCTCCATTTCTACGCTGTGTTCAAACAGCCAACTGCATAGCATCGAGTCTAGGCGAGACAGCATCTTGTTCTTCTTCTTCTTCTTCTTCTTCTTTTTCAACACAGTCCTCCTCTCGATGCACCCTCCGATTAGATGCATTTTTAGGAGAATGGCAAACACCAGACTATTACTCGGATATAGTTCCTCCGCCGTCGGATGGCCACACGGAGTTGCAGGCAACTTCGCTAAGCTGGCTGGCCCAACAAGTGGGGCAATCTTCCTCCTCTTCCTCCTCCTCCAAAAAAATCGACTACACTTGGCCCTTATCGCGGTGCGGACGCGCCGGAGAGTATGGCGAAACTTGGGCAGCAATGCACGCACGAGTCACGTCTGGACTCGAACAACTACTAGCTGAATATTCCACCGATCCTAGTCTACAGAATATTGACACCCTTGTACTGGTGTCTCATGGAGCAGCCTGCAACCCATTGATTGGTGATCTGTTGCGGGCTCCAGTACTTTCAGTGGTCGGAGTGGCCAGTTACTGCGGGTTAAGCACGTGGTCACCTCGTCGGTTACGTGCAGCAGGAAACCCCCGATGGACGGTTGTCTCATCGGATGGAGATACTGAGACAGAGTCTGAAAGCAGCTCACTGGACGAGGATGATGATGATGATGAAGAAGAAGAAGAAGAATATGATGATGACATTTATGATGAAGACAGCTATATTAGACACCGACAAGCGAAACAGATTCAGAGCTTGAAAAATATGGAACCGGCCGAAGATTCTAAACAATGGAGAGTGGTTGCTACGTCGCCGGATTTGGCGGAACTTTTTGTATCGTGGGGTCCAGGAGCAGCTCCCATTCTGCGCGGGGTTGGCGGCATCTCAAGTAAGCATAGCAGCGTGAGAGGATCGTTAGGTACCAAGAGTACCTTGTCTTCGATAATGACTACAAACCCAGTGTCGACCTCTCGTGGGTTCCGGCCGTTACAAATGGGCAGCATAATAACGATTGGTGGTACAGGCCAGAATACTGTTATTACTGCTCCAACAACAACAACAACTACCTCTCCTAATTATGAGACACCTACAGTAGCACCTCCGGTTGTTGTTGTGAGGGTGGAAAACTCTATTGCGGATACAACGGCATTGCATAATAACCGCACAGGGTCTAGCGAGGCTTTTATTGTTGACCATAATCATCAACATGGAGATATATTACAACCCCGAGGAGGAGTAGGAGGAGAGCTGTTGGAGCGGCCACCTGGGCTATCTACATCTAACTCGACATCTTGTTCGAGTTTTGATGAGTTTGCAGAAAGTGGGCATAATGATTACGAAGGTGAGGAGGAGGAAGAAGAAGAAGAAGAAGAAGGAGAAGGAAATGAAAACAGTGATGGTGTGCCCCACGTTGCTACTACTATACGGAGTCACAAAGCCGAATCGGTCACATGTGGGGGATCCAACATAATCAGCAATAATAATTACAATAACGATAACAACAGCAAAGATACTCTAAAGAATGGATATTCATTTAACAGCTATCGAAGCAGCATGGATTCCGATAGAACTACAGATGGAAAGTTTGTTGTTGGCAATAATGTTATTGATGATTATGATGATGATTATAATAATAATAATAATAATAATAATAATAATAATAATAATAATGACGATTACTACTATTCAAACAGCACATTGAGTCACCATAATAATATTAATAATATTAATAATGATCAACAAGCACAACCAGATTATTACGATACCCCATTTTTCTATCGCCGCGGAAATGTTACAGATGGAGATGTGACGCCTGTGGCCAGGTCTTTGTCAAGGTCCTCCTCTCGGTCATCTCGATCACGGTACAAGGCACTAGCAGGTGTTTTTGGGTCCAGGAGACGCCAGAATAGTTCTGGTACTGCCGGGAATGTAACTCCAACTTTATCTTCGGCACGCAGCTCGTTTGAAACGAGTGGAAGTAATATAAGTCCAGGAGGGGTTGAAGAGAATGCTACAAACAATAATAATAATAATAATAATAATAATAATAATAATAATAATAATAATAATAATAATAATAATAATAATAATAATAATAATAATAATAATAATAATAATAATAATAATAATAATAATAATAATAATAATAATAATAAAAAGAGAGGGACGAATGAGAAGCGTGGAGGTAGTGTCAGTGGTAGCAGTAATGGATCATCTTCATCACCATTGACACTTAGTTTTGGTAAAATGGCATTGGAGAATAAAAAGGGTAGTGTTGGGGACTCAAAGATTGTTAATTCGAGTGTGTTTAGTACCAAAAACAATGATAACAAATCCCGCGGGATTATGTTCAAGCCAACTTTCCCCGTGTTACTCAAAAAACGCAAGCCTGTTGGTGTATCTTTAGATAATACTAAGGAGGAGGAGGAGGAGAAGCCTTCAGCACAGGTCAAGAAGGTTCAAGAGTCTTTAGAAAATTCGGCGCTGGCGTGCGATGAAGATGGAAAGGATGAGAATGGCCAAAGTTTTGGGCTTTATAGGTTTGGAAGTAATCAGCGGTTGGCCTCTTATTAGAGGATAAAAAAAAGTTGCATGAAAAAAAGAGGTTTATTTGTTTTTATTTTTTTTTTTTTTTACGTTAAGTTAGTTTTTTATTTTTTTATTTATTTATTATTTATTATTTATTATTTGTGGTTAAATTTCAAGTTTATTTTAATTTTTTATTTTTATTTTTATCTATTAAAATGCAAAAAAAAAAATATTTTATTTTATTTAATTTTATTTTATCTTGAAATTAATTTTTGTGAGATTTTATTATTGTTATCTTTAAAGGAAATTTGGGCGATATTTTGGCGATAGCGGATGACAAAATTGAGCGGATGATGAGTTTGTTTGTTTGTTAGTATGTTTGTTTCTATGTTTGGGGAGGGAGGGATGAGGGGAGTGTGATTTTGGGAGAGATGTCCAATGACAAGAAAAGGAAAGACCAATGAAAAAGCGAGAACGGGATGTTTCCGAATTCGGACTTTATCTGATTTGCCATGAATATTAAGTTACATAAATTATTATGTAATAGAAGAGAAAAGAAAAAGAATTAAGACCTAAAATAAAAAATAAATTTCTTTTGATTATTTATAATTGAGATTTTAAAAAAAAAATGATGAAAAGAAAGAAAGAAACTCAAACTTAATAGAGAGTGTAGATTTAACGTCAGGTTTCATTCAAATGATCTTTTGCATTAAATAAGAGAGAAAAAAGAAAGAAAGAAAGGGTACATCGGATGATGATAGTAATTACTATCATCATCATAATAATAATAACGAATTTAAAATCAAATGTCGATCCGAATTATTGATGATAATAATTGTTTATTAACAATGTTAACTGTCAATTGAATAGAATTGTATATTATAGATAAATATACTTTTTTTTTTTATTTGTTTGACAAACCCTCATTGTTGTATTTACACACTTTATAGATCTCATTGAGGCTTATCCGATCCGAGTAAAAAATCTGTTGTTTCCCATTGAAAAAAAAAAAAAAATTTCTTGATTTCCGAAAGATTTGTATTATTAACATATCAACAACTCGGTTCTCGGGATAGAAGGTGTGTGTGTATGTGTTTCTTGGAATTAATCAAGTTCCACATTTATTAATTCATTTAAAAAAAACAAAAAAAAATTATTGTATATATATTCTCATTTGTTTGTTTTTTCATATATTTATATATAATAAATTTAAAAGATTTCATTAATCTTCAAATGTTAAAATAAAATAAATTAAAATAAATTAAAATAAATTAAATTAAATTAAAATAAAATAAAAAGGCCTCAAAAAGAAAGGTCTAGACTTCCAATACCACACGAAATTTTCCATCCTCCTCCTCCTCCTCCTCTTCAGCAATAAAAAAAAATATGTGAGTCACGTGGACTTGTATCTCAACGGCAGCAAACTTCCCCCCTCCTCCTTCGATTCAGCCCTGCCTTGTTAATTAATTGATTATATAATATATTACTTAATAAATTAATTACTATATCTCTTTGCAAATCCCAGTATTTTTTTTTAATTAAGCAAGCAGCAGTTACAGCAGCGCTCACTACTCCAAAAAAAAAAATATAAATAAAAATATTTGTTGTTGCCGCCGCCCGCCGCAAAAAAAAAAAAAAAAAAAGTATATAAAGGATCGGAGGCCCCCCTCCTCCCCTCTTTTTTTACTATAATCGGCATCCATAAGATATACTTTGTTTTTAAATATATCAATATATATAACAACTCTTGTTTGTTTTATCACAATCTATTAATATTTTAAATATCTATTTCTAAAATACCCCATTTTTTTTATCAAAAAAAAAGAATAAACGAGAATCCTCCTCTCTAAATCACAAACACACACACACATACCAATGCTTTCCAGAACTGTTATCCGCACATCTCGCATGGCTCCTGTTGCCACCGCTGCCGCTCTGGCCTCTACTCCCCGCAGAATGTACCACGCCAAGGTCCTAGACCACTACAACAATCCCCGTAACGTGGGCTCCATGAACAAGAATGACACAGATGTTGGTACCGGTCTTGTTGGTGCACCAGCATGCGGTGATGTCATGAAACTCCAGATCCGTGTCGATGACAATGGTATCATTTCTGATGTCAAGTTTAAGACTTTTGGCTGTGGCTCAGCTATTGCCTCTTCCTCATATGTTACAGAACTCGTCCGTGGTATGTCACTCGATGAAGCTGGTAAGATTAAGAATACAACAATTGCAAAGGAACTCTCTCTGCCTCCTGTCAAGCTGCACTGCTCCATGCTTGCTGAAGACGCTATTAAGTCAGCAATTAAGGATTACAAGAAAAAGAACAACAGAACCACACCTACACTTGGCCCTGATGCTTCTCAAGCTGCCCACTCGGCTTAAGGAATTTCCTTAGTTTTTTTTTTAAAAAAAAATAAAGGAAATTATAGGGGATGCGAAACCTTTACTGGGTAAAGGTTTTTTTTTTTAATAGGAAGGAAGGGAGGGGATGAAGGATGATGAAGACAAGGTACTAGGTTAGAATTTTGAGCATGAACAATATTAAGGATCTTAACCTAGTCAACTTTATGATGGTCTTTTTCTCCTCCTCTTCTTTACACTGATCCCTTGACTGAAGGTCATTTCACATGGGACTATTAAAAAAAAATTGAAATACACTGGCTTTTTTACTAGCTTGTGATTTGTACTTTTAACTCTTCTTTTGTTTTGTTTTTTTATATCAACAACTACTATTGTGAAAAAAAAAAAAAGTTATTTCCCTCAACAATAATGTTTGTGTCGTTTTTTTGTTTTATTATTATTATATATATCTATGTTTTTTTTTTTGCTAATGAATGAATGAATGAATCTTTTATCTTTTATCTAATTAGTCTACTTGTGGCTTTGTTTTTTTTTGACCTCCTTTTATATAAACGATGGTTACTGAGATTTAAATCTGATATACTATATAGTTGTTGGATTTGTAAACTCTACCTTTGTATGGCTAGTTTTATATTTCTTTTCTGCTCCCTCGTACTTTATACTGCTATTGTGTCCTTGGCTTTTTATTTTAAGTCCGATAAAGCGTTTAAAAAAATTTTTTTTTTTTTTTTTTGCTTTTCCCTTTTAAAAATCAATCTTGTAGCATTCAATCTCTTCTTTCTCGTTTGGATTTACTAAAAAATTAAAAAAAAAAAATTTTTATTAAATTGGGTCTTGCGCCGGTTTACTCAAACATATTATTAAATTGGGTCTTATGATTGGCCATTGGAAAAAAAAAAAAGCTTTTTCTTCTTGATTATGCACCCCACCACCAAAATTATGAAAGAAAATTAATTATAATTATATATATAAGTGTATTTATATCCAGATACCGAGTGTACATGTAATATTTATATCTTCTAGTTCTAAGAACTCAAAGAATTGAAAGAAAAAAAAAAAAGGACTAGCTGTGATCTAATTAGAAATATATTTAGATTATAATCTAAATATATTTGTAGCTACATGTTGAATGTTCATGAACATAAAAAAAAATAAATCAAAGGAAAGAAGAGGATTTATTGTGTAAATAATGATGGTAATAGAAAAAAAAAATAAAAATAAATAAAAATAAAAGGAGAAGAAATAAATTAAAAAAAAAAATCACAAAAATCAATACTTTGTAATTTGTTCTGTCCTTGTTATATTACCTCTGGAAATTGGGGGGTTTTTTTTTTCTTTAATTCCAATTGATACTACAGAAATGGAGAAAATGCAGATAGGTAGTTTAAGGTCTTAAAATTGTTATCTAAAGATTTCTTAGTAATGGTTTATGTGGGGTATTTAGAACTTGTATATATACACTCATAATAGAATAAGCTTAGTGGATTTACAATTTTTTTTTTTTTTGTAGCAACAAATGGGATTTTAAGTATATAAGAGATAATTTTTTTTTTGGGGATTTTAAATTTTTAAAAATGAAAGAAACAAAATTCACTTTAATCCATCTCAAAACTTTATTTATTTATTTATTGTTTTTTTTTTCATTTCGTGAAACATTGAATTTAAAAGAAGTGGGCATTTTATCACTTGGAGGGTTTTTTTTTATATATATATATTCATTTATTTAAATAAAATAATTAAAATTGAGATCAACAAATATATATTAATTTAGAATTTTTTTTCTGAAATATTTGAAAATGATTTAAAAAGCAAATAAATTTCCAAAATAAAACTGTCTATCTTTCAATATAAGTTTTTAAAAAATATTAAAAAAAGTATAAATTGTTTGTTTGTTTTTATTCAAGGGTTATAGAACTATATAACATCAGCATCTGCGCTATCCTTCTTGTCCATACTATATATCTTTTCATTTTAATAATAAACTTTTAATTTTGGTTTCAACATTGCATCTCCAACAGCCTGAAAATAAGTCCTGATGCCAGCTTACGAAGAACAGGGGGTTAAAAATAACCAAACCTTCCCAACCTATCTCCACTTGTCTTCATCAACGCTGTAATTGTATTTCTTAATCCCTCCAAGCAGAGATAAAGCTTACAATCTCTTGTAAGCCAGTTAAACTGTTTAAGAGAGTCGACATGTCCATCTCTGGAGATATCCGTTTGAGTCCTTTTCTTCCCTCTTCAAGCAAAGGACACTCAACTAAAATGTGATGAACTGTTTCCAGCTCTCCACATTTGCAGTTGTAACTATCCTTTTCAATTCCAAACTTTTTAAACCATGCGCCAAAATTGCCATGGCCTGTGCGAAACTGAGTAATATTACTCAAGATCCTTCAAAAAAAGTATAAATTACGTAATCAACTACTATTTCTTTTAGTAGAACTCAAATAAATTTTGGAAATTCATTTTTTTTAAGAAAAATCTTGGGCGTCTGGTGTAGTTGGCTATCACGTTCGCTTAGCATGCGAAAGGTCCCCGGTTCAACTCCGGTGTCGTCCATTAACTTTTTGTATCTTAACAAGATATTTTTTATCCTTAATATTTTTGTTTTATTATTTTAACATCAAGCTATGAAAGAAAAAAAGAAGAGGGAGAGTTGTAATTTTTTTTTTTCAATTTAAAATGGAAATATTTCAAAAAGGAAGAAACACAAAGAATAAAAAAAAAAAAACTTGCAAAATAGGCTTTAAGATTTTATCACATTTTACACGGGTCAGCAAGTTACAAATGTGGCGCAAGACATTTGCGCTCAGACACAAGGTGATCACCTGTTGCAACTCATGTTGAACAATGAAAAAAAAAAAAATAAAAAAAAAAACCACATCCAAGCATGCGGACATTTCGCTTTAAGAGATCATGTGGTGTATGTCTTTTTATATATTATTTTTTATTGTGATATATTAGAATTACGAGAGTGAATTTAAACGGGTGGGTGTTTCATTCTTTCATTCTTTCTTTTTCTTAAAGAAAGATGCATCATCGGTTTTAGACTAAAGGTTCTGTAGAATTCTGGAGGAAGGAAAATAGTGAAATTTTCACTATATAGAAAAAAATATCATAAAAAGTAAAAGAATGGTCTACCAAGAATCAAAAAAAAAAAAAAAATGAAATGAAATCTTCCCAAATTGTAACCAGTGGTTATTATACACATTACATAAATATAAATCATTTTTACAACATTTCAGAAACCATGAAGATGATAACAATTGAAGAAAACAAAATCTTCATTATCATCATTTTGGAAAAAAAAATATATATGTATATATATCTTTTTTAAGATACAAAAAGTTAATGGACGACACCGGAGTTGAACCGGGGACCTTTCGCATGCTAAGCGAACGTGATAGCCAACTACACCAGACGCCCAAGATTTTTCTTGAAAAGAAAATGAATTTATGAAATTTATTTGAGTTCTACTAAGAGAAATAGTAGTTGATTACGTAATTTATACTTTTTTAATATTTTTTTTTTTTTTTTTTTAATTTTTCAAAATTTTTTTTTAATGAAGATGAAAATATTAAAAATTCTTATATTAGGATCCAGTATTAAAATTATTAAAAGTTACGGAAAAACTTTTATTCTCATCCTTTAATTTAATAAATTGTTTCAAGGCCTTATGTTTTTACGTTTATATCCAGAATCGATTGCCAGTTTTACAAGACTTTCAATCTAAAAATGCCCTAACCCTTTAAAAAAAACTTCAACATAAACACCACCCCAAAAATAAAATAAAATAAAATAAAAGAAAAAAAACAGCTAACAAACGCGTTTTTCTTCTTTAACTTTTTGATTCCCACTTTTCATTCTTCTGTCTGTTCAAGGAATACCCATTCTACTATTTTCAATTGTCACACGAATTAATCACCTGCACAATGAACAACGGTAGATCTAGAAGCTCGAGAGACCGTGACAAAGATCGCGACCGTGACCGAGATTACAGACACAGTAGTAGCAACGGTAATGGCACTAGAGATAGAGATAGATACCAGGATTCAAGGCGACGCAGAAACAGCCAGTCGGTATCACCACCTCCTTCATCTAAGAGAACCCGGCACGAAGATACCCGAGACCGCGATAGAGACCGTCGGAGGGGAGGCCGAGACCGAGACCGCGGCCGTGACCGTGACCGTGATCGTGATCGTGACCGTGATCGTGACCGTGACCGTGACCGTGATCGTGACCGTGACAGAAACAGAGACAGACAAAGAGACAAAGAGCAGGACCGTGCGCGACCAGAAAAAGATGCAGATCAAAGAAAACTTGAAAGACAATCACGAGTGGCCGAATTCCTAAAGTCCAAGGGACTTAAGGGAGCTTCTAACGGATCCGAAAGTACAGAAGCATCACCCTCACAGTCAACCCCACCACCACCATCATCATCATCATCATCATCATCAAAACCTTCAGGGGGAATAGATATGGCTGCAACACTTGCACGGATTCAAGCTCGCAAGGCTCAAGTTTTTCAGCAAATGGAAGAGGAAAAACAAGGTGGCGCTAAAGAGCGTCAGCGATCTACAACGCCTCTTACTGGGACTTTATCTCGACAAGAAACCCCATCATCACCTCCAACTGATTCACCTCAAGAACGAGGAATTGGTCTCAAAACAGAAATCCACCCTCTATTACTTGAGACCATGGGGAAAACAGCTCTTAATTCCGTCAAAATTCAAAGATCTGGAGGAACAACAGGCGATATTAAAGATAATCCATATCTCTCACACTTGTTGGATGACTTGGATGAGCTTGATCGTGAAGATGAAGCGGCAGCAAAAGGAGTACCTTCAAAAACAAAACAAACTACTATAGATGAAAAATCATCATATACAGACTCTTCACTTGCAGCACCCGTGGGACCTACTCGCAGACCAGCTATCCAACTAGGCCATTTTGTCGAACCTGGAACGTATATCCGTCAAGCCGAAGCCATGCGACATGCTTTCCTCGAAAAGCTTCGAGCTGAGCGCGAGGCTGAGGAAGCAGCTCGACGACTCAAAGAACAACAAGAAAACGCTGAACGCAAGCTCGATGCTAGTCTTAGTCGTCCTGTTGATGGTATTGCACGTGAACGTGAAATGAAACCACCTACACCACCGGAAATTGAATGGTGGGACCAGCAGCTTTACACATCAAATGAAGACCAGGTACACTTTATGGATACCATTGGTGAAACACCCAAAACCTCAACCGAGCAATCTTTCCCGGAAACAATCACCCATTATATCCACCACCCAGTACCAATTGTTCAAGACGGAACGCAAGTCCCGCAACCCGCATTGAGACTGCATTTGACTAAGCGCGAGACAAAACGTCTGCGAAAGAATGCGCGTGCAGAACGGCTCAAGGAACAACAAGACATGATTCGTCTAGGTCTTGCACCGGCCCCTCCACCAAAAGTCAAGCTTACCAACCTCATGTCAGTACTCACCAATGAAGCCATTGCGAACCCGACACTGGTAGAAGCCCGCGTGCGTGCAGAAGTGGCAGCACGACGGCGTACTCATGAGGCTAACAATGCAGAGCGTAAGCTTACGCGAGAACAACGCGCAGAAAAACTTGTTGCCAAAGAAGAACGTCATCGCACAGAGCACGGAACATACATGGCAGCTTTCCGTACTCGATGTCCGCTCACAGACCCGCGCCAGCGTTTCAAGGTCGCCAAAAACGCTCAACAGCTGCATCTTGGCGGCATTGCGGTGTCAGTACGTGTACGCAAACCTGACCCCAACGCTGCCAATGCGCTTCCTTTGAGTCCTACTGGTGGCTTTTCTGTCATTATTGTGCAGGGCTCGCAGACTGCTATCAACAAATACTCTCGTCTACTGTTGAACCGTATCAACTGGACAGAATCCGCCCCGCCACGCGAGGAGCCTGAAGAGGATGATGTTGAAATGGAGGACGATGGCGATGATGATGAAATCCAGCAGGACCAGGTAACAGGGGACGCCCAACCTTTGTCGAAACGCGCACGCAAAAAGCTTAAGGAGCAACAAAAGAAAGAACAAGAGCTTGTCTCTGTGAACCTCGACCTTAACGCATGCGAGGAAATCTGGACCGGCCCAGTATTGCCTATTAATGCAACTATCCCAGCCCCTCATTCTAAAAAGTCTAACGTCGTTACAGCTGATAGTACCAAGACCATGGCTGCGTCGCCACGTTTGCTCAAATGGTGTGGTATTAACGATATGGAGACTGAGTTGGATGCAAAGGACTTGCTTGCAAAGCATAATTGCGACAGCTTTTGGGTTCTTGCACATTCCCTTCAGTAGTAGAAATGTGTTATTTCATTTGGTTATTATATATAAATTGCCTTTAATACATTACACATATACTTTTATAGTCATCACGGTCCTGCTCCGGTGTGATCTCCGGGACCCACCCCACCAATGTTATTTGCTGCAGGTGTTCCTGCGCCATTCAACAAATCATGCGCACCTAAGCTACTTCCTCCAAACGTATTGAGTGACCCCTGCGGCACGCCGCCCAAGCTCCCTGGAACTCCCGTGCTTGTTTTGAGCAAGTATCTTGAAAAGACTGTTTTCAATCGGGTCACAATTTCTTCTGCAGACTCCTTTGTAGGTGCCTCAAGATCGTAGCGTTTAGTTCCATTATTCTTATTGACCACAATCTTAAAGTTTGTCGGTACCTTGCGACTAGTTTTGCACTTAACCATCTGCGATACATGGAAACTCGAAGTCTTCAAACTATCGTACCATGCAGGGTCTTCTGCAGGTACCAAATGGATGTAGTCACCGTCAATCGTCAACACACGCTCATGACGTGCAATAAACGACATGGGTTGTCGTCGCCATACCTTGTAACGGTAAAACCCTCCCGCTGCCCCATGCAAATCATTGGTAAACGAGGGACCAAGACCAGAAGATGGTCTTGACAACCGACCAAGAGTTGTAGACTTGGGAACAATTGATGCACGCAAACGTTGTCTTGCAGACGCTGCAAGTGCTGCTGACGTTGACGTATTAGTGTTGATGAGCCCGAGCGCCACAAGATCCTGTGCCGGTGCGATACTAGTTGTTGATGCATTGTTAGTGAGATTCGAGGCAACGCCACCAGCATCCTTATCCATTCCACCGTTTGAAGTCTTGTTTTCTCCTTCCTCAACAAGTGTTCCATTGTTGGCCACGCTGAACGAGGGTCTGCTGGACGATGTTGTGTTTTCGGACGAATTGCGGTGGTAAAAGGAAGTGACTGAAGATCTGCGTCCGTATAATGAATTTCGATTATTACTATTTGCATGGCCAGTACTATCTTCATCCACAGCACTGGAATCATGGCGCGAGTATTCTGGTGAAGTTGAGAGCGGCACGATATATTCGCCAGCAACAGCGCGTAAATCAGACGGACCTTCATGGTACCCATTGAGTATTGTAATCACACGCTTGGGGGTAATTTCAAAGTTGCTTGCCACAATTTGGCGCCGCTGATGGGCCACAATCTTGTCATTACTTGCAGCTTCCTTGGGTTGCCGTGGGGTTTTCTTTTTACTAGCACCAATAATGCTCGGACGTCGCTGTTCATTCTTGTTGAATACCATGACATCACTGAGCAACAGCCCGCCATTGCCCAGGCTTTCTTCGTCATCGTTATCACCCAAGAACCCATCGCCAAACTCGCTGTCGTCGTCGCTATCTTCAGACTCTGTCAAATTGATGCTGGAAAATGTAGAGTTCATGGGTAACACATGACGGCGACCAACTTGTTTGAGTACATACTGAGAACGATCCAGATTCTTATCAATACAAATTTGAAACAAAACTTCGCCGACTGTTACGCTCATATCAACCTCAGCAGTCCAATACAATGATGACACCATATCGTCATAAGGGTATTGGTAAATGTTTAAAACAGCTTTGTGAGTGGTATTAATCTCGTTCGAGTCTTCAGGGTTAGAAGGGGTGGTTTTAGCTGAGGTAGCTACAGAGGTAGATGAAGAAGTTGCTGAATTTTGAGATTCATTCTTTTTGCGGCGAACAGATGGTGTAGCCTTTTCGTTTTCAATAGCCTGGCTCGGGGTAGCTTCAACCAGCGCAAACTCATCAAAGGAAAATGCAGAAATAAGACGTGTTCGGTCAAGTGCAGGAAAATCTTCATCAGGCTCACCATCATCTTCAACGATTCTCAGCGTCCACTTGTTGGCATTACACATATTGGGTGGCAACTTAGGAGTACGGGCAACTTGGCCCGGTGATGGATTATTGTAGCAGTAAAGGGCAAAGCCAATGGCATTAGCAACATTGACATCACGTCGCACAACAACTTCCCAAGGAGTACGGGGCTGATCACTTGAAGGCATGTACATTTTAAGCTTAAGAGGACGAGCCTCACTTTTACCAGAAGCTTCAACGTAGACTTCAAGAGGATCGTCAAGAGTAGCACGTTTTTCATTGATTTGAGAAGTAAGTTTGCTGCAAGGTTCTGGTAGATTGGTTTCACTCTCATTGTACTTGGGAACCGGAGCTGTGAGATCTCTTTTGGGGAAAGGATTGACCTTTTTAGGGCTCTTTTTGTTTGATAAGGATGAAGATGATAGCGAATCTTCAGTACCTGCCTTATTCAAGTTGCGTGTTCTACCGCGAGGTAGTTCAGGAGGTGCATTAGGCGGTTGTAAAGTTTTAAGTTCTTGTCCAAACTCAATCTTCTTGTCGTCTGCACCGTTTTGCAACTGTTTAGCCAAATTGGCTGAAGATTCAGCTGCAAGTTTCGAGAGCTTGGAAAGCAATGCATCAGGTTTCCGGCCAGTACCCGAGGTAGCCGCAACAGCGGCAGCAGCCGCTGCTATTCCATTGGGAGTAATGGCATAACCCAAAGCATTTGTAAGCGCAATCCCAGAAGAGTTGAGTGCAGCAGCATCACTTTGATCAGCAGACTGAGATCCATTAGCTTCCAAAGGCAAGAGCCCTAGGCGTTGTTGGAGCTGGAGTTGATGCTGCTGCTGAAGTTGCAACTGTAACAATAACTGTTGTTTTTTCTTCTTGTGTTTCTTTTTCGGCGACGAGGGCGCGGAAGGAGCAGTCTGGGCTAAAGAATAAGCTGGTAATGATGCATTAGTCTGGGACCGAGATGCACGGCGCTGTAACTGGGCTTGTTGTTGTTGCACTGTTTGTCTTGTTCTCGCGATGAGAGCAGCCACCGCTGATGATGTAGGGATATTAGTGCCTACACTCATTTTGCGGATTTGAACTTGAGTAAAGCTTCCATTGGGTGACGAGTTGGAAGGTGTAGTTGGTGCAGATACTGGCTTAGATACTGATGGGGGTGGAGTTGTTGGACGCACCAATGGAGAAGAAGTCAAATCAGTGGCTTGAGTATCAATATTAGAAGTGGTTCCTAATGCAAGAGAAGAAAGAGAAGAAGTTGATACGGAAGCTGTAGAATAAATGGGTTTTGGAGGAATCCCTAAAGACATTTGGCGATGAAGAAGTCGTACTTTTGGCCTTTGCGAGTCACTAGCAGACCCGGATCGAGATCCGGATTCAGACTGTGGGTTAGAAAGTCCTGAGGCTGCGGTGGTACCATTTATTATAACAGTAGATTTTCCGAGGGCCAGCATATTGGAAGTGATACTACTGCGAGGCATGGGTGGTGTATGTCTTGCAGATGAAAGCTGTGAAGTAGCAGGAACTGATGAAGGTATAATTTCCTGAGAATCTGGAGTAAAGGATGCATTGCTTTGGGTTGGTGCAGAAGACGCAGAAGAGCCTGGGGTATTATGTGTACCATCGGTATGCTGGGAATGGTGGTGATGATGACGACTGGCCTTGTGGCGCATATAAATAATACGAAGCTGAGACTCAGTCAGCTCGCCATTTCTATAAAGGCTAAGTTCACTAGGAGTAAGCTGTTGTTGTAGACGTAAAAGTTTTTTACGAAGTCTGTGATGACGAACAATAAGCTGTTGCTGTTGTTCACTTAGAGTTACTCCAGGAGGAAGAGCAGCCATTAACTTTTTGTACTTGTTGGTATTTACCAAAGCAGTAGAAGTTTCTGGTGCCATTGAACTTGTCGTACTTGCAGTACTGATTTCACTGCTTGCACTAGTCTTGTGTTTCCGTGGGGTACTAGCAGCGGGAGGCGCAATATTTTCTTCTGTATCTGTTTTGGCGCCTTCGCGTGAGTCTGTTAAATCACCGCCATCTTCTGTTTCTGATGTATTTTTTGCGCCTTCAAATGTATCATCACCTTCGCTTGCTTCTTCAATTGCAGATCCGCTAAACCTACTTTGTGTGCCATTTTTGGTAACAGGAGGTCGTGTGGGGACAACAGATGATGCAGTTAAAAAAGATACAGCAGCTGCCGAGTGTGCACGTTTTTTCTTTTTAATGGTGGTGGTGTTACTTCCAACAGTTTTTGGATCTTTGGAGTTGCGTGTAATGTTTGTGAGTAAGGGAAGTGTATCTGTGGAACTATTGCTTTCTCTGTCCAGCGAGAAAAGGCCTCCAGGTTTTGTGGTAGTTGATGGAGATCCAATTAGAGCAGAGTCAGTATATGGGTATTGGGATGCTGCTACAGCATCAGGTGGGATAGTGGATGCACGGGGCTTGAGACCAGCTTGTGAAAGTGTATATGCTTGGGCGAGGTCAGTAGAAGTGTCTTTTATGGAAGTATTTGAGCTGACTGGGACGATAGTCACGTTTGGGAGTTTTTGACGATTGTTGGAGCTTGTGCTGCTACTGCTGTGGCCCTTTTTGCCTTTTTTTTTCCCTGTTGATGAAGAAGCACCTGTGGAGTTGCTCTTGGACTTTTTCTTACTGGATCGGACATCTTTGCGAGCATGTTGTGGAAGATCAAAAGATCCAATACCACTGAAAACACGCGTGGTCACTTCACGGTTTGCAAAAGATGCAGAAATGCCACCACCACGATTTAGTGCGCGTTTCCGGCGCTGGAGAGCCGACATATCACGCAACGTAGAAGTAGGAATAGGTGGAGAACTAGGAGAGACAAGTTGCATGATAGACTGCGAGGCCAGAATTGGTTCGCCAATATGAGGTTGCTGCTGAGCAGTAGATGAGTCTGTAGTTTCATTAGGTTTATTAGCATCGCTTACTAAAGTCGTGGCTGTGGAAGTTGTATTTGACTGGGCATCTACACCGACTGATTGCAAGCCAGCTCCGATTCCAAAACCGGTACCTAGACCGCCAATAGGGGCCGGAGCAGATGGGGATGGGCGAGTAAGAGGGTCAGAGCGTGTGTAGTAGATGTGAGTATTTGGGTTGATAATGCGGTTGCCAATGCCATCAGGAAAAGCCTGGAGATAGGAGGCACGGAGGTGGGCTATAACGTAGCTAAAACAGGAAAAGGTTAGATAAAAAAAAAACGGTCGATTAAAAAGGATTAATACATACTTTTGATCATGGAGAAGGGCCATGATTCAGGGTTGCTAGTGGATATAGATCCGAGCAGTGGAATAATAATATACAATGATCGTGAAGTGGTCTATGGGAGCAGAAGAGCACAAAAAAAAAAAAAAAAAAAAGGACCTGGGGAAGGGTCATGGCGAGATGAGCGGAGCAAAAGAGTAGTTTGAAAACGTTGTAAGGGTAATTTAAGTCCTTTTAAGCGTAAATTATGAAACGGTACCAATAAACAGCCGAGTTCCGAGTTCCGATTTAGCAACGTGAGATATTTCTCAGCGACCCGAGAAAAAAATGTAATTAAGTTTTGTTACAAAGTATATTTGTTACAACTATAAGCGTTATTTAAAAAAAATAAAATAAAAATAAAAATAAAATAAATTGTTGTTACAAAATTACCATTGCCAACCAATCAACAGCAGCCCTCCGCCAGCCAACCACGGCGTCACACAGATGTTCGCATCGCTGGCCAGCGCACCCGCGAAACCTCCCTCCTCCCAGAATCACCACCACCAACTTTGCACACACACAAACCCTCCTCCTCCCCCCTTTCATTGCACTTCGTCCACACACCCCACATCCTTCTCCATCACCACCTTATCCATCCTCCTTAAGTACAATGTCCGGCTCCAACTACGTCATTTTCGGCAAGGTCTTCAAGCCCCACCAGGTACGACCATTATTCAATTGATTTGTGCGGAACAGCGGTGAATTTCAAGACCAAGGGACTATATATGTGCAACTGTTAAAAAAGTGTGTTTGTGTGATGCCTTGCAACATTGGCCCTTGGTTTTGTAAATTTTTTTTTTCGTTCTATCAATATTGGGATTTAATATTCGGCATATTCTAACAAGTTTTTTTTTTCTTTTTTTAAAGCTCGCCATTGCCACCCTTGTCACCCTGACTGGCGGTATCCTTGTTGCCTCCAGCGGCAAGAAGGCTGCTCCTGCCACTCCCGCCATCCAGGCCGAGAGCCCCCAGGAGGCCGACTTCATCACGTATGTGTGACACCTTTGTTAATTGACTTAAATACCATACTAATGCCTAATTTAGTGAGTTCCTCAAGAGCGCCGAAGCCGAGGAGAAGAAATAAACAACTCAATAATGAATTTTATTTAAAAAAAACAAGTTATAATTGATTGATACACTATTTGATGATTTTTTTTTTTGGTCTATTTGAAATTTTCAACATTATGTAAACACAACAAAAACAAGTCGGCATTGTAGTATAGTGTAAATTAACCATCACAGAAATATTATCACCATTATCCATTAAAATTCTATTTTGTTTCTATTAATCAAGCCAACTATTTGTAAATGCATTATATTAAACCATTTTCTTTCTTCGTTCCCATTTTATTATTATTATTTTATTATCATCATTAAAAAATAAACACACGTTCTACCCAATCTATTTGAACACAGCCTTTTGTGAAAGAGGATCCTCAGCCAGCGCGTTTTCACGCTGCAGAACGCGGCGCTGCAGCGCAGCAGAGTCGCGGGCCTCAGCCTTAGCCTTGTCTTGAGCCTTGAGTTGGGCACGGACAGCATTTGGCGAAACGTACTCCTTATTTTCGTAAATGACTGGGCCACCAAAAGAGCCTTCGAGGATGGTGATGAGGGTCAGGACAAAACGGGGGCCAATTTCAACGAGACTGAGCTCAGTCTCGTCTTCACCAGCAGCACGCTTATCTGCGGCAGTGTCTGGGGTTTTTTCAGCGATTTGGTAGTTGCGGAACCAGATTTTGTTATCGACTATGCTAAGAGTAAGGACGTGATCAATGAAGGGCTTGGACTTGCGAGCCTTGGGTGGGACGCCAAAAGTATGGAGGAACATTTCTTTAAGGAGTTGATACTCTGGAGTAGTGTCGAAGGTCTTGTCAAAAGAGAGAATGGGACGCGAGCCCTTGAGACAGTTACCGGTAAAGTTGAGTTCATCCATGGTGTGCATGTTTTGGACGTGGAATTTGGCTGAAGGGCCGTTGGGGGCCTTAGACAGCCACATGTAAAGATCGAGATGCTTGCGTGCCTCAAAGTACAAAATATTGTTGCAGTTGTAGAGTTCAGCAACTTCATTGAGTTCTTGAAGCTGAGACTTGTGATCAAACTTGGCTTCCTTACGGCCATGGGGCATCATGCTTGCCAGATCGTTGACCAGGTGTCTGTGACGAAAGGTAGTCCCCCGCGAGCAGATGATGAGCACACGCTGGCGGTTCTTAAATTCAGAAGAGTTAGTATTATTGGACTCATCATTATTAGAAGAAGATCCTTTAGACAGAGACTTGTATATGGCAGACATTGTGAGGTATCTTTTATGTTTAGTTTAAACGGAAAAAAAAGGGTTATCAGTTGCAAGGTCTTGATATTTTGAGACTGAAAAAAAAAAAAAAAATTTAACGTGAAGAGAAAAATTTTTTGTGAAAAAATTCAGCCGTTCATATTACATAATTTTATTTCACGTGATATATTACTTGAGACCTATAACTTAGAAATTTAGTTTTTATTTTTATTATTTTTTTACACCTCTAATCTGCCCACTGAATTTTGAGAGTTTAAAAAAATATATATATATATATATATATATATATAGAGATGATCATATGAGGTGTATTTGAAAAAACCTTGAAACAAGCTATATTTATATAAACTTATTTATGCAAATCTCAATGTCTAATCCAATTTCATTGAAAATGGCCTTTTTTTTTGTATATATAGACATTCGTCGGAACTTACGCGGTGCTGTCGGCATTTTAGAGTGATACCCGAGACCGACTAAGCCTCCTGATCAGTATTAGTTTGTAACTATCTAATACTATGATTTGGTAACGAGATATTAGAAGGTTCTTTTATATAGACCTTCTCGCATTTTATTCGAAAACTAACCGCGTCTTTTTTTTTTCTTCCAAAGAACGTTTGTTGTCAAGAAATTATTCAACTACCCCCCCTTGCGAGCGAATGCTAGAACAAATAAACGGATCCAAAAAAAAAATAAAAATAAAAATAAAAATAAAAAAAAATCGCAATTAAACATTTTTTTTTTAAATCGCCGGAATTCCATTCATGGAAGCCCCGCGTTTCTTGAGACATTTAGGGGATATTGGCATAGCTAATATTTAATATATATATATATATATATATATAGAGGGAGATCATATTACACACACACACTAATTATTCAACTAGCCTAAAGGTGGCAAAGTTGTGATCATTTTTCAAGATAATTTTGAAGAACGCGCGCGTGGTTTTTTTTTTGTGTGGGCAAGCAGCTGCTTTAAAATTGTCGGGATCAAAATGGGCTGGTCTGCACACATTCACAACACACATGGGCGCACCTCGGGACCTAATTCTATAAAAGCCCTCCGGGTTTCCCTAAAAATTAAAAAAAAAATATTATATATATATATATAAACCACTTAGAAATTTTTTTTTTCTTTTCCTTTCTTTATAAAAAAAAAACAAGTCAATAACGATCAATCTTTTATCTGATTTTTATTAATATTTTTTTTTTCAGTATCCCATTTCTTCTTCCCTACACGAAGTATCATGTCTTCGTTAATGAATAAAATCTCATCGGGTAAGCTTTTCATTTTATTATCTCTACCTTTTAGATCCTTTCTAACATTGCCCATTTACCAGAGTTTGAATACCACCGAATCTCCTCTAAATATACAAAAAGACGACCTCTTAAGGCTCTCAAGAAAGAAGATCCACCTCCTCAACCTCATGGAACAAACTTTTCCACTCTATACCACCCAGGTGATGAACACTACTACAACTCACGATCCCAATCTTATAATGATAACGATGCAGTACCTGACGCGCATTCCTCAAATGCCCCCCACCGTAACTCAACACAAGCTTTCAGGGATGTTACAATCTATGAGGAACGAAATAGCTTTGATGAACCCGCATTCCATGGCCAGTCGTACCCAAGCGTAGTACCATTCCCTCAAATAGGTAGTAACACCACCAATGGTGCAACCTCGTCTTTCTCATCCTCGTCGTCCAATCACGGAGCTTTTACCTCAATGTCGTCAAGGAACTCATCCTCTACTTCGGTAGACCATCGTTCAGGTGCTTCTCCAAATTCTACGGGATCTATGACCTCCGCTGCCTCATCTAACTTTGGAGTTTCCAGACCCAGTCCACTCCGCAGTGCCACTGCAAGCCCCGATACTCCCACTGGCGACCTTTCGCACGGATCTGCCGCCCGTGCGCGTGCTTATACAGCTTACACTGGAGGACAAAAGTCTCAAGATTCTTGGTCGTATCGACCTTACGATTCAACAGCTCATGGCGTTGCTGCTTCCACCAATGTAGCAGAAACTTACACTCTACCACCTCCACCTCCTGCTTCACGCCGATCTACACCGTCGTCAAATTACGGATCTGCAAGTGTACAGCCGTCATTTTCTAGCGGTACAGGAATTAGTGCTTCTGCTGGCTCAGGCACATTCCATAATAACAATCCGTTTAAAATTGCACCTACCAACAACAACAACAACAACAACAACATGAACAATACTACTGCTACATCTCCAACTGCAATTACACCTTCTTCACAAAGAAATGATTATGATGATGAATACAACCGCCGTGGTGAAGCATTTAAGGAACGCTTAACAGCATCACATAAGCTTTCAAACTTTCACGACCAACTTACAAGTATTCCTGAACCCCGTTGGAGCATTGAGTCTGACGAAAGCTACCGGGATGGGTTTGAGCCATATGTGAACCACGGATCCTTCAACACTACTAATGGTATTGGGCGTCGCAACTCATTATGGACCAAGGTAAAGCGTACACAATCGCAAATCTTCTCGACAGCTGCAAACACAGCTTCCGGTGTTGCAAGCTCGACCATTTCTCTGGCTCGTCGCGGGTCGGCAGCTGCTGGATCTCGTGGCTCGTACCGCATGGCTCCAGACTCTTCTTCGCGCGAAGACTTTTACGACCAGGATGATCACTCATGGGGGGTAGGTGCTAACGGAGCACATTCCAGTGGAGGAAACAATCCTGCGACCGGGATGGGTCCTCGACGACCCCGGTTTTTATCGCTGGGCGGCAAGTCGTCATCCTCATCTAAGGGGATGGAATTTTCTGAAGGATCTTACTACGATGATCATGATAGAGGTCACAGCTCATTCAGAGATAGCGAGGATGGAGATGAAGGCAATCGGTATAACGATGGGTTTAAGGATGAACCTGTGGAAGATTTGTCGTATCGTTACAAGCAGGGATACGGTAGTACAGGGTACGGCAGTGAGAAACCGAAACGCCGCAACAGTTTGTTAGGAAGATAAAGAAGATGATGAAACAAAAAAGGAACAAAAAAAAACACCTTTTTATTTTATTATTTGTTATAGGAAAAAAAGAAAAATATCTTTATAAAGATAATATTATGTATTATATTTTAAAAAAAAAATAATAAAAAAAAAGTTGTTTGAATTAAATATTGTGGAAATAATTTAATTTTTAGCTGGAATGGACCTCTAAATAAAGAAGAAGAAGCTTAAAAAAAAAAAGAAAAAAAAACGCGTAAATTTTATAAATATAAATAACGCGTTTTTCTTAGTCAGCAGATACAATGGTCCGGAAATAAAATTCTTTTCTTGGAAAAAACCTTTAAAGGTTATTTTGAGATTTATTTTATTTTTTATTTTTTTTTGGCCAAAATTATCAAGATTTTATCCAAATTTTTAATCAATTGGCGATTAACTTGAAACTTCACTGCTTACAAGAACATTTATAGAAAGCCAATTAGTTATTCAATCATTTAATTTTCTTCTTTCGTCATAAGTTTTTTGTTTTTTTTTTTGAAATCTGTAATTTACAAAATTATAGATGAAAATCACCTATAGTGGAGAATTTACTCAAATATATAAAAAAAAAAACACTAAACTATTTTAAAAAAAATAGTAGTTTGGTGTTTTATTAAATAAAAACCATAACCATAATATCCATTTTAATAAGTTATATATAAATAATTTTAAATTTAAAATTAGATTTAAAATTAAAATTTTTCCTTCAATTTCTTTCTTTTTTTTCTCAATTACTTATTTTTTTTCTTTGTTTTTTTTCTTTTCTCTCTCTTCAAAAACTTAATTCTGTAACAATTAATGTCTTGCTTCAAGACCTTCTTCAATCAGTCCCCCTCTAATTTCCACCACGATGTGAGCTTCCAGCTCCAACTCGGTTCGTCCTCACTCCTACACCACGACCCGAATTGCTGCTATTACTACCACCTCCATTTCCAGGTCCAGTTCGTGAAGATGATGTTGTAGTCCCATTACTTCCAGGATTCCCAAGCGATCCCATAAAACTCGGCCGTGATCTTCGCATTCCTCCATTCCCATTTGTAGAGTTGGAAGAAAGAGACGAAGATGAAGAAAAATTGCCATTAATGTCATTTACAGAAGGCCCCATATCTCGGCCTTCTCTTATAACTCCACCATTGTTATTACCGTTATGCCCGTACATGCTTGTACGCCGATCGCGTGTGTTTGAAGATGACTGTTGCTGATGGTACTGAGACCCTTGCTGCGCTGATCCCCGTACGTCATCGCGGAAAACATTACCATTGGACACACTATTGTTACGTCGAATCGGTTTTTTGCGCATAACCTGAGAGCCCGCATTGTTGCTGCTCCCTGTTCCGTTATTTGCATTTGATTTGGTAGATCCGTGATGCTGTGGTTGCTGTTGGTGTTCATTGGCCCCACGCGGCGGAGATACTGAAATTGCTCTAGCAGGTGACCGTGGTGGAGAAAGTGAAGACATTACTGGTGATCGAGGAGACGACCGAGCACCCACAGTAGTAACATCGTTGCCACGTTTCAGGGCATTGGTTAGCTTCTTAATAGCACCATTACTATTGACCTTGATTTTATTAGTGTTGTTCTGGCCATTAGAAAGGTTTGTAAACTTGGCGCCTGTTGATCCATTCATCATCATTTTGCTAATAGTGGTAGACTTTGTAAGGCCTTTTGGCGGTTGCGTTGACCAAAGCCGTTGTTTGAGAGTATTCAGATCCTTATGCAGTTGTAGCAGCCGCTTCAAGTCACGCGCATTGACTTCAGACTTTCTGAGAGTGCTTACACTATTAACGCTGGGAATGTAGCCTTGCTTTTCCAATTGCCTGTAAAGACCTTCATATTGAGCATATAGCCGCCGGAATCGTGCCGCCATAGAAAACAAGCCGTCATCAGCGCTTTTAGAAACCTCCACAGAATGTATTGCAGGTTGTTGCTTCGTCCGCGCGGGAACACTGCCGGCTCCCAGCGCTTGTCGTTTGCGCGGGTACTCATCATTTTCATTATTAGTATTAGTGATGTTATCAGGAGTATCAGGGGTATCGGTGGAGTTGTTAGCATTAATTTCGTAAGATGTGGGGATTAGTTGTTTGGTTGTTATAGAGGTAGAGGTAGATGTTGCTATGGCTGTGGCTGTGGCTGCTGCTGCTGCTGCCGCCGCAGCAGCAGCAGCTTCTTGAGCTGCTCGGCGCTTGCGCGAACCAGATGTAATAGCCGATGAAGATGTGTTGGTAGCCGGGCGTGCTGAAACAGAGTCATCACTGTCTGTATTTACAGGAGATATGCTCTTATTTCGCTGGGCCTTTGAGTTAGCTAGTGGCGTGGTAGATGCAGAAGGCGCACTAGTGGTACCGACTGCTAATAGTGCTGGCGAAGATACAGGGGTTGAGACTACTGACGATGACAACACACCCTTTCGGTGGAGGTGGGATGGTGATGGGGGGCGCAAGTTGTTACTATTATTATTGCTACTACCACCACCGCTACCATTATTCAAATCTAAAGGACTACCCGATGCACTTGGGGGGGATGTCGAGTCAAGATGTGAGGATGAGGATGAAGAGAAGGTCCGTGCAGCAGTCCGTTTAGTCGTATTTTTGACTGTCTTTTGCAACATTGATGGCGACACACCAGAGATTCCAAGCCCAGTGGTGCTATGAACAGCTGTTGTGCCATTGATACCGGCTTTGAGGTGCTTATTGCGCGCAGCTGCGGCTGCAGCGCGCTCCTCTTTTTGGGCCGCCATTTCTGCCTCAACGCGTTCAATTTCTGCTTGCTCAGCAGCTTTGCGCTCGGCAGCATTGGCAGCATCCTCAGCCCTGTATTTAGCTTCAAGTGCCGCGTCTGCAGCAGCCTTTTCAGCGTGTCTAATTTTAGGGTCAATGAGTTTTTGTCGACATGGATGATCGGCAGGAAGTCCTAGTCGATCGTATGCCGCTGTGGTATTACGAATGACCTGTTCCCGTTGTGCTGGAGTGTAGTGCTTCCATTCCCAAACACGCAGGTCCTTGCATGTTGAGTCTTGTAATGAATAAATGTCGGTGGAAGTTGCTGTTGGCGAAGATCCGTCATCTATAGCAGCAGAAGCAGCTGAATCATTATGTGCGTATTGTTTCAAAAGATTTTCCAGCTCGGGCTGGGAAATTTTGGTTTTTTGTATTAAGGTTTCAAAGGATAAGGGACCCAAAGCAAGCAGGTGAATAAGTCTGTTGGGCGGGGAGGAGATGCTTTTCGATATTAGCGGCTTGGAGATTTCCAGACGTTTTGGTTTTGTATTGCGTAAAACAGAGGAAGTCGGTGATGCAGAAGAAGCGCGTGATGGTGACGCAGAGATGTTGAGCAGCGGAGTCCGAGCTCCGCTGTTGATTAATGTAGATGATAATGATGATGATGACGACGATGTGCTTGAAGCATTAATGGGATTAGTCAAGTTACTTGCAGATGTGGAGGTGGTATTAAATGATGATGATGATGATAATGATGACGATGCTGATGAGGCGGAAGGATTTGTGGCAGATGAGGCTCCAAAGGAAGATGATACCGGAACCGACAGCGCACCGGAAGCAGCAGCTGCTGCGTTATTGACAGCCACCATACGGGCATTGCCAGAAATTGGAATGAGGGTCGTGCGGTTGGCCTCTATTTCCTTACGAATTTGTTCAGTTTGCGACTTGATGGCCAATGTTGCGGCCGTGTCGACCCCGCGGACCATAAGCCGGTTGGTGATTTTGCCAACATTTGTATACTCGATTGGGGATGCTGAGGGGTCGTTGATTTCAGAGGTCGAGCTCGAGGTCTTGTAGAGGTTGATTGCTGTCGGCTGAGTGAGAATATCAATGTTATAAATAGATGAGTCAATATCCAGGCTCTATACGGAAAAGAAAATGTCATGATCATGATTGTTAGTTATATTTTTTTTTAAAAAAAAAAAGAGTAATGATATATCTTCATACCAATGATTCTGGATCTTTAACGTTTAACGTGACACTCTTGTTACCTTCGCGAAGCGCTTGGAAGAACTCTAGAGGGAGTTTGACGTAGAGAGCAAACGGTTGTTGAGGGCCCAATGTCGGCGGCGGCCGTGGCCCGAGAATGGCGGACTTTGGCAGGACAAGAATAGGGTCAGGAGAAGGAACAACAATTTCAGAGTGTGTAGACATGGCGCAAAAGCTAATGGCCGTGAAGACGGGAAGAAGAAAAGAATAGTAGCACGAGAAGGTTTTTAGTACTTATATGATTATCGAAATATTTTGAATAATAGTTGATGGAGGGGAAGAAAAAAAAAAAGAAAAAAGGGTAAATTGGATTTGGCAGAAAATGGCAGGCCAAAAAGAGCCCAAAAGAAGAATCAAACTTGATTAAGCACGCAGGAATTTAGAAGTTTTGGGAGGGGTCAATATATATGTGTTGTATGGAGTTATAAGGAAAAGGAGGAAGAAAGAAGAAGGTTTTTTATGAACAAGACTTTAATGGATTTTTTTTTTTTTAGAATTACTGTTATTATTATTAAAAAATTAAAATATTAAAAAATAAAAATATATTATGGGAGGGTTTTGCAGTGGGCCTGATGGGAAATGTTTAAATGTTATTATAATTATTATTATTTATTCATTTATATACTAAATGTTCAATGCAAGTACTAAATGGTTTACTTCCCGCCTTTCCAAAACCTCCACACACAGGAGAGTTTTTTTTTTTTGATGGGGCAGACACATATATTCTCAAACTTTAGTATAATTCAGTACGATACTCATTACCACCACCACTCAACACCATCCACTTTAGACCAAAACGACAAATCACCACCACTACCACCACTAATAAAAAACCCCCCGTACTATTATCATCAACCATCTCATTCAACATCAATTCCTATCCACACTCATAAAAAAAAAAAGCATTGATCTGGAGACTCATCACAGATCTTGTATATATATAACTTTTTCTCCCAGCATGGACCCCGCCGCCGCTACCGCCGCTGCTGCCGTAACAGCTGCAGAACAAGAACAGGCCACGCTGTCCGCCCAGGTCACTTCCCTCTCAACGCGCCTTATCGAGGCCATTGACCGGCAAGCTGACCTCGAGGATCAGATCCAGGTTTTGCGCAAAGAATTAGATGCTTCGCGTAGAATTAATATGGCTCATGAAGATCAGGTCCGTCAAGGACTCTTGGTACCACAGAAAGAATATATTGAACAGGTCCGTCTGCGCAACGTTGCTGATAAGGAATCTGAACGTCTCAAAGGTGAAATTGAAGAGCTCACAAGCAGTCTCTTTGATGAAGCAAATAAAATGGTCGCTTCTGCAAACCGTGAAACCTCTGTCTGGGGCCGGAAAAATCAACAGCTTCTCCAGCAACTCAAAGAACGCGACGTTCTTCTTGAAAACCTTCAAGAACAACTTTCAGCTCTCAAATCAGTCTTGGAAGACGTATCCGATGAACGCGATAGGCTCCTTAAACTCAATATCGTTAAAACAAACTTCCCTAACCAAAGTCTTGAGACTTTCCATGATGCCGTCGACGACAGTGCTACTTCTGCCACTCTCGACCCTAGTGTCTCCAATGAAGGTGTGCCTGCCGATCAACCAGGCTCCGCCATTGCTACTGCCAATTCTACGTCTACAACCGCCAATATTTTAGGGAGCTCACACATTGCATCATCTACCCCTCATGAAGTCCCTGAGGAGCTATATCATGGCTCTCTCAACAGCTTATGGCGACCTGTCGCTCGTAGTGACCTCCAAAACTTTCAAGACTTTTTTCTCATGGCACCTTCCCCTGCATCTCATACAGCCAGTGGCTCCTCAACTTATCACAACTCGGCAGATACAAGCATACTCTCTGGCAGATCTTCTCCTGCCACCTCAGATACTGCCACCCCTACCATTAGCCATTCAGAAACTTACTCATCTCTCAATATCTCCTCCATCACCTCTAGATTCCACAGTCTCACATCCAGTAACAGCGATAACTCATCTTCTGGTTTATCAAACTCGGCTTCTAACCCTAACGGCAATAGCTCATCTTCCTCAATTTCTTCTCTCAAGGATTACAGATTTTTTAAGCGTTCAATTAATGAAGATATCGAGCCTACTCTTCGTCTCGAATCTGCTCCTGGTTTGAATTGGCTTTCAAGGCGTAACATTATGGGCAGCATTTACGATGGAAGCATCAAAATCGAACCAATCGCAGTTATAAATGAAGGTTACAAACTCGTATTTAGCAGCGAGCCTTATGGACCGCCTGTGGGCCCCTCTCCTCTACCCACTGAAGCACCAGTCTCGCGAGTGGATTCTGAAGATTCTGACGACAATACTGCCTTTCATACTCCTATCCCCACAAACTCATCTCAACAATCTCTCCCACAAATGGTACAGCAACCTTATACCCCACCACAACAGCAAGAAACTAAATATGTCCCATTCTCCATCTGCGTCGGCTCTACCGGCGGCCAAAAAGTATTTGCTAGTCTGTCGTCTTCCCCTCCTAGCCAACCCCCACCAGTCGCTACTTTGGCCCCCTGCGCATTTTGCGGAGAAAAGCGGTCTTCATCTCTTCTTTATGCTAGACTTCATAACTTACGGTCTGAAAAGGACAAGGCTCCAAGTAGCTCTTCCAAAGAAGGCTCAAAGGACAGTGGCAGTGACTCAGTCTCAACTCACCTCGCACACATGTCTATGTTCTCAGCACTCTCCACGCCAAATATCTCGGCCCGTGAGCGCGAAAAATCAAGACTGGCATCGCTTGGCATTTCATACAAAGACGAAGATAAGAATTATTCAAACGGTGGACACAGTCATTCAAGTAGCACAGATACCACCAGCGATTCCAGAAGTGTTGATAATGACCCACGCGAACACTACGTCCCCTTGACTACCAGTCTTTCTGGCTCATCAACTCTTGCTAGTAACGGCATAACTCCAACATCAAGTGGGTATCCTCTATGCTACCACTGCTTGAATCGCGTGCGTTCTGTATGTGATTATGTGTCTTTCCTGCGAACACTGCGGATGGGCGTGTGGCGCACCGACGATGAAACCAGCCGGTCCAAGGCTTGGGAAGAGTGTTTGCGGCTCAAGGAGCGCATGTTTTGGGCCCGCCAGGGAGCCTCTTTTTTAAAGCTTGATTCGGGAAATGAATCAGTTCCTGTCAAGTTTACTGGGTCTGCGCGTCAGCAACACCAACATCAGCTGGATCAGGAAACAAGGAGGAAAATGCTTATAAATTTGCAAAAGGGTGGTGACTTTACTCGTAGGTCCAGTCTTTCCACTCCACCAAGTGTCAAAGATTTGAAGAACCCGGTTGAGCTCAAGGAGACAGTGCAAGAAGAGACCAAGGAAAGGGAGACAGAGACAGATAGTGCGACTCAAGAAAAGACCCTAAAGGAAGAGGGTGATGATGCGGCGGTGACAACAACCGATACTTCTAAACAGGAAGAGATTAAGGGGGAGGCGTTGGAAAATGAAGACGGTTCGGATGTTGAAGTCACTAAAGTTGCTGAAGCTGCATCAGATGGTTCCAAGGCATAACTTTTTTTTTTAGATTTTTATTTAAATGGATTAATTGAGAAAAATATATATAAAAAAAATTAACGTCAAGAGGATGATTTCTTAAATGGGAAAAAAATTACACTATGTAGGCCACATTAAGTCTCCAGTTAATGGTGCAAATAAGACCAACATCTTATGATGGCCAGAGCTTATACAATGTTAAAGAGTCGTTTTGAGATGCAAAACGCTCACCATAATATGCATATGGAAACAGGATGCAATAATATATATACATATATATATCTTTTTATGAAGGCGTTATTTTTGATTAATTGATTGATATAGAAAAGACCAATATTGTCAGGTTGGTCCATATATTGTTCCAAGTTAATTGAGAATATAGGTAATCATCAAGTGATGACTTTTAAGTTTGTAAATTTTTTAAGCAATTCTGGGTGGCTCAGAATTGTACCATCAAAAAAGGGCATTAGAGTGCAAGATAGTCTATATATCAAATGGTTTAAACTCATAGATAAGCTTTTTAACGTATATGTTAACGAATTTGACAGATGTAGTAGATAAAGTTTTTTTTCTTTTCAGGCACTGACAAAAAAGAACTTGACTTTGTGTAAAAAAACTACTTTTGATTCATTTTTGTTTTTAAAAAAAATTAATAAACTGATATTTTTGTTTTATGTTTAAATATTTAAATATACTTCATCTTAAACCTCAAAGCTTTCTCGAGCTTGAGTCTTTTTACCTTGCTGTTTTTCCTCCTCCTCATCCACAGGCTTCAAAAACAAGTATCCGCAAATGACACTAAACACAATGCTAAACATGCCCACCCGGTTCAAGTTAGCAAACGTCCCACGCATTGACACATCAATCGCTTCCCCAGTCACAATCTTGATTTGCGAATAGTATTGTGCCAAATTCACAATTTCTGGCAAGGCGCTTGCCCGCGCAGCAATAACCAAACTCTCAACAACGTGAGCTGCGGCTTCTGCACTCGGCGCAGCTGTTCCGTACCCCAACACCAACGTCACACCCATTACCCCAGGGACCACAAGCCCAATGACAATGAGCACTGTATAAATGGTTGCACCTACAATGTACAAATGTGAGAGATTATGTGGATTTAACATGTGGGCAGGAAATGAGGTCCTTGAAGATAGCATGCCGGTGCCAACCACAACATGTTTACGCACAAAAAGTGGAGTGAGAACAAACACAAATGAATTGACGAAAAACATTGATGCTGTAAAGGCAGTGTAAAGCGATACATAGACTCGGTTTGTTTTTAAGGTTGTATCTAGGCGCGCACCAGCAGCGTATACAAATTCAACAAGAGCTGTTGCAGCAGCCAAATCGTCAGCATTTTGGTTTGAAGATCCGCGCACCGCTGTTGCAAAATCATCAAGAAGTGGTTCCAAAATGGAAATTTTCCCTGAATCTTGGTTGAGCACAAATGAATGACACTCAAGAGTAGAGTAGTCGAGAGGGATTGCCATGGATGTGTTTGCAAGAAGCGAGGGATAAGCCATGTACTTAGACAAAAGGGCTTGATTTTGGGTAAGCCATGAGGTATTGTAATCGGCAGTGCAAAATCTGTTGTAGTAGAATACTAGAACCTCGCGGCGAGGCAAAATGTCTTGGAACTTTTCAATTGCTCCTGGGGTACGATCCAAAGCCAGGTTTTGCTCTTCTTCTTCTTCTTCTTCATCACCATCATCGCCATCATTGTCATTGTCGTCCTCATTTTGATTTTGATTATTTTTGTTTACTGCTCTCTTATCCATCAAAACCTCAAGTTCTGGAAACTGGACTTGGAATAAGTACTCTTCAGATAAAATTTTCCCGTCGCCCGCACCTGCAACCAATGCACTTAATGGTTGCTTCATACTGTAAGCATAAAGGACTACCAAAAATCCTACAAAAAAAGCAGTGCACCAAAAAAACTGGATGATGCGGGCAAATATAAAGCCATTAGACTTCTTAGGTGTGTTGATGGATTCATCTTTAATGTTCTTAGAAACTGTCATTGTATTGATAGATATATTGTAAATTTTTAAAACTGTTTTTATAATTTAAAAGAATATATATCTTGAATTTAAAAGGTTGTTCACTCTTTTTATACTTGATCAAAAATAATAAAAAAAAATCAATTTTAAGTCCATGATTTTAGCATTTTTGTGCTACTTAAGGGCATGATTTACGTCTGTGATTCCGCAAAATAATATCTATAAACCTTTTTTCTTTAACAAATTCACTCTCAAATAACATCAAAAGGATTAGAATGGGTGTTTGTAAATCTTTATGTCACCGGTTTTTTTTTTTTTTTGAACAACTGTAAACATTTGAATTTCATGCTGTCTTTTTCAAAAATTGTCAACCATTTTGTTTATATTTATGTTAATGATCCACTATAGCGCTTTAATTCAATGCATAAATGGAGAATGAAAAAGAAAAAAGTTCACTGTACTTAAAAGTATTTTAATGCTGTATGAACAAAATCATGAAATGTTTATTTTTTTAAAAAAAAGAAAATGCATTGATTTAGAAAATGCATGAAAAGAGAGGCATAAAAACCAGAAAAAAGTTGAATCTTTTATATACTCTATTTCATTTTTAATGTTTTTTTTTCACTTTCCAATAAACATTTAAAATTTTCTAAAATCAGCCACACTCAACTCACCACACTAATTTAATTCTTTGCTTTAATCACTAGTAATGACTTGTATATGTTTATAAACCAGAAAAAAACTTCAATGCTAAAAAAATTGTTTATAAAATATATCGACACCAGCAGGATTCGAACCTGCGAGGGAAATCCCAAAAGATGGCCTTGAACTTAGTGTATTCAAGTCTTTCGCCTTAACCGCTCGGCCATAGTGCCTAATGACTCATGACTCAATAAGTGTTAGAATCTTTTTAAATTTCGTAAAATTGAATTTCACAATTTCTAAAAGTTTGGTCAAATTAAAATTGCATTGGTTTAAATTTTATATTTTTTTACTACCTTTTAATAAAAATAAACAAATAATGGCAATTTGAAATTTTTTTTATAGTTTATTTCTAAGAATATACTGTAATGCAGCAGTGTTTCAATTTTTCATAATTTTTTTTTCCATTATACACAAGTTTATTTCATTTTTTATTAATACTTCAATTTTTAAAAAACCTTTTTCTACATAAACTCTCTTCTCCCTTTTAATAAGAGTCCTTGCCATTGACAACCACATCCTTAATCTTAAGAATCATTCTCGTCAGTTGAGTAGCCAGTAGCACCTGCTGTCTCTTGCCAATCAGTGGATCAATAACAAAGTTCTCCTTCATGTCGTTGTTGCCTGAACCCAAGGCATCCACACCCAGCCGCGAGTTCTTTTCAAGGACTTGTCTGGACTTGAGTTGAGAGAGAACTTCGATGGAATTCAGACCTGAGTTCTCAGCAAGAGCCATAGGCACTGTGTCGAGAGCAGCAGAAAAGGCGCGGAAAGCGTACTGGTCAATGCCAGTTCTCTTGTCAGCCTCTTCGGCAACAGCAATAGACGCAGAAATTTCGGCTGCACCACCACCGTAGACGACACGGTTGTCTCTGACAAGGTTGCGGACAACGCACAGCGAGTCGTGGACAGCACGCTTGGCCTCTTCGACAATCATCTGGTTACTACCGCGAATAAAGATGGTAACGACGCTAGGGTTTGCGCAGTCCTCAATAACAAGCATGCGGTCGCGGGTTGTGCCAAAGGTGAGTTCGCGAACTGAGCCAGCATGGCCAAGCTTTTCAGGGGCCAAGTCCTCGAATCTGGGGACAATGCGACCCTTGGTGGCGATGGCAATCTGTTCAATGTCTGGGCCACCGACCCATCTGACGGCGGGAAGCTTGTTTTGCAGAAGCAGATGGTTTGCTTCGTCATCAAAGCCCCATTGGCAAATGACGAGGTTGGCACCTGAGTTTTTAACGTAGTTGATCATCTCAATAAACTTTTCCTGTTCGTAGTTTTGAAGCTTCTTGAACTCCTCAACGTTGGTAATATCGAGTTTGTGCTTAGTCTTAGGTTTGGGGGGTTCAAAGGGAGAAGTCAAGATGGCAATTTTAACATCATTGATTTGTGTTGGCATTTGGGGGTGAGACATGTCCTTGTCGAGAACCACACCATGGACAAGCTTGGTATCTTGGAGGGAGCCGCCGCTCTTGCCGAGGACCTTAATGAGTTCAAAGTCAACGTCCTTGCGATCAAAGTCAGCTACAGAAAGAACTGCATCAACAGCAAGCTGAGCAAACTGGTCGTGAGATTTGGAGACGATTTTACTACCGAGAGATGTTTTGGCAGCTTTGAGGATAGTGGACTTATCATCACGGGAAACGGGGACTTGGTCAGCAATGGACTCAAGGTGAGAAACGACAAGCTTGGCGGCCTCGTCATAACCGTTGGCAATCTTGATGGGGTGGATGCCCTTGTCGAGGAGCTCAGAGGCCTGCTCAAGGAGCGCACCGGCCAGGACAACGACGCCGGTAGTGCCATCGCCAATCTCGTCGTCTTGAGACTTTGAAAGCTCGACAAGCAGCTTGGCAATTTGATTTTCAATTTGCATCTGACTGAGAATGGTAGCGCCATCATTAGTGATAGTGATATCGCCATCAGGAGAGATGAGAATCTTGTCGAGACCTCTTGGGCCGAGAGATGTTCGCACAATATCAGCGACTGTTCTAGCAGCCAAAATGTGATTCTGGAGAATATGTTAGTTGATGAATGGGTTTAAAGTTAGATCGAATGATCGTACCTTGATGGCTTCAATTCCATGAGCTCTAAAAAATGGTTAGTTAAGTTTTTTGTAATTTTTTTTTTGTTTCCATAAACATACCTCTTCTTTTGACCTTGACTGTAGAGTTGCACAAGTTGAGTGGTTAGTATATATGATATAATATATCAATGATAGGATTGTTATATGGCATACTCTCTGACAATGATGAAAGGTCTTCCCATTTCGTCCTGAGCCACAATGGCGTTGGACAGATCGGGCATGGGCATCTGCTGTGGCTGGGCCATGATGAAGTCTGTGTGTGATGATTTGGGAGGTAGTGGTGATGATGACGGTGGTGGCGGATTTGTTTTTCTAGGACGAGATCAAAAGGAGGCAAAAAAAAAATTAATTTTTGGTGGTTTTGGAAAGGTTTGGGATTTTAAAAACAGGGTAACTATGATAGCTTAGTCATATTTGAAAAATTTGTGACGTTTTTACAGTAAAAAAAAATTATTTTATAGAGTTTTTTGTTTTTGATTTCAATCAAATAGATTGACAAGCTCTTGTTCAATTCAAATCACCAACTGATACTCAAACTTTTATAAAAAAATAAAAAAAAAAATGGCAGCTGTTGGAAGTTTGATTTTCTGCGTTACCTGCGGCAACTTGCTGGACACAGCCGTTGGAAAAACTTCGCTCGATTGCAGTCAGTGCCACGCTTCTTACGACGCGAAACCGTTTGCCAATCTGTCTGTCGTTACCACATCAGCCGAAGACGCGTTCCCATCGACATTGAAGCTCCAGCGGTCTGTTGTCAAGACTCATCTGAGTAAGGAGCATTTGGAGGATGGTGCTATTGTGAGTATATTTGTTTATTACCATAGTTTATAACTATTTACTAACTCGAGCTCAGATCAAAGAGAAATGTCCGCAGTGCGGCAACGAAGAGATGCAATACCATACTCTGCAACTGCGCAGTGCCGACGAAGGTGTGAGTATTTTTTATTTTTTATTTTTTATTTTTTATTTTTTTTTTTTTTTTTGAAATTAATCTGATTGAGATTTACCTAACATTGTATATATATAGGCCACTGTTTTCTATACATGCACAAAGTGCAAGTATCGGTTCAGAACAAACAACTAAAGAGTTTGTATTCTGTTCTTTCTTTTTTGTTTCTTACGACTTGATGACGATGATTATTACATGCTTTTGCTTCTCCTTTTTTTTATTATAGAATTATTGGGAAATATACATTTATTATATAAATATAAATGAAAATGATAGACTTTATTGATCCTAATTGAAATAAAATCATTTCTTACCAATGAGCGGCTATTTTTTTTGTTCCTCAATAGTTCCAAAAAAAAGAAGAGCTTGAACAATAAAATGGGCACTTTTTTTTTGTAGTAACTTTTTTGGAGATTTTGCCGCCAGTCATTTGAAAGCCTTTAATGGAAAGTCTATAACAATTGACAGCATCCTAAATAGAAAGAAAGAAAAAAAAATAAAATAAAAAAGTGCAATGACTCAAAAGAAGTTGGAAACATCCGCCAGTCCAGACAGACAGAAAGAAAAAAAAAATTCACATAAATAGCAGCCATTTTTCCTGTCTTTTAGAAAAACTAAAAAAAAAAAAAAAATTTATATTCAACTTTCCATCTTGATAAAGATATTCTTCTTCCTAATAACTAATTTTTTCTCATCATCTTTTCAATCTAGCTTAATATAGTTTATTTCTTTATTTTTATTTTTTAAACTAACCTGTTATTAACTTTTGTAGTATCTAGCTTATTTTTATTTTTTTTTCACGTCATCTTGATCTTTTTAATCGTTTGCTAATTAGCTTATAAAACTACACTTTATTATAATTATGATTGACCAGGAAAAGGGGGTTTTCCAAAACAAAAAATATAGTGTGGACGATGAATTTGATGGCCCCGCTGTGGGGGATAACGGTGCCGTCAACCAGGATCGTGATGTTTGGGGGGAACAAGGTGAAAAACAAGATATCGACACCAAAGTGATAATGACTGATGGGGGGTCGGCCGAACTGGTGTATGAAGAAGAAAAGTTTAGCAATGTAGACGATGAAGATGACTATGATGATGAAGAGAAAAATAAAAAAAATCCGCAAGCTTTTGCTCACAATATTACTACAAGCAGCAGCAGCAGCAATACCTGCTCACAATCACTCGAAATTCTCCCAGGTGACTCTCGACGGACTCGCTTTGCAAAACGCTTTGCAAAGTTTAACCGCAAACTCGACTCGTTCGGTGTCGAATCCCGTGGTATTGGCCGTGTAATGCCCGAAGAGCGTGAGAATGGTGCTTCTGCTCCACGTAACATTCTCAAGCTTATTTTCTTGTGGATGGGTGCAGCATGTGGTCTTTCCTCAATGTCTGGTTTTTTCCTTGGACCTTTGGTCTTTGAACTTGGATTTAAGGACACCATGACTGCGGGCATTTTTGGCGCGCTTGTGGGCTGCTTTGTGGCTGCTTATGCTTCGACTTTTGGTCCACGATCTGGACTCCGTCAAATGGTTATTTCCCGCTTTATGTTTGGCTGGTGGCCTGCAAAGGGCATTGCCTTTTTGAATGTCATCACTCTTCTGGGCTGGTCTGTAGTCAATTCTGTGACTGGCGGCCAGATTCTTGCTGCTATTTCAAACTCAAAGATCCCGCTCGAGGTTGGTATTGTTATCATTACGGTGGTTTCTCTACTCGTTACAGTGTTTGGCATCCGCTATGTACAAATGTTTGAGGCTTATGCCTCTGTCCCTGTGGCGTGCTCCTTCCTACTTCTCTACATTTGCGCAGGTCCTCACTTTGATGTCTCATTGCCAACCGCAGCCACATTGACTCCGGCCACAGCTCGTGGCAACTGGCTCAGTTTCTTTAGTGTTTCTTTTGGTGTAACTGCTGCTTGGGCTGGTGTCACTTCCGACTACTTTATTGATTTCCCAGAATCAACACCTAGATGGTCAACTTTTGCGCTCACCTTCTTTTGCATTCTCACGCCCACCATGTTTGTTGGAATCTTGGGTATGTGCATTGCCTCTGGAGCTATGACTATCCCTGAGTGGAGTGACGGCTATGCACAGTATGGTAATGGTGGCCTTTTGAACGCTGCCTTTTCTCGCTGGCATGGTGGTGGCAAGTTTTTGCTGGTTGTTATGTTTATTTCCCTGGTGTCAAATAACATCATCAACACTTACTCTACTGCCCTCTCGACTCAAGTCTGGGGTGACTGGATCTACAGAAAAATCCCCACTTGGAGTTTGGTTGTGGTTTCTGTTATTGTCTACTTTGTTTGTGCCATTGCTGGCAGAAACACCTTGGCTCCAATTCTCAACAACTTTTTGCCCATGATTGGATACTGGGCCATTCTTTATGTTGTCATCATGCTCGAGGAAAGTATTTTATTTCACCGAAAATCTCAACTGTCGTCTTCTAGTCAAGAGGCTTCTTCTATTGACAATGGATCTTTAGAAAAAGCTGAATCATCTAGTAAAAAGGACACTTATAACTGGGCTAACTGGAACGACCGCACCAAGCTACCTGTGGGTGCCGCTGCCTTGCTTTCTTTCCTTATTGGCATTGCCGGCGCCGTTTTGGGCATGTGCCAGGTCTACTATGTGGGTCCCGTTGCTCGTCTTGTTGGCGACTGGGGTGCCGATTTGGGTATGTGGTTGGGCGCTGGGTTTGCTGGTGTCACGTTCCCCGTACTACGGTACCTAGAGCTGGAATTTGCGCCCTGGTCAGATAAGCGCGTTTCTAAGTGAAATTAAAAACCGTTTATGGAGAGAAAAAAAAAACTTTATGGGGGATAAAGATGGTTTTAGATTAACGGGAAATACAATAAAGTTCCTTTTATTTAGATTTTTAGATTTTTTTTAATTTTTTTGATTAATATTTTTGTTTATATATTTTAATTTTTTTTTATACAATTGCAATTGTTAGATAAAACCTGAAAAAAAAACCTATGGGGTATTAGTTGAAGTTAAATACCAACAGTCAGTGACGGATCAAAGTAGGCCTTTGTTATTTAATGGCCATCAATGATAAAAATCCAACAATCTAAACAAAAAAAAGAAGAAATTTTACAATTCAACTTTTTTTTTTCTTTTTCATTTCTAAAAACCTTGATTTTTTTTTTCCTTTCTTTTCCATCAAATGTCCATGTGTATTTATTTTTATTTTTTTTTTTCACGTCCTCTCTTTTTTTTTTCCTCCCCTTTTACGCTCTCAGGTACTGCTGCATGGAACTTGCAGAAAAGCCTTCTTGAGCAAGAATTTCCATGTAGTTTTGGATAGTGCTGATGGCCACAAGAATGGCTGTGCCATTACCAAACGAGCCCAAAAGATCAGAAGACACAACAAGCAAGCCAATGACAGCACCACCGACAGAGGCAGCCACAGGAATGATACGCTTGAGCTCCTTGAGCACGGTGACTTCACGGTGGCCGAGAATGGAAATTCCCTGAGCCTTAAACTGTTTAGCAACGTCGCGTGGAGATGAGCCAGAAATTTCAGCCCAAGTTTTAGCAAAAATGGAGCAGGCAGAAACAACAAAAACAAAGTAAATGACACTCTTAATGGGGTCCCAAAGAGCCTCAGAAATGGTGAAGGGTGGCTGAAGGTAGTAAGCAAGACCAGAAACGGCAACGAGCTGGTTTGTACCCTCACGGGCCTCCCAAGTACCAAAAAGACGAACAAGAAGATTTGTGGGGAACTGGTGGAAGAAAGACTGGGAGGTCAAGAAAATGTTTGCAGTAAATGATGAGAGCAAATAGACGGGCATGGCACCAGTGTAAAAAAGACGGATAGGGTAAGAGGTAGCAGAACCACGGACCTTGGTCGACTTGACTGGGATTTCGACACGGAAGGTGAGGAAATAGAGGGTAGCAAGGAAGGTGAGAAGGGTTGCATAGAATTGCATAAGGTTAGGAAGGTGAGGTCTAAAGAAAGCTTCCATGAGGGCACCACTAAAGCTCTTGCGGACCCAAATATAGTGGAAAAGAGCGACAACACATCCCGTGTACTCATTACCACGGCCATAGTCGCTTGAGTGGAAAGAGAAGCAGTTCCAAATGATTTGTTGAGAGACATGAAGGGTAGTGAAGAAAGAAATACCAGGACCAAAACCGTAGCCCTTTTCAAGGACTTCGTCAAGAAGAATGAGAATGATACCAGCGCCGATAAGCTGGAGAATCAAGAGAGCAATAACACCAGGGCCGAGATCAGAGGGAGAGCCGTAAAGACCAGAGAACACAACAGCAACAGCCTGGGCAGTAGTCAAAATGATTGCAAGGACTAGAAAAAAAAATTGGATTTAATGTTAGAAATAGAGTTTTTTTATTTTTTTGTAGCGGATAATAATAAAAGAAAGTAGCGAGAGAGTTTGAGGGAAAGTTAAAAAAAAAAAAATACATACGCTTTTGAGCACTCTGGAAAAGTTCACGATCGGATTTCAAGTCAAAGTTAACATCAAGGATCTGGGCACCACCAAAAATTTGGAGGATAAGGCCAGCAGTGACAATGGGGGTAGTACCAAGTTCGAGAAGGGTACCACGGTTAGAAGCAAGGATGGTGCGCATCCAGTACCTTAAAAAGTTGTTAGAATTTTAAACAAAAGATAGGATAGATTTAGATGGGGAAAAAAAAAAAACTTACAAAGGATCTGAAGAATCGGAAGAGAATATACCGTAAAGACTGCAAGAAAAAAGATATATATTGTTAGTTGTGATGTTTTGATTTTGAAAGATTGCAAGAAGGAGCAACAACATACGGAAGCTCGCTCATGACAAAGTAGCAGAGACCAGCGCCAAAGGACCAAAGTATTTTGTCATCGTAAGTGACCTAGATGGTATGGTGTTAGTTGATTAAAAAAAAAATTTTTTTTTTTTCAAGGAATTGTGGTGATCATGATGGGAGGGGAGAAAGCATACTTTTCTAAGAGGAGTCTCAACTTCTGGAAGAATGGGCAAAAAGGGCTTGACGAGATCAAGCAATCGCACTGAAAAAAAAAAAAATTTAAAATTTAAAATTTAAAATAAAGAGTTAGTTGATTGATTTAATGGAATTAGGAATATTAATTTTTGAATAACATACGTTGACCACTCATTATTGAAAAGACCAAAGGGTATATATATATTTGTAAAAGAGACCAAATAAAAATGGATGGATGGGGGGGACGGAGAATGAAAAGTTTCTTCTAGTGAACAAGTGAAGAACTAGGTGAGAAGAAAGAAAAAGAAAAAAAAAAAAAAAAAAAAAAAAAAAAAAAAAAAAGGATTGAAACTTAGAAAGTGATTATTCCCCCAAAAATGATGATGATGATGATGATGATCAAAGAACTTGTCAAGTAAATAAACAAAAACCACGGGACGGGATAAAATAAAGGGAAGGTGAAAAATGACAAATTTGGGAGGTGGTGTTGGTGGTGGTGGTGAAATTGTTTATTTGTTTGTTTGTTTATTGAGTAGCAGTAGTTGTAGCAGTCGCAGTTATTGCTACTAAGCAGCAGCGGCAACTGGAATTAATATTTTAGGTGGTGGTGGTCAACTACAAACAAGCCAGCCAGCCAGCCAGCCAGCCAGCCAGCAGCTGCCGAAGCGCTTAACTGAGCAAACGATTTTTTTATTTTTTTTGTACTGCGTGGCATTTTATATTTTTTTTTTATTTAATACTAAGAGCAGCTACAACTACAACAATAATAACAACAACAACAGCAGCTTTCATTTACATGCATTTTATATAGTTTTGTAATTATTTATTATATATTTATTAGTAGTTAAATATATATATGGAATCACCAAATATTGGGTTTGTATATAACTTGCAACTTATTCTACAAAAAAGACCCGTTTAACGGGGGGGAGGATAACTGTGATCCGTTATTGTCGCGGCTATATTTTATAAATGGTTAAATGGAATCAATATTATTATGCAAGATATATAGATCATGATTTGAACATTAAGGATAAAAGATTATTAAAATAAACTAGTTTTTTTTTTAAAAAATTAAAAATTAAAAATTAAAAATTGAAAATTGAAGATTTTTTAGATTAAGTTTTTGTATTAAAAGTTCTATAAAGTTTACAAATATATTTCAAGGTTTTTGTTTATATAAAAGTTCAACCTTAGGGAAAGAAAGCAAAAAAAAAAAAAAAAAAAAAAACTACTAAAATTAAGTTAGTTTTAAAATTTCTTTAAAAAAATTAAAAAAAATTTTCACAAAAATAAAGCAATTGATTTTCTTTTTTTATAGTCAGATAGGAGCGAAAGACTAAATTCGATTTAAGTATCATCAGTGGCATTTTTTGAGCCTCAGATGAACTATGCATTTGGAATCATCATGATTTTTAAAAAGAAAATCAAATTGAATTTTGAGATTTTGAGATTTTGAAATTGTAAAAGAGAAAAATAACTTACCAATTAGATACTACTATAAATAGTATGACAGTAAAAAAAAAAAATTATCTATGTGAAAATATATAAAATAGAAAAGAAGAAAAAGTCAAGTTTTTTTGGGGGATAATTATTATTATTTTTGTTTTTTATTTTTCAAACTTTGAAATTTTTCAACTACCCCAATAGATTGTTACCCTACTCAATAACCCTAAACGTAACTCCGGTCTTAAGTCCAACCAATGATATTTCTGCCGAAATAATTCCCCTGCACTACCACCAATTTTTATTTTTTTTTTTTTTTTTTTTTTGAAAAGGAGGAGGAGGTTGTGAACAAAAATGTTCGATCATTTTCCATTGCCTATCCCCACCACCACACACTTAAATTTCTTTCTGAATTAGGTGGTGACCTTAAGCTTAACCTACTAAATTTATATGTCATGGTGATGACCCCTCCCCTCCTTTCTCTCCGTAGTTAACATCAAAAAAAAAAAAAAAAAAAAAACATTAAAAATATCACTTCCACAAAAGCCATCTGGAACCTTCTACCAGTGGTTTCTTATGGTACCTAAACTACTTTTAGATGTTAAATCAACCAACTCCGAGCTGCGGAGAGGCAAAAAATGCACAAGTAAAATCCTTTACATCACAGCTACACAATTTGCTACTCCACTAAAATACGTTATATAATCACCAACTTGGCCGCGCTTTTTTTTTTTTTTTTTTTCCTTCTCTCTCTTTTCTTTCTTTTCTCTCTCTTTTTTTTTCCTTTCTTTTCTCCACATATAACCCCGCCAATCTTAAAAAATAACCACTTTCTTTTAGATCTGTCGCAATGGTAAGTTCTATTCATTGTTTATTGATTAATTAATTAATTAATTCAACACTTTAAATTTATACAATCCCCCCAAAAAAATTAAATAAAATTCTAACATTTTGCGTCTTTTTTTTTCCCCTCCAGTCTCTTCTTAAGTCTGCCAAGTCTCTCGTCCCCCTCTTTGATCGCGTTCTTGTTCAGCGCGTCAAGGCTGCTTCTAAGACTGCCTCTGGTCTTTACATTCCTGAGCAGAATGTTCAGAAGCTGAACCAGGCCCGTGTTATTGCTGTCGGTGCTGGCATCAACGACACCAACGGCAACAAGATTCCTCTTTCTGTCCAGGCTGGTGACCTTGTTCTCCTTCCTGACTTTGGTGGCACCAACATCAAGATTGGTGAGGACGAGTTTATTCTCTACAGAGACCAGGAGATTCTTGCTAAGATTACTGAGTAAATTATTTTCTCATTCTTTTCGGTTTCACTTATGATTAGAATAAGAAAATATACCTCCCCCCCCCTTCAAAAAAAAAAAAAAAAAAAAAACAAAATACCTTTTTGAGATGGTCTTTCCTTTTATATATGAAATGAAGAGCTTTGTTTCTTTTTTTTTTTCTGTATAATTTTAAGACCATTCTCTTTTACGTGCTTATGATTTGATCTTTTTATGTATTTATCTCTCCATTTTTTGTATATAATTGAACCTTTTTTCTTTAGATTTTTTTTCTTGGACTTTGAAAATTTCTCAATATTAAAAATACGTAAATTTGATTGATTGATTGATTGATTTAAGGATTCAGTAGTTTTTTTAGTTTAATATTGTCAATCAAACAAAAGCCTTTCATTCTATATATATATATATTTTGTTTGTATTTATTTGACAAATTTCTATGGTGGCTGTGACTTATAAGACTTATAATTATAAGTCCCAAAATAACACCAACAATCGTGACATATTTGTTACAAAATATAATCATGTGATTTAAAATATATAAAATTCTATTTTGGGAATGATTTGCGGCTTTTCACTACAATTTCTTAATTAGGTCAATAAGCGGTTAACTTTGGCCCAAAAGTCTTTTTTATTTTTATTTTTATTTTGTTTTTTTTTTTTTTTCTCCCTCTCCATGTGCGTGCGCCCCATGGGCAAGCAAACACCTGAAAGGCTCAACGGCCTACATAAAAAAAAAAAAAAAAAACTCAACAAGAACAACAACAATCATAATGAAGAAGAAGAAAACAGATAATAAAATTAATAAAATTAATAAAATTAATAATAAATATTGTCTATGAAATTTAATTTAATTTTTTTTTTTTTTCAATTCTATTTCAATTCTCTTTTACTTTTTTTTTTTTTTAACATATAAATATCTATAAAATTTCCTCTATTTTTTTGTTTCTTCTTCTTTTTTTTTTTTTTTTTTTTTTTTTTTTTTTTTTTTTTTTTTCCAATTAATATATATATATATATATATATATATATACCAACTGATAAGCTCATTAACCTAACAAAAAAAAAATAAATAAATAAAATGCCGTCAATTCTTATCATCAACCCAAACTCTTCAGTCTCCATCACAGAAACTCTTAAAGGTTTACTTGAACCTCCACCAGACTTTCGTTATACATTTTTCACCGGTCCTTCTGCTACTAGATGTAACACTTCTCCTATTTTGTCATCCCAAGAGTCAGTAGAAACTCCTGCTACTATTATTACTAGCACTACTACACTCTCGGATGACGATGATGTTCGCTCTCAAGACTCTGATGCTACAGCTGCTAACTCGGACACTTGTTCCAACAAATCTTGTATTTCTTTAGATTCATGGAAATCCACTTCTATTACAGACTCTTCTTCTACCCAACAGTTTACCCTTTTAGCTCCTTCTCAAATCGATAGTTGGTCAACCTCAGTCATTTCAGCAGCTGCTTGCATGCCCCATGTTATCCCTCTGATAGCAGAACACGACGCCTTTCTTGTAGCATGTTTTTCTGATCATCCACTTGTAGGAATGCTGCGTGAAGCTGTTCCTGCTCATAAGCCAGTGATGGGTATTTTCCAAGCTTCTGTTCTTTCATCGCTTGCAATGGGTACCCGATTTGCCATTGTCACAACTGCCACTATTTGGGAAAGACTTTTAGATGAGGCCGTTGCTAGTATGATTGGATCATCTGCAGCAATTCATTATGCAGGAACTTATTCAACAGGTTTAGGTGTTTTGGAAATTCACGAGTTACCAATGCAAACAGTTAAGAAGAAGTTGGTTGCATGTGCAGTCAAGGCAGTTCGGGAGCGCGGAGCAACAGCAATTGTATTGGGCTGTGCTGGATTGAGCGGATTAGATAGTGCAATTCGTGAAGCAGTAGGCCCTAAGGTGGCTATTATAGATAGTGTGGTTGCTGGAACAGAAATGCTTGCAGGGATTGTTCGGAGCAAGGCGTCATTTTTTGGAGAAGATATTTGAAAAAAAAAAAAAAAAAAAAAAAAAAAAAAAGGAGGGGGGAGGGGGAGGAAGGAAAGGGTGAGCTAAAGAATCCATAAGTGATACTTGATGATGATGATGATGATGAAAATTTTTTATGCGTGATGTCTTTTTTTATTTTATTTTTATTTTATTTTATTTAGTTATCTATAGATTTATATTTTATATCGAGTAATCAATCAATCAGTCAAAGCGTATCGAGTAATCAAAAATACAAATGTTGGTAAGTAGTTGTCGTTGTTGTTGTTGTTGTTGTTGTATTATTGAGAGATGTGACCAAATACGGGTATCGAAGGGCTTTTTTTTTGCTGCATTAGGTTATGCGCGTGAACGTTACCCATTTAACAAGTGATAGCAATCCAGTACTAGTAAAGAAACTTAAAGGCCATTTTTTTTATTTTTTTATTTTTTTATTTTTTTATTTTTTTATTTTTTTATTTTTTTATTTTTTTATTTTTTTATTTTTTTATTTTTTTATTTTTTTATTTTTTTCTACAAGGAATTCAATGGCTATGATTTCTATATAGATTTGTTTTTAATTTTTTTTTATTTAAAGAAATTTTTTTATTGAAAGTTTTTTAAAAGTTTTTTTGAAAAAAACTTTTTTTTTTTTAGTTAAAAGATTTGAAAAATTAATGGATTTTTTTTTTTTTTTTTTTGACAAAAGTTTACATTGCATGTGGAGGTGAAAAGAAGAAGAAGAAGAAGAAGAAGAAGAAGAAGGGAGTTGATGTGCGGCACAAACTACCTAATTAGGAAATATCAATTTTTTATTTTTATTTTACATACATTTTCTCTCACTCTCTCTCTCTCTCACACACACAAAAAACAAAAATAAATAACCCACAACCTCCCTTTTTAAATCACCAGGCCAGTTACGACTTTGGTTTTGATCGAGTAAGCAAAAATAAAAAAATAAAAACCTCCCATCCTAAAACCACCACCAAACATGAAAAATGCTTACTCGATCAAAAATAACAAAAAAAAAAAAAAAAAAGAAAAAAAACTCCCCGAATTTTTTTTTTTATTTTTTTTGAGAGAATTTTTTTTTTTTTTTTATCAATGAAATTAACCAATAGTATATATAAAAAATTGAAACTTATATATATAGATATTATATATAAAGAAATTGAAAAAAAAAAAAAATATAAAAGCAATTTCCTTTTAAATATAAAAAAAAAAAAGTCCCCGAAAAGCCCCGATATATATTTTTATTATTTTATATATTTATATATATTGACCTTTTGATTTGTATATATATATATATATATATAAAATAAATTAAAATAAAATAAAAAAAAAAACAGCAAACAAGGCCATGTCTACATTGACTTTATTTTTATTTTTATTTTTATTTCTAATTATTTTTTTTTTTGGAAAAGGGTTCCCATTGACTTTATTTTATTTTAAAAAATAAAAATGTAGAACATTGATAGAAATGGTAAATATATATAAATATAAATATATACCATTGAAAAAAAAAAGTGCTCATTATCTAGTCTCAGTTAACTTTACAGCCTTGCTTCTTATTCTTTTTTCTGGTGCTCACTTTATTTTCATCTCTCCATTTTTCTCTCTCTCTCTCTCTCTCTCTCTCTCTCTCTCTATTTATCATCATCATTATCATTATCATTACTTAAATATTTAAATATTTAAAAATTATACAAAAAAAAAAACGAGCCACATTTAAAACAATAAATACAGCCTTGTCAATTGAAAAAGAATTACCGGTTAAACATGCAAAGAAAGCTCAAAGAAACAAAAAAAAAAAAAAAAAAACTACTGACTGAACAATAAAAAAAAGAGTAAAAAATATAGTATTCCTTTTCCTTTTCCTTACTACTCACCCCCTATATATATATGGAATTTATATAGTGATTTGGTTGATTTTCATTCTCACCAATCTTTTGTTCCAAACATAAAAAAACACTTTTCAAAAAAAAATTTCAGTAATAGAATAGAAAATTTTAAACCTATTATATAGTAAACTATATATATATATATATATATACGACAAATTAATTTGATTAGACATTGTTTTTTTTTTATTATTACTCCTAAATCTTTAATATCACTTATAGATAACTCTCCGTAAGTACTCCACAATTACACCTTCTAACCCCATCAAATCTCCGACTACATACCGGCCCTCGGCTAATTCTTCTTTTACCTTATCATGATTACCATTACCACCACCACCACCACCTTGTGCTTTCTGTTCCGCATCACTTACATGGAAAAGTGACTGCCCAAGTACACGCCGTGCATGGGAATCTTCTTCAACTCTTTGATCTTTACCACCCTTCTTCTTCTTCTTCTTCTCCTCCTTCTCCTCCACTTTTGTGCGCCGATCAACAAACACACCAGACCATCCAGGAACCCGAGCAGCTCCACGCTGGTCTTTCTCTAATTCATCTCCAATATGCATAAACACAATCTCAGAAATACTTTTATTCTCCTTCCTCTTATCACCAGCCTCTGCTTCTGCTGCTTCTGCTGCTTCTGCTGCTTCTGCTGTTTCTGCTTCTTCTGCTGCTATTAGTTTTGTTGCTACTGATGAATGCACTGCAGAAGCCACATATTTAAACGCAGCAGGATCCGGTTTATCAACACCCATATCATACGACAAGTAAATTTGGTGATTATCAGGGAAATATTCCAGTAACCCTAAACTTTCAAGAATTGTAAAAACTCTTGGATCTGAATTAGACAACACACCAAAACTCAATGATACTTTTATATTCCCTTCATTCCCATTGCCCTCAGAGCCTACCAAAAGTTGTTTTTGTAAAAGTTCAGGAGTATTGCTTAATTTCTGTAACCGTTGTAATGTTGGAACTACATCTGGATAAACCCCATAAGCTTCCTTCCCATTAAACCGTTCTATAAGCCCTTGTACCTCCTCCAAGCTCAGTTGTGCAGGATGAATAGCCATTTGTATTAGAGCTGCCCACCACTGACTTAAGCTTTCTCTAACCCGTTTCTGGTCTTTTTCATTTGCACAAATATATGCCCCAGTCAATGGCGGTTTAAGTAGCTGTTTATTGTAGTTTGGATGCCGAGTTGCCATGTGTTTAAATGCACCACGCAGTTGTGTCCCAATGGTAGCTGCAGAGGGTAGGTTTTGTGGAGGATTTGGCAAGTTTTGGAGGTATGTAAAGTATTGGTCATTGACTGCTGGGTGTGGAGTGTATAGTGTACCAAAACAATCAAAAGTCAGAAATAAATGAACATGGCGAATAGGCTTTGCTGTTGCTGTTGCTGTTGTTGTTTTTTGTGAACAGATCACACTTGTGTGGAAATGAGACCGTAATGGTGATTGAGATCGCAAAGTCGTTGGAATTCTTTTTAAACCACCATGAGACATTTTATTTATTTATTTATTTTTTTTCAATTTGTTTGTATTGATTTTTTTTTTTTTTATTGAAAAAATAATGATTTTTTGTTTGCTTTAAATGTATACTCTTTGTGCAGTTTTTTAATGGGACTAATTGTTCATTTAATATTTATATATATGGTATCTATTTAGCTCACATATGTTTATTGATTTTTTTTTTTTTTTTGGTAGTAAAAAAGTAAAGTGATAAACTTCAAATAAAGAAATTAAAACTCAAAAAAAAAAAAAAAAAAAAAAAAAATATTATGATGAACAATTGAGAATTAAAAATAAAAAAAAAAAATTACATTCTTTCAACTATTTAAAGAATCCAAGGAAACTTACAAAACACACTTTTTTTTTTTGAAATTTCTTTAACTCTACTAATACTAACCCTAACCCTAACCCTCTCATAATTTTTTTTTTAGAAATTAATCGCTTTTCGATATCCCCTTTCCCTTTTCAAAAAAAAAAAAATCTTAGAATATTTTATTATTATTATTATTATTATTATTATTATTATTATTATTATTATTATTATTAAGGGTTTGGATATATACTTATTGGGTTCGGTTGAGTTGGGGGTACTTGGACTTACCTTCGGTTCACAAAAGTCTTAATACCGACCAAAAAAAAAAAGAACCCTCCCCTCCCCCCACTCTTTGTACTGTTTCTTATACTTACTTTAACGTGATGTAAGGTCATACAAAATTTAAATTTCAATTTCAATTTCAATTTCAATTCATATTAAAATCACCATATATATTTTAAAGTTTAAATATTTAAATATTTAAATATTCCAATTTTCAAATATTTAAATCACCATTACATCCCCCTTTAGTCTTGGCCTTTCCCCAGGTTTTACTGGTTTGCATAAAAGATCCTCCCCCCCCACACACACACACAAAAATATTCTCCACATTTGTAGCATCATCTGGTCGAAACTTTTCCTTTTAAAATGAACTTTATTTATTTAATTTTTTATTTTTTAATTACACAAACTTCAGTCATAAAATCATAAGAGTTATATCAAAAAGGGGATCAAACAACCACACCACTACCACCTTAAGCAGCCAAATCAAGCTTAACACGGACAGACTTGGGCTGAGTGTACGACTCCAAGATACCCTCACGGCCAAGTTCACGGCCAATACCAGACTGGCCATAACCGCCAAACGGAACATTGTGGTGGAAATCATTGTAAGTGTTAACCCAAACAGTACCAGCATGAATCTTTGCAGAAACGTGAAGAGCCTTGTTAATGTTGGTGGTGTGAATACCAGCAGCAAGACCATACTCGGTATTGTTGGCAAGCTTGATAACCTCGTCAGTAGTAGAAAACTTGGTAATGGTGACGACGGGACCGAAAATCTCCTCCTTGACAATCTTCATGTCTTCAGTGACATCGGCAAAAATGGTGGGGTGGATAAAGTAACCCTTGCGGTCAAGACGCTTACCACCAGTAATAACACGAGCACCCTCATTCTTACCGTGCTCAATGTAGCTCAGAATACGGTCAAGCTGGATCTTAGAGGTCTGGGGACCCTGGAAGGTATTATCATCAAATGGGTCACCAACAACATTCTTCTCAGCACGAGCCTTGAGCTTCTCAAGGAAGGTATCGTAGATGGAGTCCTGGACATAGATACGAGAACCAGCGCAGCAGACTTCACCCGAGTTGAAGTAAATGCCCATGTTGGCAAACTCAACAGCCTTGTCGAGATCGGCATCAGCAAAAACAATATTGGGAGACTTACCACCAAGCTCAAGAGTAACCTTCTTGAGGTTAGAAGCAGCAGCAGCCTTCATAACGTGGCGACCAGTGGCGGTAGAACCGGTAAAGGCAATCTTCTTAATTCTCATGTGAGAAGTAATGTACTGACCAGTCTGACCGTAACCAGAGACAATGTTCAAAACACCGGCAGGAATACCAGCTTCCTTAACAAGAGTAGAAGCGTAGAGAGCGGAGAGGGGAGTGGATTCAGCACTCTTGAGAACAACAGTGTTACCGGCAGCAAGAGCAGGGCCAACCTTCCAGGCCCACATGAGAAGAGGGAAATTCCAAGGAATGACTTGACCACAGACACCAATGGGTTCACGGCGGACATATGAAAAGTAATTGTCATCACCAGCGGGCAAGACGTCACCATAGAGCTTGTCGGCCCAGCCAGCATAACTGCGGATACAGTCAGCAGAAAGTTGGACGTCAATGCGAGCCAGAGACATGGGCTTACCATTGTTAAGGGACTCAATGGATGCAAGGGTCTCAGCATGTTCCTCAATGAGGTCAGAAAGCTTAGTCAAGAGACGGCCACGGCGAGAAGAGTCACCAAAACCCCAATCTTCAAAGGCAGCTTCAGCAGCATCGACAGCGGCGTCAACGTCAGCCTCATTGGCCTCGTAAACCTCACAGATTTGTTCTTCAGTAGAGGGGTTAAAAACAGGGAAGGTCTTGCCATCTGAGGACTTGACAAATTCATTGTTGATGAAGAGACCAGTGGGGATATCGGCAGAAATGCCATTGGGGAATTTGATGTTAATTGATTGAGCCATTGTTATATAATTGATTTAGATTGTGTTGTTATAGGGTAAAGGGGGGTCGTTAAATAAAAATTAAAAAAAAAAAAGTTAAAAGTCGTTAAAGAAAAAAGAAAAAGATACAGATAAAAAAAAAAAAGAGAATATATATATAGAAGAAAGGATAGAGAAAGAAAGAAGAAAAAAAAGAAGTGATAAAAGGGAAAAACCCTCTGGTATTTATAGTTGTGTAGAAAAAAATACAAAGACGAAGAGAGAGAGGGGGGTTGACTATTAGGGAGGTTGACGATGGCTGATGGTGATGTGAGGCTTTGGATTAGTGTGGGGGAAGAGGGAGGGGAGTAACTAATAAAAAAAAAAAAAAAAAAAAAGGCTTGAGAGGCCCGGGGCCTGGAGGGGGAGAAAGAGAGAGAGAGAAAAAGAGGAGAGAATAGAACCAAAAAAATAATAATAATAATAATAATAATAATAATAATAATAATAATAATAATAATAATAATAATAATAATAATAATAATAATAATAAATAATAAATAATAAATAATAAATAATAAATAATAAATAATAAATAATAAATAATAAATAATGAATAGTATTAAATAGTAAATAATAGAAGATGATATTATCAATTTTAGTAGTACAATTTGAACTTTTGAATCAATCAATATATACAAATAGTAGTATTAATTTACATGAGTAGAAAGACATTATTATTATTATTATTATTATTATAGACTTTTAATGATACTCCTATATATACAAATCCCTTTCATTTTATTTTATTTTATTTTTATTATTACGGAATTTAAATATCCGAAAGAAACGGAAAACAATTTTTATAGTTTTTTCAGTGGCTAAAGTCATGTATAATATATATATAAATATACTCATCAGTTATGAAGCTACAGGGAGGTTTTTTTTTTTTTAAAAAAAAGGAGGAATTGGATGTAAAACAAACCAAAAAATAAAAGAAGAAGATGATGATGAAGACAAAAAGAAATGAAAGAAATACTACATAATAATAATAATAATAATAATAATAATAATAATAATAATAATAATAATAATAATAATAATAATAATAATAATAATAATAATAATAATAATAATAATAATAATAATAATAATAATAATAATAATAATAATAATAATAATAATAATAATAATAATAATAATAATAATAATAATAATAATAATAATAATAATAATAATAATAATAATAATAATAATAATAATAATAATAATTCATATAAACAAACAAAAGAAAAAAACAAAAAGTCCCAACAATTACTGGTGTAATAGCTGATGGAACAGGTGCCGGAGTGAAATTCTGGTGGTTTTAGCTTTTTATCTTGAAAGAAGAGTTCTTATGCTTGACTTTAAAAAAGTTATACCTTTACGTTCGTACCTACTGTATCTTTTGTTTTTTTTTGTTGTTGTTGTATCCATTTCTCTCTCTCTCTCTCTCGCCATTTAGAACAACAAAAAAATAAATAAATAAATAAATAACACCGGACATATCTTCCCCAGTATCCGAATCTATTACAAACATGAAAGAAAAAAAAATATTTTTTCTTATATCAATTGAAATTGAAATTGGAATTGGAATTGGAATTAGAATTGGAATTGAAATTGAAATTGATGTAATGAAAAATTGATGCTTTGTATATATATATATATATATATATATATATATATAAAATTTGCACCAATTCCCTCCAAAAAAGCCGGGTCTTTCCACATACAAGTTTATTACAATTGGAAAGAATCTTACGGACATCTTGCGTTGGAAGTCCGCCTTTATCCGGCAAATTAAAAACCGTGAAAGATTGTGTGAGAGAGAGAGAAAGAGAAAGAAAAATATATAAAAATTTATTATTATTATACAAATTATATACAAACATCAGCCGCAGTAGATCTGAAATATGAAAATTTATATTTCCATTAACTTTTTTTTTTTTTTTTTTTTTTTTTTTTTTTGAATAAAAGAAGAAGAAGATGAAGAAGAAGAAGAAGAAGAGGAGATGATAATGATAATCTAAATATGAAGTTTTTTTTTTTTTGATATCTAATCAATTTAAATTTTGAATTGAATTTAATGAAAAAAAAAACAGTTTAATGTTAAAAAATTTTTTTTTTTATTTCTTTCCTTTCATCCTCATCTTTTTTTTTCAGTCATTATTATTATTATTATTATTATTATTATTATTATAATGAGCTGTTGTTTTTTTTTTTTTTTTTTTTTTTTTTCGTTTCTTTCAACAAGAAAAAAAAAAAATAAAAAAATACAAAACTTGGTTTTGATCTGTCATCTCCACGTTTTTACAAATAATTAAAAGATTATCTAATTTATATTTATTAGTCATCAATAAGCGTTGCATTTTCTGTAAAAACTCCGCATTTTTTTAATCACCCCCATCTTTTACCCCACAGTCAAATTAGCTAATATATTAGTCAGTATTCTTAGTTGGTACAATTTTTTTTTTTTTCAAGTAATAACAGAAAAAAAAAACAACTTTAATATGTGTTACAATTTTAATAAATAAATAAATAATTAAAATATGCTTTATCCCGGATGGATGGATAAATACATATATTTACTATTTTAAGTAATCAATCAAATCTATATAAAAATTTATTATTTCTTATATATTATAATACAAACTATATATACATACATACAAGTTATTTCCCATCCATTTTTTAAACTCACAAATCAGCCTTACCACCCCCTCCATATAAAAAAAAAATAAAAGACAAGAAAAAAAAAATAAAAAACTCTTTCAAATACTCTTTCAAATACTCTCTTCACATCTCCCCACCGGAGACTTATTTCCGGATACCAACTTACTATATATGTACATATACTAACCTCTTCTAATTTAATAAAGTCATATATATATGTTATCCCACACATTTCCACCCCCTCCCCTCTAATTCTCTTAACTAAATTTTCATGCTAAAAACTCACATCAAACAATTAACAATAGTAGAAACTACAGCTATCTATCTATTTTTATATAATTATATAATTATATAATTATATAATAAAATATAATAAAATATAATAAAATATAATAAAATATATTGAAAACAAAGAACCACCATCTTTAAGATACTTGACATTCAAATAAACACCTTTCAAACTCATATGGCTTTATTCCAACCCCCCAGGGTCCTTCTTCTTCATTAGATCCTGTTTCCTTAGGGAAAAATGCTAAATTATCAAACTTCATAATCTCCTGCTCAACCTCCATTTCAATTTTTTGACAATGCTTTGAAATCTCATTCAATTCTCCCTTTTCATCTGGACAATTCCACTTATTTCCTGACAAATGAATCCCTTTATATTCACACCCATTATTCTCATCAATTACAACAATCTGCTCCCTTTCTCTTGCCATAATCACCTCATCATCATTCCCACCATCATATACTTCTTCATTCTCTTCATCCTCATCATCCTCGTCATCTTCGTATCCGTAAACAGACACTGGTAAATTAATCATTGTTGTGTTGACCACAATCAGTTCCTCGCTTTTCTTCGCATAACTACCAGGAATAACCTTATTTTGCAGTCTCTGAATTTGGTTGGTCTTTACATCTTCCTTCTCTTCTTCTTCTTTTTTTTTTTTTTTTTGGGAGGGCTCAATTGCCTCTACTAAAATAGCCTTGCTTGACCGCTTCCGTGAAATTTTCCCCTTATTACTAACTTGTGCCCGTCTTTTCCTCTCGGCTCCAGGTGCCACAATAGCTGCACCTACATCCATCATCTTTTTGTTGGTACCTGTAGCTCGTACCGTAACGGCTGTGGCAGAAACATTTTCTTGGTGGGCAAGCTGGCTTATTTGTGGTGTTGATACTGTGGCTGTCACTGGCACTGCAAAGTTTAAGTTCTCTGTAGTGTTGTTGTTGTTGTACATGTAGTTGTTGTTGCTGCTGCTGCTACTACTACTGTCAGTGCAATTTACCATTAAAGGATTGACACCACCAGCAACGTCATGAATATTAGTACCAGAAACATCAGCCCCATGCCCCAAACCGGAAACAGTGCCAAGAGAAGCCCTCACGGTATCTAAGTTTTCGGTAAAAGTTGATGTAGTTGAAGGGGCGGTAACCGTAGTCACGGTACTGACTGTAGAGGCATCAACAACACTAACAGCACTACTACTACTATTATTAAAATTGCTAGTGAGAATATTATTCTCAGGGTATCGTTGAAACGAATTATAGTAACTATTCCAGGTATTGGCTTCAACACCAGTAGCACACGCCGTGCACCCAGGAACTGGACAAGGCTGCTGCTGCTGCTGTTGCTTCGTTGAGAAAAAAATCATTTTTGACGGAACTGATGTCATTGGTATAAATGTATTTTGAGGTGTAGAATTCATCATCCAATATATGGTTGTTGGGTCAGAGTCTTTTATTTTTATCATATCATTGTTGGCATTATTATTATTACTATTACTGTTGTTGATAAAAAATTGTTCTAATAATATCTGTTTGGCCAGCCGTTCCTTTTCCAAACTGTACTCGCGTTCTTTCTGAGTGATCCACTGAAATGTCTTTTCAAACTCAATTTGTTGGATCCGATGAATCTCGTTAATACTTAACGGAACCTTTTGTTGGCTTTTACTACCATCACTACTATTTTCTTCACTGTAATTACTCAACAAGCACTCATCAAGAGAAATTGTACTTTGCCATGGACAACGCTGAGCACTGGCTGCAATCTTTTTGGCGTCGTACTTACCAAGGAAAACATTGGTACTAAGATACTGGCTTCTTGACAATGAGTTAAAGTAGATTTGACCAAGAACTGTATCATCATCTTTAAGTCGCAACGGAGGATGGAACCCATTAAGTTGGTAAAATTTGGCAATTGCGTTAATATAGAGATACCGTTCTGCGCGATCCAAATGAGCCAGCTGGGCTTTTGTAATGACAGTGTTTGACATTGATGATTATTATTAAATAAATAAGAAAAGAAATATAAATTTGAGAAAGAAATTAAAAAAAATTCTTTTTTATATAAATTGATTGATTGATGAGATTTTCAACATGGTCTATTGTGTGACCTCAAAATCTCAGGTTTGTCTGGTGGAAGCTGAAAAAGGAAAAAAATTTTTTTTTTCATGAGAATTAGAAATTATCTTAAATCTTAGAATCTGATTGATATTATTAAATTTTTAAAAAAGTTTTAAACGTCTTTTCAATTAAAAACGGAGATTAAGAGAGTATCAAATACCCTTTAACTTTTCATTTTTTGTCGTGAGAGGGCTTGTTTAAGTTGAAACGGACAAATTTTCAAGGTGTATCTCTAAAAAGAGTAAAGAGTGGCTTTATCTTGTAACAAACCTTTGAAAAGTTTTAATTTAACTAATCTACTCAATTAACTCCAGTTTATTATAGAAATCAATTTTTTTTTTTGATTATTTTAATTATTCATCTTTGAAACTTGATTAATTTCATGCTTGAGTCCCAAGTTTTTCAACAAATTTGGATCCACCCGAGAAATCGTTTATATATATAAATCACATGACATATTAATTATATATTTTATGTAATGTCACACATTTCTTATTCATACTTTCAAAATGCTGCTATTACTACTGCTGTTGTTGTTACTGCTGCTGCTATGGCCGCCTCCCTCCTCCAATATGCTGCTGCCCGCCGCACCCAAAATGGCTGCTCTCTTGCTGCATCCTTCCAAAGCCACCACCCAAACCTGTCCTTTTTTTTTTTTTTTTTTTTTTCTCACCACCACCAACATCAACAATCCCATCCTTTCATTTAAATACATCTCAACACTCCCCCTCTTCTTCTCTTCCCACCTCATCCAAAACTACCCTCAATGCTCTTCTCTCGCAAGTCCGTGCTGGCCGTTTTGGCTCTGGCTCAGGGCGCCATGTCTTTTGGCGACACCTCCCCCCAGATCTTTCTCGCATCTACCGCAGACCTAAACACCGCAGCCTTGCAACAGTCCCAGGTTTCATCCTTCACTCTTTCCTCGTCTGCCTTCGACTCGGCCGTAGCCTCCACTCTCTCCGGCTGCCCTGCCGACGCGTACATTTTTGTTAACCAACCTGCCGCCCATACTTATGACCTGGCTGACTCGGACGGCACTGCAAACCTCCGTCATTACTTCCAGCAAGCTACCTCGAAGTTTATCTTCCCTCATGTCCGTACCACTGCTGCCACAGCTGAAGATAATAGCATACCCGAAACTGGCCTGTCACCATTGGCCCAACAGGTTGCCGAAAAATGCTCCGCAAAGATTGTCCAGGTTGATACCCAGGCCTCTGGCTTCGAGGGCTTTGTTGATACCACCCCAAGAGTTGTTGTTCTCAATTTTCCCACCCTCCCCTCTATTAGAGAAAAGGATGCACGCGTCGCAGCTCTTCAGCACAATGACAACCTTCTTTCCTCAGTCATTGGTGGCCTGCCCTCTGGCAACTACGTTATTGTCTACACCTCGGCCTCAGAGTCTACCGCACCCACATTTTCCAAAAGAAGCCAGATTCTTGACGCTGATGATGAAGAAAACGTCCTTGGCGGTGTCTTCCAAAAGAACACAGAGTCTCAAGAAGACATTGATGCTGAGGAATTCAAGACTGAGTTCAAGGTCGGCGACTCTCTTTTTGAGAAATACCAGTACTTTAGCCCGGGCATTTTTGAGACTACCCTTGTTGCTCTTGCCCTTCTCTACATCTTCTTCTCTGCTTATGGCTGGATCTCTACCCTCGAAATCTCTTACAATGCCTTTGACAAGCCTCCTCAAATCCCCTCTGCTACCAAGGCTCAGTAAATAACGCCCTTGGCCAAATGATAAAACTAATCTAATTGTAATAATTCTTTTTTTTCCCATTCTTTTTTTTTTCTGTGCAACATTATAAATAAAAAAAAATCAACATTAATTTGATACTTAAATCAATCAATTGCTTAATTGCTTAATTGCATAATTGCATAATTGCATTTCTCTTTATTTTCGCATTTATATAAAATATTATTCTTCATATACGTAGCATTTACTCGTCGCCGCTCCAAGGTCGACCGGATCCTGGCTGTCCCCTTGGCCCAGGTGGCCCGGGTGGCCCAGGTGGTCCTCGTTGTCCTCTAAATCCTTGAGGCCCCGGAGGTTCTGGAGGTCCTGGAGGTCCTGGAGGTCCCTGGGGGGCCTGCCAGCCATACCCATCGTCCCCATAATCATAATCTGCTGGCAATGGGCGTAACGAATTGGCATCATATTCACGCCGCATTAGCATAGTTGAAGTATCAGCTTCAGCTTCAGCTTCATTATGCGGGGGACGAGGAGGCGGCGGATTAGATGACCTAGGTGGCCCTGGTGGCCCTGGTGGTCCTGGTGGTCCTGGTGGTCCTGGTGGTCCTTGGGGTCCTCGGGGACCTTGAGGTCCTGGTCTACCGGGCTGTCCAGGTGGTCCTTGGGGTCCTTGGGGTCCTTGGGGTCCTTGGGGTCCTGGAGGTCCTTGGGGTCCTGGAGGTCCTGGATTACCAGGCCTATCAGGTGAAGGCCCCGGTGGAGGGGGAGGAGGATATTGTGGTGGTGGTTGCCATTGTCTTTCTTCCAAATAAGCACCTTCAGATTGACTTTCTTGCCCTTGAGACCACAGTCCTTTTCGGTCATCTTGAGCTCGGTCGGTTGCCATTGGCATTCGGGTAACAACAACATTGACATTCCTCTTTTCCCATGGTCTCCCTGGTGGTCCTCCTGGTGGTCCTCCTGGCGGTCCTTGATCTTGAGGCGGTGGAGGTCCCCATTGTCGTTTAGAAATCTCCACCTCAACATCAATTGTATCAGATGCACCATCAGCTGCAGCGTCATTGTCGATTCCATGATGTGGGCGGCCTGGTGGTGGAGGTGGAGGTGGTTGACCCGGATTCCAACCAGGTGGTCCCTGTGGAGGAGGTCCCTGAGGAGGTCCGTAAGGTGGTCCTTGAGGTGGTCCCTGTGGAGGTGGTCCTTGAGGTGGCCCGTGGGGTGGTCCTTGAGGTGGCCCTTGAGGTGGTTCTTGAGGCGGTCCTTGAGGCGGTCCTTGAGGCGGTCCTTGAGGCGGTCCTTGAGGCGGTCCCTGGGGTGGTCCCTGTGGTCGGGGTCCTTGAGATGGCCCTTGAGGTGGCCCTGGTTGGCCTTGCTGGGAAGGTGGTGGTGGTGGTCCCCATTGACGTGCAACCAGTAGGCCATTATCGGACAAAATAGTATCTTTCTCTCTTGGTCCGTCTTGTGGAGGAGGTGGTCCCGGTGGAGGAGGTGGTGGTGAAGGAGGGCCTGGTGGTTGTGGTGGCTGCGGACCTGGTGGAGATGGTGGAGGTGGACCTTGCTGTCTTTTTCCAATTTTTACACCAGCACTTGTCTTTTCGTTGAAATCATCAAATCGTTTTTGAGGGGAATACTTGACACCGTCCCAACGCAAAAGACAGGCTGCAAAGATTTCCATACGGTCAACAATGGCAATATTCATGTCTTCAACAGAAAGAGGTACAGAAGTGTATTGTACTTTTGCATCATTGCATCCCACAAGTGAACCAACATGGTACATGGCACTTTCCACGGGTGTCCACCACGAGCGAGCTTCAATATGAACAGCAGGTTGATATAAAGAAGTATCAACATTGTTTATTACCGACTTTCCATCCAAAACGCATTGAGAAATAGCATTCATGTGCTCCTCAACAATCACAGCCAGTTGAATAACAGTATTAGGTGGTTTGGCAGAAAGAGAAGGCGAGTTACAGCCAAGCAGAGAATTGACATTTTGAATAGCATCATCAACAACAATCCATTCACGCTTCTGAAGTTCTGAAAAAGTAAGGTATTCTGGGGAAGAAGACAAAGAAAGTGGTGCCGCCTGTACCATAAACGCGAGCGAGTATAGGGGCACCAATAGTAATACCGCTTGTGAGAAGCTGTTTGGTATTGGAATTTTCATTTTTTTTTTCTTTCCTAATAAGACTCAAAATAACTTTTGAGGGTATATATATTTTCTGAAAGAAAAAAAAAAAAAAAAAAAAAAAGAAGTCACTATGATATAGTCAGGTATTTATAACTTAATGATATTAAAAGAAGTAATTGGTATTTATAATCATGATAACCAGGGGAGTCAATCGCTAAATGGTTATAAGAAGGAATTTAAAATTTAAATATTGAGTCTCGTAACTGTTTAAGGCAAGATCAAGTAGGATAAAGCAAAAGCACCATTACTGATGAGGCAGTAGCAGAGTGGTATTCTCTCGATTAGTTAAAATTGAAGGTTATAATCTAGTTTAATCAAGAAACCTCACAGCCTGATTTCGCCAGAAATCCGAATTGAGCCTAGTAAACGGATTTTTCTTTATTTTATTCTCTAGCAACGGCAGTTTTAAGGGAATGGGTCAAAAAAAAAAATTTTTTTCATGAAGATGAGATTCGTTAAATTAAAATTGTGATTTCTCGTTTGGTATTTACCCCACACCAAGTTAAGATACAGAAATTAACTGGTTAGAGTTTGAAAAAAAAAAAAAAAAAAAAAAAAACCTCATGAAATTATTGTTTTTATTTGATTTATTTCTCATCCATAATGGGTATCATTAAATTATTATGCCTTTTTTACTACTGTGTTCTATAATTGAATAGTAGCTAACATAGAAATCCATACTTTAGTACATTTTCCAAAATGAGAAAGCTGAAGGAGTTGATTAAAAAATTTTGTATAATTATACAAAAATTTATAATAATAAATTGAAAAAAAAAGGAGGGTCATTGAGTTTGAGCTCAATAATTCCATCAAAGTAATAGTAAAAGATTTGTTTGCATTTCTAGGCGTGATTCTTTGTTGGTGACAGAAAAGTAAAGTTTTTTGCACAAGAGTTGCGTTTACTAGGAAGAGATTTTGTTAAGAAGGAAAGGGTTTCATTTAACATTTAAAGAAAGAAAAAAAAATAAAAAAAAATGCCCATGATTTTATTTTTTCTTAAAAATCTTTTTGTTTATTTTGAGTAGACAACAATCGAAAGGCTGTGATTGTGCCTAATTGCGGCTGATTTTGCTTTATTTACTCATATTTTATTATTTACAGTGGTATATAATTATATATAAATATATGTGGGAAATTTAAGATCTAATAGAAAGTTGGTTTATTGTGCGCCAAAATAAAAAAAAAAAACATAAGTTAAATGGTGGTTTTTATGAATAATTGGAAATATGATCATAGATTAAAAATGATATACATCCAATTTAAAAAAAAAGAAAGAAAAACCTCTTATATTTTAAACTTCTGATGATTTCAATGATCATACGCCATTTTTTGTTTTTTTGTATTTGAAATGTGGTGTTGTTGATTTATTATTTTGATTTTTTAAAATTTCTAAAAGGTATTACACTTATTTGTTACATAAAAATAATGTGACTGTGAAATTACTATTTTAAGAACGTATATAGAGTTTATGCGTATATTTAATCATGGAAATATTTCTAAGAATGGTTATGTAATTTGTTGACAACAACAGAAGGTAGAGAGAAAAAAGAGTGGGTGGAAAAACACAGCAAAAAAAAAACTTTTAACCAAAGATTGTGTAACAAACATGTAACATATTTATAAATTATACTAGTGTAACAAAAAATTGTTACAAAGTATGGGGTTGTATTCCGTTACTGAGTGACAGAGAGAGGAAATACACAGCGTAGGTCTCCTCTGTGTGTGCGTGGCCGCCGAGTGGGTGCAATTTTTTTTTTTTTTTCGCACTCCCCCTCCCCCCCCAGTGCCCTAAAATTTTTTTTGCATACTGTCTGCTACCCTTCGAACTTTTTTCCCTCTTAGAAGATCCACACAGCACAACCACTTTGGCAAAATGGTATGTCCTCATCAACATGATAGATATGATGACGACGATGACGACGACGACAATAATGATGATGATGATTATGGGCAATAAAGAAATGTTATTCAGCAGATGTCGATAATGATGGTGGATAAAGATGAATGAAATTTGGAGAAAAAAAGAAAGAAACAAATACCCAGGATATGGAAAGGCTCTGCTATTGACTTTTGGTCCTTTTGTTGTTGTTTTTGTTGTTTTCGTTATTTTCATTATTATTTTTTTTTTTATTTTTGAAAGAATCTTTTTTTGCTAACATTAATACCAGAGTGATTCCGTTACTATTCGCACCAGAAAGTTCATTAGAAACCCTCTTTTGGGCCGTCGCCAATTTGTCATTGACGTTCTCCACCCCGGCTCTGCTGGTGTTTCCAAGGACGATCTCCGTGAGAAGCTTGCTGGTCTCTACAAGTCGGAGAAGGATGCTGTCTCTGTCTTTGGCCTCAAGGCTCACTTTGGTGGCGGTAAGACCACTGGTTTTGGTCTGATTTACGACTCTCCTGAGGCTCTCAAGAAGTTTGAGCCCAAGTACCGCCAGATCAGATACGGCGTTGCCTCCAAGGTTGAGGGCCCCGGCAGACAACAAAGAAGACAGAAGAAGAACCGTGGCAAGAAGATCTTTGGCACTGGCAAGAGAGAGGCCAAGAGAGCTGCCAAGAAGGCTGCCGAGTAAACAGCTTGATATGTGTATATTATATCTCTACAATTTCATATGTCTTGTCTTTTTTTGGTAATGTGTTCCTCTTTTATCTGGGGAGGTAGATGAAGCAAAATTTTAATAAAAAATTGAAAAAAATTTAAAAAGATAAACTGCTAATGTTTGAAAAGAAAAAAAAAACATTGCAGATAGTTTTTGAAGTTATTGTTTTCATTTATCGTGTAATTGTAGAAGTGGGTAATTTAGGGGGATTGTATTTTTTTTTTTTTGAAAAGCTCTTAGAGAGATGAATGTAAAGAGTGAGTGAAATGCTTGGGATAAAAAGGAAGTTTTTTTTTTATCATAGGGGTTAACATGTATCTTGTAAATAGCTATCATAAGATTATGTTGATATTAAAGTGTAACAAAGGGTTATAGGGAGTTGAGTAGAAAGTGATATTATTTAGTTAAGAATGAAAGTACTTTTAGAAAAAAAAGACTACACAATATATTTTTATTGATGATGAATATATTTTATGACCTTAACCTCCCCTTTTTTATTTATTCATTAATGTACACTTTAATTTTTTTTTTTTTTGTTTTTCAAGGTAGTCTTGCAAATATTGAACGTGTTGCAAGGTCTGAGCATGTTGCAGTATCTGTGCTTGATGAAACATGTCTGTACTTTTTTTTTTTTTTTTTGACATATAACCGTTTAATATATCACTTAACTAAATCATTTCAAACTACTTATTAGTAGTATATTAATTTATATATATTTAATGGATAATAAAAAGACAAAAGGTCTTAGTCTTTCGTTTTTTTTTTCTTTTTTTTAAGAAAAAAAATAATAAGAGAAGCTACTAAAACGAGAATAGACACATGTTTTACACTTTATTCTATTTTTTTTTTATTTCTAACTATTTCATCACAATAGAGGTTTTAAAGAGATCATTATCTGTTTAAGTAGTTACATAACTAGATGCTTGTTTTTTAAAATATTTTGAAAGAGGGAAAAGGGGGGTGGAGTGGGGTAGTGTCAATATCAGACTGGCTATTTATTTCAAAGTTTCCACTGTATAGAAAACAAAAAGGAGAAGAAGAAGAAGAAGAGGAAACCAAAAAAAAAAAGAAAAAAAAAAGCTTAAATGGGTTTTTGGTTGATTTTAAAGGGAAAATAATTGCTTAGAATTAATGAATTAATGAATGATTGAAGGATAGAATGCATGAATGTTTTATGCAATTGTTTGTAGTAGTGGAAAAGAAACATATTAAAAAGTATGGGGGAATGAATATCTTGTGGTCAGATCAAAAAAGGGACTGATCAGTTTATATCATAATTTTATTTTTATTTTTTATTTTTAATTTTTAATTTTTATTTTTTATTTTTAATTTTTAATTTTTAATTTTTAATTTTTAATTTTTTTTTTTTGGTCCATCTCATTGCCAATTATGGATAGGGTCATGATGTTCTTGATAAAACTTAAGAAAAAAGAAAAAAAAAGGTAAAAGAAAAAAAAAACAAAGAATAAGAATAAAAGAAACAAAAGATAATCTTATTTAGGTATCTCGTTTATATATATCTTTAATCAGATAACTGCCAATGTGACATGAAGCTCAGGTGTTTAAGGAATATGGTATTTGTTTAAAAGTATTCAATTGATTGTTGTGTTATTGCATCTGAAACGAATATGCAATCACTTGAGCCTTTTAATTTTTTTTTAAATTTTTTTTTTATCTAAGAAAATGAAATGTTAAGAATGTATAAATATGTATTAAACGAGGACTCGTCAATTGGAACGTATTTGTTTCATTGTTTAAAAAGGGTAGATTTTAATTTATGAAAAATAATGTAAGTACCTTGTGACAATGTACTATGACTAAGGAAGCTTGTTTCATTTTTTTATTTTTATTTTTATTTTTATTATATTATTAATTTTTTTTTTTTGAATATGTATTTGTTTGAATAACAGGTTGAAGGTATATACTTGATTTTTAAGAGTATTATTAAAATGACAGAATGATATACCTGTGCTTTATCTGTTTT